GCAAACGCTTCCGCATATGTTGGGCCCATGCCTGGCAGAGATAATCAACGAGGAAAAGGGAGCGCATGAATTCCATTTTGGCCACGTCTTGTGAGGCTGTGGCGCTGTCTGGAAATAAAAGCTGGTGAGCTGGATAACAGCCCCGGGCTCTGAGTTTCATCTCGTTTTACCGTCATTTTGTTTGGGATACCATTTTCTTAAGAAACAAACACACACCGATATGTTTTTCAATGCTTTCATGCACATCGCGAAAGCTGGATTAAGAGTCATTAGACACGCCTTTGGATGGGTTCATCAACTTTGAAGCAAGGGTAAATGTTGGAATATTAATGACGTGAATACTATAACTTACAAACATTAATCTTCCCACGCACCAAACAAAGCAGTTTTAAAGGGACTTTTTTTACATTTTGAAATCCATATGATGCAAAATTAGTTTGAAATGTCAAAGGCAAAAGAACAACGACAAACACAAGACATTGATGAAATGTTTTACAGAGGAACGTAATAAATACACATACTGGGGGACTTTTCTCTTGCATTTCAGTACTGGGAATGCACCGCTCAGAAGAGCTTCAGACCGAGTATATCCTATGGAAATGAATTCAGGCTAATCAAATTACCAATGACAGGAAGAAATATAACCTTAATATTTTTGTATGAATAAAATAACAGAGAGGTTCTGCAGTACCTGGAGTAAAAATGTATACCTTGATGCAAGCCGAGGACGGCCTGTATAAGGCTTGTTGAATAAGGAGAGGGGCGAGTTTCATTTATCAAAATATTGCGCATGGGCCGAAATCCTTCTTCAAATGTGAGGGGGACACATCCAAATTCTCTGACAAAAACACAAAGAAAGTAGCCATATTCAAACATTCATTTTTTGAAGTTTGAGACATGATCAGAAACTCACTTTTTTGCACGTGTGGACAAAAAAAATGTCACTGATTCTGAGATTCTTAGCACAATAAATACATGTATTTCAATTACAGATGAACAACTTGTAAATGAATACTTGTAGTTATTTGCCATGCATTTCATATGCACAAAAAGGTCAGTGAAAGAGGTATTTAAAAGTTAAAGAAGATTTTGTACATGCACGTATAACTAGGTCCAAAATAAATAAGTTTTTACCTGCGAACGAAATCATACTTTTTCTTGTGTGAAAGAGTCTTCTTTACAGAAGCAAATAAGGAATTACTGCAAGAATAAATCTTGACAAATACTTCCCATCAAGTTTGCACATTGTGTATTAAACTCCATCAATAGAATACATAAATCATGACTGCTGAAACCCAGAAAGGCATTACCTCATATACGATGTACTACAAACACAGAGTTAATGCCCTTATGGCTTTCAACAGACAATAATGCATTTTTGATGCTTTTGTATACTACAAGTATATATCATTAAAAATACCTTTTCAAACACACAACAGAATTTTTTTTCTTTATTGAATCGCAATGCATTCCTTCAAAAAACAAAATCCAAATTAGGATTTTCCCACGATTCTTCCCAGCAAACAATTTACATTTTTAGATTCTGAGTTCCTAGATTAGAGGGCTTGCATTACTGTTCATATGTGGGTCACTAATCACTATATCCATTCAACTAGTGAAATCAATGCCTGTTTACTGTCCTTCCGAGACTAAATGTCTGTATTGCTCAATTTTTAGACAGGTGTTTCCTTGTTGAACTGTCCTGAAATTAGGAAGTAATTGTCAATAATAAATGCAGGTAACAAAAGTAGCTGGTAGGGTAGTGATACTGTTTACAATTATATACATGTAGTTGCAAGAAAGTGGTAAAAATGGCAAATAACATACCTGTAAGGTATGGATAAGAAAGTGAAACCTAAACTGATATAAAAATAAAAAAATACTTCATCACTCCTAAAGGAAATCCGATGAGTGCTGAGTAGAGTTACATGTATACAGATGAGAAATCTTTACATTAAGATCTTACCTGTCGATACAGCCTGTGAATTTTCTTTTTAGCTTTAGGGGGAGGAGGTGAGGGGGGGAGGAGGAGATGGAGGGGGTAGCAGCTACATTTTTGTGCTGTTGGTTTCATTGTTCAACATGCTGTTTTTATGAACAGAAACTGGAGTGTACTGTAGGTGAAGATGTACTTCATACTTATCTTATGGGCCTTATGGCTTGATATAAAATTGGAATATCAGACCACTACTACTATAGCAGTACATGTATAGTTGTACATGCCAACAAACACATGTTAAAACACAGATTTTCTATATCTGCTCAAAAGGTTTTGGAAGGGGGACTGGGTCTGTAGGCATTAGCCAAATAGATGTAAAACTTCAAAATTTGAGGGTCTAAGGGCAGACTTAGACTGGGTTGGGGTTTGATTTCCAAATAAGGGTCAAGTTTAAGACTGTACTCTACATATCATGTGATACATGTACAATGTATGTTATCTACACTACTGTAAATCTGGTTGTGTAATCAGATCGCCCATCTTCATTCAACCAGATGAGTGCATGTATTATGCTGGTACATCTACATCGACACCGAACTACGTTTTCAGTGATGTGAATGAGCTAATGGAAAATGATACTATACCCCCAAGGCCAGGCTTCGCACTCATCAATTAAAAGTAGTGTTCACAAATGAATACATGCATTAAAAATCAGCCCTGTATATTCTGAGGTGAGTAATTGCAATGTACATGCAATGTACATGCACAGGTTTTCAGAGGGGAAAAAAGAAAACTTTTGTAATCATCCATTTGAGCTCCTTTGGGATTCACTAAACCAAAAATTAGATTTTTTTTTTAAACCAGAGTGCTTATTTTCTTTAATTTCCAAGAGCTCTTTTTTATAATAGATAACTAGAGCTACATTTGAATCACTAACTGCTCTTGTGAAATCTATTCTTTTCTTTTGCAGGAGGTCATGCATACTGTACATATACATACCCTATTCTTTTTAATATAGGCCCTCATCCTACTATGTCCCATTTGCAGCCAACATCAAATTCTGTAGAACTTTGCAGGAATTTTTTTTGTTGATTCAAATGGGCATTAGTTTCCTAACAGGCAACATTGCAGGTTATGGGAATGCTTCCTTCAAAAATCACTTTAATACGACAGTCCTCTTCAGATTTTTCAGCGACACCTCGATCATACCTTGTGTCCTTGAATACTGCAGGTGTGCATTACCCAAGCAATCCCTACCCCTTAAATCTGGGAAATGAAATGAGATGGAATTTGAAGTTGCTTGCACTTTGATATCAAGTTCACTGCATCATCAAGCACACCTGCACCCACAAATTTCAACTTAATTGATCGGGGAAAACCTCCTGTTTTTCAATTGCGAATTATCATCCCTAGTGCAAAAAAAAATAGGTTTATTAACTTTGGTTGTATAGAATTCATGCTGCTGCAAAGTTGAGGGCCCCACCCCCATTACAGGGAAGCATCAAAACAATTCAGAACATGCAATAGACAATATAGGTCAAATACAAAACCCTGAGGTTTGAGCAACCTTTTGAACAAAAACATGAACTTGATGTGTGACCATGTTATCAAAGAAAAGTTGGATTTTTTTTTAAAATCTCTCATTGCCAATTAACACAATGACTGCCGGATTCTCTCATTCCATAGACTTAACAAAGGGACCATTTTTTCCCATCGACAATGGATAAGAAGTAGAACTTTGCAGGAATTATGAACATATCACATATGTCCTACATGTACATGTATCTGTGAAATTTGAACGTACAATGTAAGCAGCGTCCTAATATTCATGTTATGCAAGGAAGCCTGTTTATTTTCTAAACTTCACTGTCAGACACTATTGACTAAACTGACTTCTTTTCTTACATCAAATGAGTAAAGGGTTACATGAGCATTTGTCTACATCAATAACCCAATTCTTGTAATGGCAAAAATTAAACTGATTGAATCTTTGTGCAGCACAAAACGTACAACCCTTCAGTACAAGGGTCTGTAAAGTGATTAGACAACTAATGGTTGTTTTTTCCCACTTAAAGACACTTTCAAGCCCTTTCACTTTGAGGGAAGAAAAAAAGCAATCAAGACTCATTTAATACAAACAAAAATTAATTTAAAAATTGAGATTTATTGTGATATGATTACACAGACGCAGGTACGCACTCAATGTCCAGATAATGTATGTCTTTATGATAACTCCACGCAAGAGAGGACTCAATTGACCCACTTTAAACCAGTTAATACCACTGCAAACAGAAGATGTCATTTATCAAATTGTATTCTGCGGCTTGAAGACCGCATCCACTAGCACGCCTCAATCAGTGATGCCCCATATCGCGCATGGACAGGAATATATATTGCCTGCTTAGAGATGCCCCTACAGCGGTAGGGATCTCTTGGCTAAGGATAATATGTAGCCATAAATAATAAGGGATGCAGGTTTTTGAGATTGCTCCGTCTGTAATGCATCTCTGCAAAACTTGCAGGAGATTTGAGCTTGTGCCAAGGTACCTTTGTGCACTGAAAACACCATATTTTGGTTAATGCGCGCTAGGCATTCAGGTACTGTGATGCCTCTTGAGCATACCATGCAAAGCGCAAAAAAAAAAAAAATCATCTACAGTATGTACCTTATACAGTCACCATAATGTTACTGTTATGAGGAAGCTATTTGAAGCAGCAGTATTGTTTTTATTTCCCTTTTTAGGATATTATTTCCTTTTAATACTATACAGAATGAATAATGTACAAAAGTATACAATGTTTTATTTCTTCAACCTATTCTACAGGGTCAATAGAGCCAGACATAATGAACTCAGGCCAAAATTAAACTTTGAAACATAATAATATCATATTATGTTTTACTTCTTTAGACCTGGGCCCTGTATTACAAAGAGTTGATATCAATCGCAACTTATTTGCGATTGATATCAATCGCAACTATGTACATTAGAGATAGGAGATTGCAAACTTGCGATTGATTGGAGGACTTGCGATAGATTTGGATCAATCGTAACTCCCTGGACTACAGGTTAACTGGATAGTCTAGGGGGCTCAAAGGAGTCAGACCTCATAAACCATGGCTATACAGTAGTTTAGAAGAAAAAAGAAAAAAAACCACTGTGTCCTGTTGCACCTATAGATCTTGAACAGACCCACCAACTGACTGGACCTAGAGCCCCGTACCAGGGACATATTGTACTTTGCAAAAGAATATAAACATGTCCTACCTCTCTTGACCTGGTCCACTGGCTGGCTGGACAGTCCTAGAACGGTGACCTGAGCCACCTTATCCCTGGCCATGCCATGCTCCTTCCCATACAGACTCAGCTCATTGTCTTTTGATTGTTGTAGCACCTAGTAGAAAGCACACAGAAAGGAAAAGTTATATTTTGTTTAATACTCAGTTTCAAAATAAGAATTATAATGCATGTGACCACTCAGAAATATCTGGGTCAAGGCAGTGTGGAACATGGCACTGCAGTGATTTGCACCTGGTTTCCCGTTGACTCACTATCACAGACATACATGTACTGTTCTGTAGGAGTATAAGGTGGGAATGGATGCACTGCAGCCCCCATGAATTTTTAAATTATTTTTAAAGTATTTTAGCGACTGACACCTCATGTGATATTCGGGCACTCGAATGTAAGTTGCAGGTGCCCAGACTGTCCAATATTTATATCAATAATCATGCTGTGCAATATTCCATTTTAAATTACAAGTATTACCAAACAATTTGAGGCTTGTTCAGTTAAACCTGCCTATAGCGACCACCAAAGGGAAACACAAAAAGTAGCCTTTGTAGACAGGTGGTCTTTGTGGACAGGTTCCTTTCATACATGATTCAATGAAAAACCATTTTAAAGGGAAACAACAAATGTGGCCTTTGTAGACAGGTGGTCACTAAAGCAGGTTTGACTGTATAACTGTAAATAAAGTAGGCAGGCCTACAATTTTAGCACCATTCAATATTGCTGTGCCCATGTAAGCCATCCAAAAATCAACCGTCTGGATCTGAACACATTTACTATTTTATAATTTGATTTAACCATTTGGCAACATTTCAAAGCAGAAATGTTATTATTCTACTCTTTAAAAGTATACTTTGCACATATTGGTATGACTTATATTAATGTTTGTAACATCATTTTTCTCCTCCCAATACAATTTCTTATCAAAAGGGTTGGGGTATTCTATGAATAACATTATCTATAAAAGTACATTGGTGCTAATAATGTCAGGGTGAATGGCATTCATTTATGACAGAAATCAATTATGAGGGAAACCAAAACCATCTGGTCTTTTAAGACAATTGAACTGTTTATGAAATATGATACAGCTCTACATGTAATTAAATGTGTCACAAACTGTACCTACATGTATAGAGTGTAGATCATACATGTACAGTACATACTGTATACACAAAACGTACACAAGTATTCTGAAATGTTTCAATATAGGAGAAGTCAATATGAATTAAGAGAAGCTTCAGTAGTCAGTCAATAACTCAATATGCCAACCCGTATTTCTTCTCTCGACAACCTTTTTATTAGAGCCCAGACATTCCGGCTTGTATTTATAAAGCCTGTGCTTTACTAACGAGCAGGAAATGAATTGGTCTAGCTGTCAAAAGTTGAAAAGTTCATTCTAACATAATGCTGAGAGTGATCATCAGGGAAAGGATTTTATTTATTCCATTTTAACCTAGAACCAGGGTCGATTCTCAAGGATTTTAGTGAACCGAGAAATGGTAAAGCCCGCATTATCGTGTACACTTTAATTCATTGAAGTGTAGCTGTGATCTATCCTCATTTCCCTGTAATTTAAAACTGTTGTTTTGGTTTCATAAACACTGTATTTAATATCAAAACATATCTGTCAAAGTCACTCTTCTCATCTTCTTTTTAACCCTACTTTCAGTATGTTTAAATGTGTACTATTACAATTGAAGATGTAATATTTATATTCTAATAAGTGGCTCGATCTGCTTTAACATTGAATTAATATGAAATGAATATTACGCTTTTTACATTTATTTCAGAGACACTACATTAATAAGTACTGTAGTTCATCATTATACAGGTACTGTAAATGTTGAGTTCCATCTTAAAATTGAATAGATTGATTTGCCACTCATTGCATAGAAGAGATGAGATGGATTGGGGAAATGTGTTTTTTTAATTACACTGAAGAAAAAAAATCAACTTTAAAGATAAGCTTGAGTTCTGGTAATGATAGAAAATAAATTCTCACAGTAAAACTTACACTAAATGTTCAAGATTACAAATAAATGACATACACTGTACATGTGCCAAACGATTTTGGTAGAAAATGTATAAGGGCTGAGAAGAGCATAGAAAGATAAGGAACTCAAAGTAAGTATGCCCGACACCATTTGCTTTTAAAACACAGGTCACTATGTGCAAATGAGAGTTGTGGTTTTTACTGAAGATGATTTCCAGCAAGTTTTACCCAGGTTGTTTTTATTTTACTGGTTCAAACAATCAATCTACTGCAGGATAAACAATCCAGAATGAATTATAGCCATGTTGGCATGTTCTCTCGACAAACGATGCCAATACCAGAGCTCAAGATCAGCTTTAAAGTTTTAATCCTGCTACATTTGTACATGTATGTCTAACATGACAATCGCTTCAATATACATGTATATAGGACTGAGTAGAATTTTGCACATTCTTTTAGGACCTACACCCTGTACAGTGCATATTAAGGCATCTATAACAAATATAAATCAAGGGCAGCATCATGGGTTTGGGGGGGGGGGGAGGTACATGTACACAATACCATGTGATTTGTCAAAACATTGCCCCTAAAAATATAAGAACCCTTTTTAGCTTGTCAGAGATTGTTAAGACCTGTGTTCCCTTTAATAAAAAAGCTCTTCTACATAATTACCCTTCTGCTCATTTAGAATTTGGGAAACTACAGCCTTTTAGAAAATTATAAGCTATATTTCATCACAACTTTTAAAAAATAAAAAAAATGAACTGCAACATCAAGTAACCATAAAAGATTATATAAAAGTAATTTATATTCATGGCCTTCTCTTCTGCTTAAACTACTATAACCACTTGCTGCAGTGCATTTAACACAGAGTCACTTTGACAAATTACTGCTGGAATATTGATTAGGGGATTTGCAATAGTTATTGATTGGTCTCGCATTAATGCATCATACAGTATAGTATCACCTGACTGCAAATTGGCCAAACGGCAATGGCTGACAATTGCATTAAATAATATACCATGAAATAGAGATGGGATGGGGGTGGTAAAGTATATATGCAAAATACAGCATGGACACGACTGAGGGCTTGCATGTCTCTGGGCAACAGTGAAGCATTTCACTTTTGCAAACCCTGGCCCATAGGTAACCATTTCTTTCCTCCCCTCGCTTCTCATTTCCTTCTCTTTCTTTATCATTTCTAGGATTTCTGTATTTATTTTGTTGACTTTGTATATATATAAACTGTGAATTTCTGATTTGTATAGCCAAATAAATAATAATAATAATAATAACACTGTTTAACCTACAGTATATGTGTTATGACATAGCCTATACATAGAAGTATGTGTACAAGGTCATAGAAAAATTCTAAGTAATAACATACAATCTCTCATCCTTGCTCACAGGAAAGTGAGAGTTCAGTTAGAGAACAAAAGCAAGACAAAAGTTGAAGTGTAGTGTAAAATAGTCTTACAGTTAGTACCGAATACACAGAAGAATTACTGTACATTTACTGAAGATTTCTTTGGAGTAGGCCTACATTTATAGTTTGTACAACGTGAAAGCTCTAAGCTCATATTTCCTACTGGCAATCAGCAACTGAAAGCAAAATCCACCCACATGTACAAACTACATATAGCTTTCAATTTTCATTATGTCAAGCAAATATCTTTAAAGCAATATGTAATTTTTTTTTTTTTTAATAATGTTTAAATAATATATAATTTGTTTGAATGACATAATAAGCAATTAAATATTAAGTATAGAATTATTCCTGTTTTAGAAGCTTTGAAAAGCTAAATAGAAGTTGAGGCAAAAAGATTATCTATGTATTATGTATTACATACATCTCTCTGGAGTTTGTTTACTGATTTTGTTTTGCAAATGTACTGGAGGGAAAAACTTGAAATTATAAATCATTTGCAAAGGATATTTTACCAAACTTTGTTATCATTACTAACTTGATGTTCCAATCTCACAGGATATATATTTTGCAAGAGGGGATGGCCTTAAATTCAACAACAAAAAAACAAAAAATCTTCTTTTTTTTAACGCATTTAAAGATGATGACATATTACATGTATGTACACCTGTACATGTACATTTCTTCTATCAAAGTCACTTCATGAAGTATTGGCAATCCCAAACTGAAAGTATGTATTAAAAAAATTAGTATCTGATTCCAAAAATGAAATAGTTTCACAAAACGGAAACGTCAAGCTAAAATGACAACTGTGCATGACAGATCTACAATACGTGCAAATAATAGCGTGCAAGTTTGTGGGTGTGAACTGTGTGAACTATGAAACTGAAAGTGGGAACATGACATCTAAGACACGCAGGAAAGGATTTCCTGTTGTTTGTTTGTTAAAAAGCTTGAGGCGAAAAGACAGTCAAACATGTCACAATAGAGCAACTTGACCACCTCAGTGTGATACATACATGTACATGTACTCTACATAAATTGTAGATCAACAGTGTGCATGTTTTATAAGCCATTATATTAATGAGAATGACACAAAACACAACAATTCATGTAATATACATCATGGATATATTGATTATCATAAAAACAATAATTTGTGAAAATGTCTGTGTCTCTATCATTCATAAAAGTATCTTTATGGAAAAATATCCAAGATTCCAAGTGCTTTTAACTGTACAGCAGTCAGTACAGAGAATTTAAAGGGACTACCGACTACTACTACTACTAGTAAGAAAGAAACTTTAAATCAGACATGTGGAGACTCAATGTTTGCATTGGCCTACATACTGAACACACACATATTTGCCTCGCTTGTGTTATTAAACGGGGCGAAATGGCAATGCAACATTTTTTTGATTTGCTCACAGTAGGTGTTATGATGTAGACCTGCTAGCCCTGGATGTGTCCACAAACAGGCTCGCTCAAATGTCCAGGGAACAAATTGGTTTCCTTTTGCTTATGACATTTCATAATTTTCATTGTATGATTATATGACAGTATACACATCATAATTGCATACTGTACATGTACTTGTATCCCTTTATTATTCAGTTGGTATTGTTTGTTTGTTTGTTACTTGATTTCCTCTTCGCTCTCTCTCTTCTGTAAATATTGACTTGTAACTGTTTTGTAAATCCTAGTTGTTATTGTCTAGACCCCCTTTGAAAACCTACTGATACTGAAAGGGCTGTCACACCCCATTATTAGAAAAAATCACACAGCAAAACTGACTCCACTGACTGTTGTTACATACAGTATTAAAGTATTAGGTGATTATTCAACAAAAAGTCTGTTTTTTGTGTACATGTAAATAGTGTATTGAAACAGAAATGAAATTGTATTTGTACAATTCTATATTTTGTCCTGCCAAAGAGATACAATAGTGTTCACATAATAGGGTGACAGAAAAAGCCCAAGGCAAATGTCAGGTCACACAAGCATTACCTGATTATGAAGACTTAGAGACAGTCAAGACTATAAACAGAGCATTTGAATAGTTCCAACAGCAGGTACAATGCTTTGTGTGTCCACACAATTCTTGGTTCTAACCTTGGGCTATCAAAAACATTAAAATTGAACTTCAAGTTTAAATTTCATTGGCTCAATCTAGTCCACTTTCAAGGACACGCAACTCACCCAGGGACCACCTCCCTGCTCTACCTAACCAAATCAATTTCTTTGTTCGCCTCTATGCACAATGTACATCAAAGGGCCAAGAAACTTGAGATGCAAGTGGTGAACAGAGAGATTACTAACACAATGTACAACGTACATGTAACTGTTTTACTACATTGGCTTCATGAGCACACAGCTTGAGGTCCCTTCAGTGTACATTCTCACAAAACATGTGGGCATGTCAACTGCATTGTGTACAGTACAGTACTACTCAACATCAAGGATTGACGAAGACCAGTATTATGACACAGCATACTACTACTCTAATCTGTATGGTTGTAGGGTGCATTCAGAATAAATGTACATGTACAGTGTAGGTCTCTATGGACATGTACTGTACATGTATCTATGGAGTAGATGTATATCATCAACATGTCACCAATCAATCAATCACATGTCATACATCTCGAGGCTTTATACCGGTATATGTCTGTTTTTAGATTTGAATACATCTGTACGCACAGAAAATGAATGAATGGAGAACACTTTTATTGATCTACTTTGACAATATAGATCAATGCCTGTAGGCCTATATTAACATCACAGCTTGAAATTATCAAGCCTACACATTTAGAACACAATGCCCCTCTAATTTGTATCCAGACAACTCTTCCCCTCCCCTCCCCCCCCCCCCCCTCTTCCCCATTAATAAAATGTGTACAAGGGGCCCATCTACATCCCGCTAAAAGGAGAGTGTGGAGCCCTGTTTAGACAACATCATCCATTGTACATTATGCTGGAGAGATAGAGTGCATCTTCATGAGCATGGAAATAGGCTACTACTACTACAGTAAACAAGCCTCATACATGTACATGTACATGTAGATCATTTATAATGGTGAAGCATCTACATGTACGTGCTTATTGTGTCCAAGGTACGTTTACATGTACATGTATGTATTCTTGTAGACATACACAAGTACAGTTTCCATGTAATTTGTACCATGCAACCCCAGGGCTTCCATTAACGATGTTTTGTTTTAGTCCACAGGAGGAAAGAATTGGAAGGTCACATACCAGACAGGGGTCACATCCATAACCTCAGTTCACACGAGGTCATGGGGGTAAACCAGTGTTTGTAAATATGTGACCCCTTGCTCCACATACCACACAGCTTTATAGGGTTGTGTGTGTGAAAGGGTATCATTTCCCCATTATGTTAAACACCCTGAAGGTTTATTGGCTAAACTTTCACTGCTTGTTTTAGTGCAATTGACATTATGAGTGTAAACTGACCCAAATATGTCTCATTCATATAGTAAGGATTTGTTTAATAGCCTGAAGGTTGATTGCCTCTATGCTAGCCACCCCAGAAAATATATACCCAGTTAAAGATGTGTCAGAAGTGACAATCATGAAGAAAATCTCATGAATGAATCTCTTGATATTTTTTTTTTTTAAATAAGTTTAAATCTCATTTTGCATTACTTTTGGGCATCTACATCAAAACTACAAATTTGAGAAATGTTGGAAATTGTTCCTTTTGAAATCATACAATGCAGTTTGACAATAGATTGCTGATACTTGTGTAAATATCTTAATATTCACTTTATTATCTGAAGAAGTAAAATTGTGCATTTGATTTCACCTTCCATAAAGTCATATCTCAAGCTGAAGACAAATTTATATTTTACGATTGTCTTATCTATTCAATGAATTCTGGTTAGTTGTGTAACCATGGCCTGCATTGTAAACGATCCTAGCAGCAGTGTTTAAATAATACAGGAGGTGATCAAACTTTACTGGAATACTGAGAAAACAGATCATCTCAGAAGGCTCAGATCAAATCAGCTTATGTCAATATTTGACAGAGTCTTCAGAAGGCTGAGGATGTATTGTTCATCATAGTAGAAGTTCGGAGAAGGATTAAATATACTTCAAGTGCTTCTACTACAAGTAACTAAGACCTAAATGTATTGATGGTTGTTGACACTATGATAGCAACAATTTAAAACGAATGAATCACATTCAATAAGGAACTTTGTGAAAGAACTAGAATTGTTTATTATGTCTTCAACAGTCATTCCTGGAAGTTGTAATAAACATGATTGATAGCCACGTCAAGTTGGTTTCTCTACTATTCCTTTATTGCAAAGATTTTTTAATTTATAGGAAAGGACCAAAAAGTCAAACACCTTTTCCTTATTCAACATGTTGTTTGGAGTAAACACAAATCTTGAATTTGATTCATGCACACATGTACTGTACATGTACATGTACATTTTCTATTCCTTTGTTTAAAGTTGTATATCTACAGATAGAAATTAAAATTAAAATTGATATTATTAAACTCTGCCTCTTTCAGATGTTTTGGTTGGTTAATCAAGTCTTGATTTAATGTGCTCTTTGTTAAACATGTTGTTTGATGTTTTGATTGTAATTGGTTTGAAGAGCACTTTGAGAAGCATTTACATTGAAGTATCAACTTCCTGCTACATGTATCCAGTTGTTTAAAGTGCATCGTCAAACACTGCATGTAAATGTGCATGTTTAATCTTGGTTTAGTTTTGATTTAATGTGTTCATTGTTAAACATGATGTTTAATGTTTTGATTCTAATTGGTTTGAAGAGCACTTTGAGAAGCATTTATATCTAAGTATCGACTTCCTGCTACATGTATCCAGTTGTTTAATGCATGTTTTTGTACATTTACATTTAGCCTACACTGTACATGTAGATGTCTAGTACCAGCTGCAGGAATTTATTTTGTTAAATACAGTGACTTAAATAATTTGTCAACATCATGATTTAGCACATGTATGATATGAATTACACAAGGCCAATTTGGGAATATCAATCAATATTTCCAAAGCTCAATGAAACATTTGAAGTATCTACATGTACATCTATTTTCAACAATTCAGAAAAATATGGTCTTTATTTCTCTCAAAATATGGTCTTTATTTTTCTAAAAACATTTGTTCTTAATTATGGTGCATCTATCTTTTCTCCATACGCCTGCAACTATAGCTGAGGGATGTTTACATGTACATGTACACATGTATGTAGCTACAACACAATATATGTGTAGTAAAACAATAGGGCTGTTTACTACATGTAGACCTTGGACTATAATTTCAATTGTTAATAATAACTATTAATAATATTTAGCTTTTATATAGCGCTTAATACAAATGTCTCTAAGCGCTTTACAAATATACTATTACCCCGGTCATTGGATTCAGTGCTTGCCCGCACATACACTGTACTGTGTGCACAATCTCCACTCCCTGGGGAGCATTCCTGCCTGGCGTTACTTGACGCTCAAAAACTGTTTGACCAACAAGGACGGTCGCATCTTACCGGGTACCCATTTAACACATGGGTGGAGAGTAGCAAGTGCAGGTTCATATCTTGCCAAAGGATATTAGTGTTGTGTCGGGATTCGAACCCTCGACCTTCGCATCTCCAGCCAAGCGCCTTATACCACTAGAACACGACACTCCCACAACCTTGTTCAAATTATTTTCTTAGCTTACAAGAAAATCTTTCTTTTTTTCCTCCAATATTTGAATAAAATCAATCAATGCAGCCTTCGATATTTAAATATCAAAACAGCATAGCCCCTAAAAAACATTTGTAAAATTACTTCTTTTTAGATTAGCATTTTTTAACTAAAGACATTTGTAGAAGAAAACCTTCTTCTTACCTCTGACATATTGATGAGTCCCACAGCTAACGTCTTGTAGCCCAGTATCGTCCTGTTCTTGTAACGCTTCCGCCTCTGAAGCATGATCCTGAGCTTGTTTCCATCACGCTTCAGAAAATGAGGATACTGCAAAGTAAAAGCAAAAAGACACTTTCATTTGGGATGATTGGCAAAAGTATTATTCAGCAGTTGACATATAGAATCTAGCGCATAACATATTATGAAATAATATCCCAATGCACTTCCACTTCTAGAGAGGTTTGTATATTATTATCCTAGCTTTAGCTACGACAGTGATTGTCAGCGCAATGTGGATTTTTATGATCAAATCCTGCTAGGTATCCCCATTGAATGCCTGGGTGGACAAAGAGACAACTGTAGATATCCATCAAATCATAGAATGCCTTGCCTAAGGAAGGACATAATGTACATTACTGCACCAGGCAGAGATTCAAACAATCAACCTTTTGATTGAGAGTCATACCATTTTCTTCTCAAGATCTGTGACTATGAGATTCTGAGAAAGAAAATCTACATGTATTAATGCTTTCTTCAAAATCATCAATGTTTACAAATATTTAACTTCAATAATAATTGTTAAATGTATTTGCATGTAAGTACAAATAACCTTGAAATCATAGTAGTATCATCAGAAATCTCTCAGGAAATGTTTTTTCAATGAATTCTGTGAGATTGTCAACATCCATTAGAATCTTCCTTCAAACATTTTTGGATTCAGCTTTAAACTGCAATATTGTACAACCTCCTACAGAAGGTGTTGTATAGCTTCTTTGTTTTTGTTGGGGGTGGGGAGAGGCCTTATATATTTCTTTCATTTACTATTCGGCCTTGGCCAAACTTGCAATATTACAATACCCTGTAATGTAAGGTTGTAAACTGTAAGTTTACCTGTAATGAAAATGACAGATCCAGTACTGTGTCCAGAATTTTGCCATGCTGCAAAAATATTTCGTTAGATCGCAATGTCCTCTTGGAACTCTGAAGAAATAAAAATAGAAGATCAGATTATTCAACATTTCTAATCAAATGCTTTAAGTGGTGATGCAATAACTGGTAGGAACAGAATCCTTTATAGACTAAATTGAAATTAATTACATACAATTGTAGGTACAATGTACTATTGTTTCAAGAATACAGTGTACACTTCATGTTTGACATCTAGAAATAATTAATTATTTTTTAAACAGAAAGATAAATTATGTTTGTCAAAGAGTGCATTACTATACTCATGTAAATGACACTGTACTTGTATGAGTCATAATTATATTGTTAACAGTCCATTTACAATGTACATGGACATTGACCTATAGATAATGTACAAGGATATGTGATACTGTCAACACTTCATGAACGTCTATATGAACTTGCTTATCAAGATTCAAGGAACCTTTCTACACGTACATGGACATGCATGTGTTGCTCAACAAAATAATGTTAAAACACTGGAGGACAGATACAATGTACATTCAGCCTACATAATGTAAATTGCACATTATTAATATCTGATCATTCTTAATTTAACATCTACGATCTTGTATAATGTATGTGCATGTACATGAGTGTATGATACAAGAACGTGTAAATGGGTTTAGACTAGGGAGACGGTGACCTCAGCGCGACCCTCTATCTAGACAATCACTCATTCTTCACCTTCACCATAACAATGAATCCATATCAGTGATTCACTCTTCGCCAAGCCCTTGCTTCTTTAACACTGCACTTTAGACAGTGTTTTGCAGAGCTGTCATGTGTCTACATCATGTCTACATTTATGCAGGGTAATTGAAGAGAAAGTCATGGCCATGAATGATGTTCGTGATCTGAGAGTTTCAGACAACAGCCATTGTGAATCTGTCAAGACCTTTCACTTTAATTTTCATATATTTGCTTTTACGATATGTGCATGACAAAGCACTGTATAATCAAATAGTGCACACTGTACAGAGAAGAATCAGTGTCAATATCATGATATTGTAAACATGGCCACCTATATTACATGTAGACATACATGTACATGGTAGCAAACTAATTTTCCTTGAAACCAAGTACTGTTTGTTTGTTTTACCTGACTGCTAAGCAAGCAAGTGTACGCTTGTGAAATGGGGAGGGGTTTCTAGTTAATTGGGCTCCTGTATGAGTTCTGTTTATATTTTGAATGTGGGGGAAGGGAGGACCCCGAGGAGGGGCTCTTTCATTGATCTACAGTGTACAAGGGGGGGGTGTACATCAAGATTTAGGCAATATGTAACTTAGACAATGGGTTAATTTGGACGAGACTAATAGTGTGGCCAAGTTATCCATTAGAACTTAAATCAATTAGAAATATTTTCATGACTTTGAATTGAGTACAGGTTTATATACATGTATGTAAACACCAATTTTGAAAATTATGAAGAGGAAATTATGAAGAGGCAATGTGTTCTGAACAAGACACACAAAATTATCAACATTCTACACTACCAAAAATCTCCAGACCCCCCCCCCCCCCCCCCAAAAAAAAAAAAAAAAAAAAAATGTCAACATTTTCAGTTAAAAAGCTGGTGTAGAGCCCTGAATTACTTAGAACTCAATCTATATAGTAGATCATCCTTCGGTTCAATTTAAAGAATAAATTGTACACTTGATCAACATATACAGTATCTTGTTCAATTCCAAAATGGAATGGAGCTGTTAAACTGTTTTTCTTTCACAAAACCAATCAAGGAAATGTTTGTGTACAACTGTACATATTTGTTGATTCGGAAGTGATGTGTAAACAAATTAAAAATAATAATCTAGTTTCCATTTATGTTTACAACAAAATAAAACATTGCAAATTGTAAATACTGTTACAAGGAAAGTAAGGAAACCAGTATGATGTCATACACTCATTGACAGTACACTCTGGCATGGCAAATGCTCACAATAGTGCAACACTTACATGTACAATGTACAAGTAGCCTTGGAAGCTAATCAATAAAAAGTAGCCTTCAAGTGTCCTTTGTCAAAGAAATCCAAATCCCAAGACTCATTTAAATGTATATTGAGCTAACGACTAAATTATTGATAGCCTTAACCAAGTTTTGTCATTATTTTAAAGTGTGTTATAGATAAGATTCTAAAGATAAGTATTTAACCAGTCCACCTTTCATTCTTGAGTTACGAGAAACAAACGAATTTAAAAAACATCTTTCGGATGGTTGACGTTGAAGGTTGGTCCCCAGACGTAAATAATCATATCTGATTGATACACATTCTGTAAAAACCCAATTAAACACAAAACATAGAAATTACAATGGGTATAAATAATTTAGTTGTTAACTGTACATGTTCCGGCAGTATCAAATCAAAGAGACATATTACTAAATAACTTGTTCAGCAGAGGGCTATTTTTCTAAAAATGTACATTGTAAAAATAAAACAACAACAATCCCCTCCCCCTCCTCATCATCCCCCTCCCTCCCTCCCTCCCTCCCTCCCTCCCTCCCTCCCTCCCTCCCTCCCTCCCTCCCTCCCTCCCTCCCTCCCTCCCTCCCTCCTCCTCCTCCTCCTCCTCCTCCTCCTCCTCCTCCAAGTTTTATTACAAATGATAAAGTAATGAGATCAGTTCATCATACTCACTTGCATTCTGACAGCTATAATGATAGAATTGAGATCACTCTCTAAAGCTTTGTGTACCACTAGCCGTGTCAGCCGCAAGCTACACAACCTATAATAAATGAATAGCAAGTAAAAAAAAATGTGAATGAAATATGGCATATATACATGTACATGCAGCATCTTAGATTTCAAAAACTTGTGTCCAATTTATTTCAAACTTGCACCATTGTAGAATGTAGGTACAATGTAGCCTTAAGGGCTCTCTCGAAATGTTTTTTTAATGATATTATTCGAGAGAGCCTTAAACGGCTCCCATACCCCTGCACGGAGAGGCATGTAAACAAAACTCAAAAGTGGTCCAAAATCACACTTTCGCGCACCCGACCAATATTGGACAGTGGCTTTGATAAATTTTGTTCGAGTTTTGGTCTTAATTAGCGCTTTAATTTCAAAATCGGATCTAAAAATAACAAAATAAGAGCAATTTTCTTACCAGACCGATACAGCTCAGCTCCCTTTTCACGTGTACCGTGTGAATTCACGATGTCTACACAATGGTGATGACCTCTGACTGGCACTTCCGTAATTGTGGGTAAATTGTGCTGCTTCCGTATAATGCGCTGTATGAGTGTTATTCAGCGCATTATACGGAAGCAGCACATTTACGAAGTGCTAGTCAGAGGTCATCACCATTGTGTAGACATCGTGAATTCACACGGTACACGTGAAAAGGGAGCTGAGCTGTATCGGTCTGGTAAGAAAATTGCTCTTATTTTGTTATTTTTAGATCCGATTTTGAAATTAAAGCGCTAATTAAGACCAAAACTCGGACAAAATTTATCAAAGCCACTGTCCAATATTGGTCGGGTGCGCGAAAGTGTGATTTTGGACCACTTTTGAGTTTTGTTTACATGCCTCTCCGTGCAGGGGTATGGGAGCCGTTTAAGGCTCTCTCGAATAATATCATTAAAAAAACATTTCGAGAGAGCCCTTAAGGCTAGGTACAATGTAGTTTACTTTATTTTTCTGCATTCACAAAAATTAACTTTAACAAATATTACAAAGGTTGAATTGCCCTTTAGTCTTTAGGGGAATTTTATTTTTTAATAATAAAGTCTACTAGTACTAGTTTTAGAAGAGTCTAGGCCTATGGCCTATGGTTTTTGTTTGTTGTTTTTTGTTTGTTTGTGTGTTGTACTGTTGTTGTTTTTTCAACCATCTGGTAAATTCCATGAATTTGATCATGTTGATGAAAACATCTATCTGTGAGATACTTGTCTTTGAATTTTTACTAGAAATACTACTTACTACTACTAGGCCTAAAGTCTAGCCTTAATTTTGGAACCCCTCCTTCCAAATCCATAAATCCAAGGCAAAGTCACACTGTCTCTGGCCAAGAAACTGGCCGGTTACGTTTCTATTCTAATTCTTTTTCCTACTATTTCTAGACTAGATCCTTGTCTACAACTAGACCGTCTAAATATTTACCAGCATCCATGCATAGTAAGTACATCTAGTACCAGGGATAGATATTCACAATACATAACGTTAAACGGGCTTTCCACAACGAAAAAAGCACAAGCACTAACTCAATACGATTCAGTGTGTCATCATAGCGTAATTCGGTTAGCCTACCTCGGGATACAGTTGGGCGAGGTCCTTTCGACTTCCCATGTCGCGAACAGCTTCATGGGCACGGGTTTGCCCGCTGAATTCCCAACTTTAATCACTTTCTCCGCCATGGTAAATCCAATTTAGTAATTGTAAATATATTCCAGCTAACTCTCAGGGCTTCATGGTAGTATAAGTCCAAAGAGTAAGAGTAAAGTCACAAAAACGGGTGAACCATCCCGTTTCTGGACCGTGCATGTCGAGAAAAAAAAATCACAGCTTGTCTTTCACAGTTATTCGTACGCGGGATGCAACTACTGTGTGCTTCAGGTAGCAGCACGTACCGCCTACTGGACTTATTTACGACTTCATACTGTGGATTCTGTATGTGGGTCATTTGAAAAACAGCTGGGTCAACGAGCGCGTACGCGTACGTACTGAATGATTTATTTCCCCTTCTTTTTCATTCTTCCCTTTTTTGTTGGGGGGGGGGGGGATGGGGGAGGGTAGGGGGAATGAAACACGGACTATGAAATGAGCAAGAATACAAGCATAGAATATGTAGGGTCCTTACTAGAAGGAAGACACAGCGCTATCTAATTGACCCACATACATTTCCGCTTTCAGCTTTCACGGGGCCTATCAAGTTATTATTGTAAATATTTTGTTATCAATTTATAATATCAATATTACTCTTTGATTATGTTACATTGAAATTGTTTGATAAATAATTTTTTTATTTTAATTGAAGAAGAAAAAAAAGGAAAGAGAGGGCTAGATGAATTAAAAACTGAGGCACTTGACGAAGGGTACAGAAAGATAACTGAGGAACGGGAAGGGGGAGGGGGCAGCAAATGAAGTAAACCTCAGTTCGCTAAGAATTATTAACAAAGTGGTCGTTGATTGTCGTCATCATCACGTCATAATTTTCTTTGGGATATTAAAAGTTGTATCCAAATACTACGGTGACAGTGTTAGGATATTAATTGGATTTTGTCTGGATTACCTCTAATGTCTTAAAAGGTTATCTCATGCAATATTAATTTGTTGGTTTATAGTGAAATAAACTAGCAGCTAACTAGAATAATAATAATAATAATACTTATATAGCGCAGCTTTTATACAAAATATATACAGCTGCGCTGGTTAACTCCTTTTTACTAAATTCTACACAATAAGATCTCTCAGTTCAATCAGTTGAACAGGTGAAGAAGGAAATGATGGAGAACCTGCCTGTCTCAATTCATTGTCGCCCCAACGGCCTTCAGGTTATGGGTCATAGAAAGAAATATAGAAATAAAAGAACTTAGTATTTACTATTTCCCGATATTTCATAACATTTATCACATCATGTGGCTTCCTAATCTGCATTAGTACCATGTTGACTTTTCAGAGTTATTATTTTTTTTCTCTGTTCCTTTATTGTTGAAGTATCAATAAAGTTACATGTACATGCATGTATGTCCCAGCAATACACAATCGCCGATATACCTGTAGGCCATATAGCCTTTATGCTTGCATCTTGATAATGCTATTTCTATTCTTCTCCCTTTTTTAAATATAAATATATCTCAATTGACTCAATAATTAGGCATGATCAAATTATGTTAGTCGATTTCCATTCAACAACTTTGTTTGACATCAGGGTTTGAAATTAAGAAAATAATCATAGATCCTAATCATTGAGTCAATTGAGATATATTTATATTTAAAAAAAGGTTTTGCTCTTTGTGCCTAATGGATCTCAATGGGTAAATGCAATGTCGCCCTCTTGCGTTCAAAACAGACAGTACTCACAAAATAAATTTTGGAAGAATGTGTTCCTGAGTTAAATTCAAAACATTATACACCATTAATCTTAAGCCAAACACGGACTTGATAAGTATCGAATATACTAAAATCCAGAGCAAGATAAGTGCAGAGGGAAATGAATTATAGTACTTGATCACTATAGTTTTCTCCATCTTCTTCTTTGTTTTCTTCTCTTCACCCTCCTCTTCCTTCTCCTCATCCGGTTTCTCTTTCTCCTTCCCACTCTTCCTCTTCACCTTCTCCATCTTCTCGTCAGCTGCTTCTTTTTCTTCTTCTCAGTCTTCTTCTTCTTATGCTTTGTCTTTATCTAAAGACTTAACTGCAAGCAACCAGTTTTGTCATGCATTTCTTTTTTTGTGCATAAATTTTAGTGGATCTTACATTTTAGTATTTTATTGTATTAAAAATATTAGCAAATTTATATATTCCCTAGTTTCGGAGACGCGGTGTCGATCAAATGGAGTTATTGAGTTAGGATAGGTGGTTAAGGGAAATATTTATACCAGAGGAGCCGGGGGCGGGAGGCACAGTGCCCCCCCCCCTCCACACACACAATTTTGTCAAGTATCCCTAAATTTCCCCTTTTTGCATAGGAAAGGTTACCCCTTTTACTTCAGATACGTGCCCATTTTTATATAATAGGTGCCCATTCCACATTCGTATTAGTGCCTCTTACCACTTCTGATAAGATAAGTGCCGCTTTCACCGATAGTAATTGCCCCTATTCAAACCTGAGAGGAGCCAATTTTACTTCAACAAGTGCCCTTTTATTTTATAACAAGTGCCCATCCCCTTCTGATGAGTGCCCCTATTATCTTTGATGAGTGCCCCTTCTCACCTCTCATTAGTATCCGCTTTTATTTTGACACGTGCCCCTTGTCTTTCTAATAAGTTCCCTTTTTCATTTTGATAAATACCACTTTCTTTTTTAAGAAGGGCAACTTCTCTTTCCCTTAAATACCCCTTATTACACGTCTGATAAATGCCACTATCTCGTAGGTGCACCTTTTTTTCGACAAATGCCCATTTTCCTTTGTAATGAAGTGCCCATTTACATTCTCACAAGTTCCCCTATTCATCTCAGGTTAGTGCCTCTTTTCAGGTACAGTAAATGATAGGTATGATAGGTATATAGTTAATATAATTTTGTTACTTATTATAGATGTTTTCAGTCTTTCATGATTAGGATTGTTTTTTTCCTTTTGGTAAGGTGTAATTTTTTTGCACTGCGACCTCACAAATCTAAAATCCAGACCATCATACCCTTCTACAAAGTATGATGGTTAAGTAGTATCTTGGACCACATAAAACAGTGAAATCATAACTGATAATCCAATCATAATGTACAAGGGTAAAAGAGCCTACCAGTGTCTAAAAATGATACATTTTCGCTTTGGTGCCCCTTTTTTGTTGGTGCCCCCCCCCCCTCCAACTTGGAAAGACGCTCCGCCACCCCTGATTTATATTATCATTGTCAATATTGTGCTATGCCAACAAAGCCCACAAGACCCTCGCGTCCGCCTCTCGGGCCTTCTCATCACTTTTCTTTAAAATTTACTAAACCGACGTGTATAGCCCAAGTGACGTCACGTTTCATTTTATGTCATCCGATTCTTCTTCTTTTGAACTTCAATCCTATACAAATCGTTATCTTGTGTACTCGACTGTTATCGGCTTCTTTTCAAGAACACTCACTGTGTCATTTATTTTGACACTGGCCCAGATCTAGGAACATCAAACGTCCTTCAAGTGACTTTCCTCTGAACATTACAATCCTATTTATTTCAGAATTATCTATCAACAAATATAGGTTTGGTGACAAATTAATAAAAAGAAGTTTATATGGTGATGATTTGATTAAAAGCCAAAGGTGGTTGTTGTGAACAGTCAAACATAAGTTCAATTGGAGGAGGGGATTGCAGAGGGCGATTTGCATTTTAGCTGCATTCATTGTGATACACTGCTAAAACATTATTATTTTTAACATTCTCATATCAAAGTGGAAATTCTTAGCAGAAATATCTTGTCTATACATTATTTTCAATCCTTCTATAAAAAAATCCTGTTTTATTTGATTTTAATCTTGATGTACATGTACATATGACCACCCTATACAAAGTCTGTATAAGAAACATTTATATTCCCAGACATAAAACAGTCTCGTCTCAACAAAAGAAAATCGTTCAAATGGTCCAAAACTCTTTCACTTCCTACATTTACCCGTGCTATAAAAAATGTAATGTTTGTAAAATATTGTTTTTAGCGAATATTAAATCAGTTGTTTTCTCCTTTTTCAATAATGTTTGTTTGAGTGTCCTCCCTCTCCCCATTTCCCTCTTCTCATAATTAGCTTTCTCTATTTGTATAATTATTTTAAGTAGATTATAATTATTATGTCATTTATATTTTTTGTTTTGTTAGGGCGACCCCAGCAACAATCCCCATGTTTTTAGTAAATTTCGCCCCCTTCCTACAATGCAAATATATATTTCATGGCAACTTTATGTTCTATTTGATTATAATATGAAGAAAACAAATGTTTATTGAATTAAATTTAATTGTATAGTCACGTATTTTTTGACATTTTTATACATTCAAAAGCATGGATCGAATTGTTGATGTTTTTTTTCTTTGTAAACAAACTGAAGTTTGAACCTTCTCAGTTTTTACGAAAGAAAGACAATCCGATGTAGAATAACGAATCATCTACTAGCATAATCATGTTGTAACATGTTTCTCCACATGATTTGCTCAAACGTTTGATTGTATTTTGAAAATGTATTTCGACCACGTAGAATGGAACCGCCTTCTCTCATCCCTTGTAAATATAATTTAAAAACTAGTAGAATATATATAACACCAAAAAATAATGATTAGTCACGGGGCAATAGGGCAAACAATCGAGACAGAAATTTTCAATTCATTTGATGATTGTGTCCAAAACTCATATAAATTTTCAATTTTTAACGCTGGGTTATACTCTTCGCAACATTGTAAATTACAAACCTTCCAAAGTGTTATTAACCTGAATTGTACACCAACATAATAATGCAGGTTCAAAGGGGACAATATATAAGACAAAATAGAAGATAACAAAATTTTTTTCTAAAACAAAATGTGGTGGGAAACGATTAAAAAATAATCATGGCAGACTTTATTTAGTATTTCGTAGGTTCTTTTTTAAACGATTCGAGAAACAAAGTTATATGCATGGGTATAATGGATTGTTTCATTTTTCACATTTTACTGCTACGATGGAAAGAACAACACAGAAGTAAATACAACTGAAAGGAAGAATTTGAGATGGATGGATAGGGGAAGAATGTATTTTCCTGATCATCCATTTAAGTTATAGCCCACAGCACACACACTTTTGTGGATTCGTATTATATTTACCTGGTGTTCTTGCAAGTTTATATCAGATCATTTATCTAGGTAAGCTCTATATACTGGTGGCAACTGCACTCTGTATGAGTTTGTTTGATAAGATTTCAACATACAAGTAGTTTGGGGTTACTTAATGGAGTATGTTTATTCGGGATACTCCCCCTCTTCAATGTCAATAGTGTTTTATCATTATGTAACCTGTCTGAGCTATAAAAGGTCAAAGCTTGCAGGAAAACATCCCATAAGTCAATTCAAGTCCATGCATTCAGGGCTTTTTCCACGATATAATTTTAACGATTTATGGTTGGTTTGGTGAATGGTGATGACCAAACATGGCTGCCCATCGTAAAGACATACAGAGCAGTCTTTTCATTATCTTGACAGTCCTATCTCTACATCTTGCCAGCGGGGAATATTCCTACCCCGATGTCTTCAATGATCCCGAACGCGACACCTTGATCACGGGGACGTTTTCCGACGACTTCGCCTGGGGTTCGGCCACCTCCGCCTACCAAGTCGAAGGCGGATGGGATGAGGACGGCAAGGGCGAGAGCATCTGGGACACCTTTTCACACAACGGTCGGATCTTCGAAAATCAAAACGGCGACGTCGCCTGCGACAGCTACCACAAGTATTCCGAGGACATCCAGCTGGTGAAGGCCATCGGACTGACCCATTACCGCTTCTCGATCTCCTGGCCGAGGGTGTTGCCCAAGGGGACACTCGCCGGGGGCGTTAATCAGGCTGGCTTGGACTACTATACCAACCTCATCGACGAGCTCCTCGCCAACGACATCGAGCCCGTGGTCACCCTCTATCACTGGGATCTTCCTCAGGTCTTGCAGGATGATTACGGCGGATGGGAAAACGACACATTGACCGATTTGTTCAACGACTACGCAAACCTGTGCTTCAACGAATATGCCTCTAAGGTATTAAGGGAGAATAATGGGCTTCATTTTTTATTATTATCATCATTATTACTACTATTAGTATCATTGTTATCACTATTTTTTTATTTTTTTAATTTTTTTTATTAATCATTATTATTGTATTTGTGTTTGTTTGTTGGAGGGAGGTGTTAGTGGTTACGAAATAGCTGCAGGGAACATTCCTATTCGGAACATCTACGTGCATATTCATTGTTATTGTTAGCATATATAAATAATTGTATCCCTTTTGAAAAACATTAAAATTTCGATAATATTCGACATCTTCTTGATGGATCCCCCTAAAAAATCTCCAACCGACACAGTTTTTATTTGTTCTATGATCATGAAAAAGCGGATTTATAGAGTGATTTATAACATAAATACTTGCAAATTATTTTTGAACTTATGCAAAGCGGCGCATTATGTTTAATAAAGTGGTTCCATGATGATCATTGATATAGTCACATTTAATTAGCGCTTATTCTATAAGCGCTTTACATTGCACTTTTAATATTGTTACCCCGGTCATTGGATTATATAGACCATTTTCGTAATGTAACCAAAATTAATATAATGCATTCGTCTTTGTAAAGTGCCTCGATAATAATGATTTCATGATTCATCTGTTAAGAATAAATGTATTTCAATAGTCAGATTGCGAATACATTAGTGGTTGCCAGGTATATGAATAATGTCATACCATAATAATATTATCAGAGGTTGATAATTAGGATAATATATTATCACAAACAAAATTGAATCGACGACAGATATTAAGAAATCCCTATTGTATTGAGAGAGGGAGGGAAGGAGAAAAAGAGAGAGAAAGAAAGAGAGCGCGAGTATAAGAGAGAGAGAGAGAGAGAGAGAGAGAGAGAGAGAGAGAGAGTGAGAGAGAAGCTTTAATGAGCAATAAAATAATGTACCACCCTGTGCTTGAACACCAACTGGATTAAACTATTTTTCTGATAATAATGTTGACTAACAAAATAATGAAAATATGACATGTCAGATGACTGAATTGATAATGCCCAAATCACACGTACGTAACTTTGCACTCTCTATATACATTTTCCATTTTATGGATGTAATTCATCACAATAATCATTTTAGCCAATAACTATGTTCTGCCTACCATATACTAGTACATAGCTTCGTCTTCATAACCGTCTCTCCTTGAATGTACCAGAACTATAAAGTATTAACGACCCCATTTCATAAATCGCGTAAAGAAAATGTGGGATATAATTATTATAACTTTCCGGAATAGGTATATTGACGTAACGCCTCCGTTAATTAGCATATACAATCTTCATGATGCACAAGAAAAGTTTATATGAAATGTTTAAAGAACCCCCGGGGAATTACCAGAACGTTTCAGAACATGCATCATTCTTAAAAATATTGGGTAACAGTTTGCTCAGCACGAAATCAATCAATTATGTATCTAACAAAATTCGGGGATTTTCTTTATCCTTGGGTAATATATTGTCCCAATTAGAGTCAACATTATAGAATAATTCTTCAAAATTGGCAAATTATTAACCGAGTTGGGATTTTAAATAAAAAAAATAGAAATAGATTTGAGAGGATACATAATTACCCTCATGAAACATTTTGTACCCAGTATTTCAAGGAAAAGGAAGTGGGAAATATAAAGAAAGAGAGAATGATTGATAGATAGATTAAGTCACATTGTGGCTGCGGCTTGCACAAAGCACTTTTGACAAAATTAAACACGCATTACAGTTGCATTGGTGATGGATGGGTTCAAGTATTTACTTGTAGATGAGTAAATATTTAATCTCTGAAAAAGTTATCAATTCACACTTAAAAATACAATCAACGCGATAGTTCTCATGATGATGCTTCTCCCGAGAAATGAACGTCTCCAAAAAAGATTGTTTGTGAGAACAAAGCATCATTATCATTAGTATCTCGCAGTGTTTGAAATGTAAACGTTATGTCACATTGTAAAGACCTAAAGTTCATGTTTAAGTTTGTAAGATACATCCAGCCACGTTATAGGGAATGGAACACCAGGGACAAACATCAACATTGCGCTCAAACATGATAAACCAGATTTCCTCGCTTTTCACTAAATAAATTAACCCGTGTTGGTAACCAAAGTTCATAAAATGGCACAGCAACTGGACATTGACAAATTGTATTTGACTTCTTCCGACGTCCGGGATGCATATTTAACGAATTATATTCGAGGGATTTAGCTATGAATTAGCTTGGATTTTGGAAAAAAATTCGCAGGTTGAACCTTTGAAAACTCTAATTTATGCACGTTATCGTTTATCCATCAAGATTCTGATATCGATATGCTTTGAAGCAATGCAGAGTGAGTTAGAATGCAAAACTGACTTAAAAAAACATAAGTTATAGGCACTACATATTATACCACGGGGCGTAAAATGATCCGAGCTTTAGCAAACTTTCGCATTTCAATTGCTTCTAAAACTCTATTTCTTAGTTACATAAAATCCTACTGAAATTTCTACTTCCCATTCCCCCTCTTTAGTTTTGCATCTTTTGCGCGCCCCTTCAAGTGCCGCCCGGTGAACCTTCCCCCTCTGCAACCCCTATATTATACGCCAATGAATGCACCTCACTGTTTCATGGGACTAGGTCTTGATCACCATAGTGGAGAATGCAAGGGAGGGGTATAGGGGTATTGCCCCATGTTACAGGGGCGGATCCAGCCGGCGGCGAGGGAGGGGCCCAAGAAAATATTTAGCGGCGACTCAGTCGGCTGGCCGAATAGACGGGAGAGGGGAGGGGGGGGGCATGGAGCTCTATTTTTATTTTTACTCAACAACCCCCCACCCCCTCCTTTGAGCAACAAAAACAGGGGAGGGGCCCGTCTTCTTTCCTTTTTTTGTAAAGGTAAAAGTTAAGGTTACTTTTTCAACCTATTTTTTTGGCCAGGGGAGGGAAACCGTGACCCCCGCCCCCGGATCATTATGTTATTTTTTATTTTTTTTAATTTGTAAATGTACCATCCCAAAGGAGAAACTTAAATACGCCACTCAATAAAAAAGTGCCCTCACACTCATTTTCACCCCTCATAATTATCAGGTAAACCTCTGGATCACATTCAACGAACCATACGTGGTGACCTGGCTCGGTTATGGAATAGGGGTGTTCGCCCCTGGTGTCTACAGTCCTGGCTACGCCCCTTACCGTGCCGCCCACACCATCATCAAGGCCCATGCCAAGGCATACAACACTTACAGGGCTAACTACTTCCCTCAGTATGGCGGTAAGGTCTCCATTACCCTTAGTACCGACTTTGGAATGCCGGAGTTCCCCGATAAAGAGGTGGATGTAGCGGCTGCTGACAGATACATGCAGTTCACTGCAGGATGGTAAGCATTCAGACCCCCCCCCCCCCAAAAAAAAAAAAAAAATGTTTCCTTATCATGGAATCAGACTCGGATGATTTCCTTGACCAGGAAAACGGTGGCGTTGGTTGGTCAAACCATGGGGACGCTATGGGGCGGATGATTGGAAGGGGGTGTGGAAACTATCAAACTGTTATCTTCTACACGCTCCCTTTCTCCATCTCCCCCGCGCGCTCTCTCTCTCTCTCTTTCTCTCTCACCTAATTATATCCCCCCCCCCCCCACACGGTGGTCCATTTTTTTGAAAACCTCGCCTTCCCATAAAATAATATTAGAGCCAAATCTTAATTGTCATTATTTTTGTCTATATAGGTTTGCGCACCCAATTTTAAAGAATGGCGACTATCCCGACGTCATGAAGTGGCAAGTCGGTAACAAGAGTCAGGAGCAGGGCCTCGCCGAGTCCCGTCTACCAGTGTTCACCGAAGAGGAGAAGCAGTACATCAAGGGGACCGGAGACTTCTTTGGCTTGAACAGCTACACCACGACAGTGTGCAGACATCGCATTGAACCTGCAGGAGATCCCAACTACGAGGGTGACCAGGTAAGAACCTGATGATAGCTAGGTTATTAGGCTTGTTGCATACCGGGGGGTATTTGAGTGCCCTTGACTCCCGAATTCCTTATTGAGGACAAAAAGGGGACACAATTTCGGAGTTGTGTACTTATGGCATGTCATTTGGAGTTCAAGGAGGTGGGGTGGGGCATAGGCTGGAATGTAGTGGGATGTGCCCCCCCCCCCCCAAAAAAAAAACAAAAAACAAAAAACAAAACAACAACAACAAACAAACAAACAAAAACAACCCAAAGAAAAAAAACATAACATAAAATATCTCAACATAATGTTCATAAGTTTGTTTAAACATTTTTTTTGGTTCACAATGACCAAGATCGACTTAAATTAGACTTGAATTATGGCAGGCCGTTCATGCCACTATAGTTCATCCAGCCATTCCTGGCATTGGTTTCTCAATGGACGTACAAATGGTGGTCACAAATCTACGAATTTACCTTTTTTGATAGTTCATTAATGAAGGAAAAAATATTATCTAAAGATCTAGGTACACGCGCCAAATCTCAGCGATATTGTTATAATTATTCAAGAAAGTCTTATGGATATGGGCCTGATGTCTTATAATTATGATATGATACAAAAGTCCCAAGATTTCCTCTGTACTAAGTCACAATAATAATGCTTCCTTTTCTTGCCCGTGTAGGATGTTTACCGCTACCAACCGGACAACTGGCCAACATCTGGTTCTGACTGGCTCCGACCGGCTCCATGGGGTTTAAGAGGTCTCTTAAACTGGCTCAAGATTGAGTACGACAACATCCCCATCTACATCACTGAGAATGGCATTTCTACTCCCGACGAATTCAACCTTGAAGATGACACAAGGACCACATTTTACAACTCTTACATCAACGAAGCCCTCAAAGGTATTAACTTCTAGGAAGTCATGTCCTGATATCTATTTATTAATGCAGGATCTGATGAAACCTCCGCATATTATAAGCCTGAATCCGATGACCAGGGTAATGATATTAGCATTGTGTAAAGCGCTTTGAGAGGGCATGCGGTCCTGAAATGCGCTATAAAAGAACGAACTATTATTATTATTATTAATGCAGGATCTGATAAAACCTCCGCATATTATTCATCGGAGTTTATTTCTTGTAAATTACCTACTATATTACTTTTGGAAACTTGCTGGAAAATTTTCAAGTAGATACAAAAAGAAAGTTTTCTTATAATTAAATAGCCATCTCAAAAATACTCTTTTTCACATTACCAATAAATATCCCTATTCAAATTTGATAAGTGCCTATTTTCCCTCATAATAAGTGCTCCTTTTCAGGAACAAGAAGCGCCCCTTTCCATCTCTGATAATTTCCCCTTTTCAAATCTGAGAGATACCCCTTTTTTTAACAAGTTCTTCTTTTCCTTTGTAGTAAGTGCCCCTTATTCATTCTTATTAGTGCCCCTTTTCATCTCTGGGGAGTGCCCCTATTCAAACCCGAGAGGTGCCCCATTTACTTAGACAAGTGCCTATTTCCCTTTCTAATAAGTGCCCCTTTTTCTCTCTGATGAGTGCCCCATATCCTTTTGAATAAGAGCGCCTTCCCATTCTCATGAATGCCCCTGTTATCTGATAGCTAGGTGCCCCTTTTTCTTTTTAATAAGTGCCAATTTTCACCTCTGACATGTGCTCCCTTAATAAGTGTTCTTTTCACTTAAAATATGTTTTGTCTTTAACGTCATACTCCTCATCTTTTTTCTTCCTCTGTCTTTCATAGCTTACAAGGAAGACGGCGTGAACCTTGTCGGTTACTTCGCTTGGTCACTCATGGACAACTTCGAGTGGACTTCGGGTTACAGCCAGCGCTTCGGACTTCATTACGTAGATTTTGACGATCCCGAAAGACCCCGAACGCAGAAAAACTCTGCAAAGTGGCTGACGGGACTAGTGGCCGACAACGGGTTTTCGGCAGCGCCGCGTCTACAAGGCGCAACATTCGTCGTCTGTCTTACCGCCTTGGTTTTTAAATTGTTTGTGTGAAATAAATTGAAATGTATTTCTGTAGTTTACTGCTCTGTTTTTAATTCAAATAATGTGATGCCTTACATTACAAAAAGGTGACAGAATAAATTGTACTTTTCACCCGAGCAAAAGTCAATTGTAGACCAAAATAATATGCAGTTAGTGTCCACAATCACAAATAGCGCTTTATCAAAAGAAATGGAAAATAATATGTGAACACGGTGGTGAATAACATGAACTTGTATTTACATTTCATTTAATATAAAGCTGAAATTTGTTGAATAGGTATTAAATGTATATGCTATTACTGTACCTATCTGTTGTTATTTTCTTTTCTTTCCATTGTTTGTTTTGTTTAGTATTTAATGAAACCTTATAATAAAGGGGAATTCTGATCATGGAAAAAACACAAATCCATGTTGATGAATATAACATTAATGGAGTACAGCAGTCCAGTTTGCAGCAGTCAGGGGCAGCACCAAGATAGCAAAGGGAGGGGCGAAACCCAACTTCAAAAATATTGATGGCAAATCAAGGATTTTGTAAAAACGGGGGCACAACATTTCTGACAAGCATAAAAGAAAACAAAAAAATGGTCATCACATTTTGAGTACCTTTGACTCCTGCATTCCCTATTGAGGAAAAAGGGACAAAATTTTGGAGTTGCGTACTGATGGTATGTCATTTGGAGTTTAAGGGGGTGAGGTGGGGGCATCGGCTGGAATGTAGTGGGATGCCCCCCCCCCCAAAAAAAAACAACAACAACAACATTCACCCACAAAAAACATAACATAAAACATCTCAACATAATTTTCATTTGACAGGAGGCAAAAGTGTAAACAAATAAGTCCAACAAGAAAGAGAGAGAAAGAGAGAGAGAGAGAGAGAGAAAGAGAGAGAGAGAGAGAGAGAGGAGAGAGAGAGAGAGAAGGGCGAGAGAGAGAGAGAGAAGGGCAAGAGAGAGAGGGGGATTGAGAGAGACAGAGAGAGAGAGAGCCAGAGAGAAGGGAGAGACAGAGATAGTGTGAAGAGAGAGAGAAGAAGAGTTGAAGGGACTATTCAATGACAATATGTATACTTTGATGCACTTTTGAAAGTGGGATATGGGCAATTAAAATAGAATGAAGCTTTGTTACATACAACAATGAGACAATCCAAAGAATGGATAGGCATCATCAAGGGTAGCACGAGCAATGATTTTTGAAGAATCCTTTGAAATGTAGGACATATTTGTAATCACACTACAGTGCGAGTCAAAAAAAAGTTTACACCTAGAAAATTGCTAATTATTTTTAAGATGATCTATGAACAGTAAATTATTATACATTATACTCTTATGAAAGAGTGTTTTATCCCAAATCATTTGGTACCATTTTTGTGTGGTATGTGTTCACGCTTGGATGTAAACTTTTTTTTTGACTCACACGGTAGATATGCAGCATATGTTTTGCCAATGGCAAGAAATTAATTCTTTAGCTAAATGAAAGGGGGTATGGTGATGTAGTATAATTCATCTTGTTTTATAAGTGAAGACTGAAGAACAAAACAATTCAATTCATCACATTTCTTTCTTTATTACAAAAAGGAATTCATCTAAACATCTCTAACAAGTCTCCATCACGTAAAAAAAAAAAACCATTCAGTTTACCAAACTGTCCTTAGTATACCGCATTAGCCATATTTTTAAAAAGATTAAATGTCTCAATTTACAACCTTAAAACAACGTTTTCTGATGGGGCAAATAGGGCAAATGTTATAGATTTATACAATGAAACATGTATTCACTGGATATGAATATCTTATTTATTAAATTGTTTCTAAGCTTGCAATTCTCTAGTTTCTATTCATGTTAAATAATGACAAAATGAAGTGCGATTGGGACTTCTCACAAGAGAATAATGTGTTAAATGGTTATTCCAAAACTTTGTCTTAGACTTATTTGTCCTCAAGAATATAACTTTCAAGGCCTATATTGTCTTATTTTTAAGCCATCTCTATGCAAAAGGAACAAAATGTATATATATATATATATATCCATGACTTTACCTTCAAGATATCATACTACGTCAAGTCTCATTACTTGACATTACATTGGATGGGATGAGTTTGAATCTTACTTCTGGGGCCATATTCTGAAAACGATGCTATCTTTTATGTAAGGGAAAATTATGTTAATTATCTGAACAAACTAAAATGGCACGGAATCAACACATACCATTTGTGCTTGCGTGTATGTCTCTTTAAAATTTACATGAACACGGCCAGCTTGGCCCAGACATTCAAACAATTGAGATAACATCGTTTTCAGAATACCCCCCCCCCCCTCCCCCTTGGGCCTCGGCCGACAAAGGTATGAAGTATACTTGTTCTTCAATTCAGAACTGAATAAATGACATACATGTACAGTCAAACCTGTCTGTAGCGACCGTCCAAAGGAAACACAAAAAGTGGTCTTTGTAGACAGGTGGTCACTAAAGCAGGTTTGACTGTTAATACTTTTAAAATGAAAGTTATTCCATCTGGATTACCAGTTTAATTCCACAGAGAATAAAGATTCTGGATATTCTCATCACTTATGATGGCCAAGAAATATCTGTAGGCAGCAGACAGCAAGGAACAATGGGAAAAAATCATTTGGCTTGACAAAGTCAACATGACTTGGTGAAAGCTTGCCTGCGAAAAGTTGGTAGATGCAGAAACTAAACACTGATTACCCAAACCACTGATGGAATTCTGTCTCCTACATTCCTAGAGGCTTTGGGACATCCTTTAGTTTCTTGATAAAAGTCTTTTGAATGGGGTTTTACTTCCCCAGCCTTCTTTAATCAGTGTGGACATCAAGGTTTGGATAAAGTCCTTTCCATCGCTTCTCGGTAGAACTCAAACACCTTGTCACAGGCTTTCTGGCAGACTGACATCAGCTTGTGGTACTATGGTAGGTGAGAAAGATAAATAGTTGAAGAAAAAATACTAATATTACATTTTAAGGAAGATATCATCATCCCTTGTATAGTCAGGCTGCACTGCGGTAGAGAAGACAATGCAGGAGAGAAAGGGACCAATCAGGGAGGACCTCTTTTCAGGAAAACATCATAGAACAAAGACAATTATATACTAGTAAATGTGTTTACATAGATTGAAATTAATCTTTTTAACTGACTGTACATTTCTAGATAAACATCATTTTTAACCTGCATTTATGTTACTTTTGAAAAGACCAAAACATTTATTTTGCAAAAGGAGATCATGAAAATATAAATGAAATATTCAAATGTTGTTATATTGAGGACATACTCTGATGAATTATTATTCTTTAAGAATGATCTACATCTTGTTAAAATGAGATAAAAAAAATACATACTCCATTTCATTTTGAATCCTAGGTTGATTTTAAGGAGTTGAGGGAAAAAAAATCCTGAACACTTACTTGTTCTACAGAACAGCTCCCTTGCATACTCGATGCTATGAGACTATGAGCTGAGCTATCAATGGCTGAGGTCAATACACATTCAGCATCCTATATAAATATATGAAATGAAATTATAGACACATCAAAACTTTGTACAGATAAGAATAAATTATTATAAACAAAAATATATAAGTAAAAGGCACATACTTTTTTCTCTTTTTTTTGGGGGGGGGGGTGGGGTATAAATAAAGCTTCCGCATGCTCAGAGCCAAAAGGGTGTTGACTTTAATTATTTAGAAATTATTGGTCAATGGCCCTTGGCAGATAAATTCAAATTTAATACAACATACATACTATTTAAACATAGTTGTGGCTTACACTATGTAAATAAGATCGAATGATTGATTTGTTATTGAAAAACAAGTCAGAAAAAAAATAATCTTGAAACCAGCATGACTTGAACCTGCCATCTACTGCTTGCCGGCAAATCTTTCAAGAACTCACAATGAAGACACTCATTTTATAAGATGTTCACAATAGAATAAAAATTTCAGAACTGAGGCTCATGAATAGTAAGATACATTTGGATTTGTGGGTATTCCCAGTATTCTGAAAGCCTAGAAGACAAAAGAAATACATGAGAAAAATGGAAAAACAAGGTGTTCCAAAAAGTTCACAAGACAAGACAGGGACCAAGACTTAGAAAGCAATTAAATACATATGGGAAGATAGGAAAATATTGAGCTCCTGTGAAGTAGCCATGCCACAATTTGTTTCTGCCATTATATTTTGTGATTCAAATGATTTAATTGTGAGATGAGAAAAAAAGGACCAATAAGCATTTGATTTCTCTCAAAAAGAGCTTTTTAAAAAGAAGGCCTCTTCATTAGAAGTAAAAATAGCTACAAAATATAGATGTAAAAATCGGCCTGTAAGAATTTCCATCATCGAAGCAAAACGTCTCCTTTTCTTTTTGTAAAATAAGAAACATAAATGAACTTTCAACAATTCCCTGCATCAACAATTATTATTGATGAGCCCATAGCATTGTTTCATGGAATGATATTGAGCCACATCATACACGAATCTCTTGCCAAATTAAAAAATGTCTATTAGAAATATATGATAGCACTTATTTCCAAAGGATGTTTGAAATAAGTACACTTGTGAACAAAACAAAAACAAAACTATTGTTTGATGCCTAATTACCCTTACAAGTATAAACTGACCAAGGCACTTACAGCTGTACAAGTGTTTTCGTCCTAGGCAGTATATTAAACAAAAAAGGACTGAAAAAAAGACATACCTTTGTCTGTTCCTTGGTTGGATCCATAATAAGTTCTTCATCTTTACCCATCATGCAGCAGGAAGCTGCGACAGTACATTTCATGGGTATGCCAGCGTTGATCATGGCTAGGCACGCTGCGTTGATACTACATGCCAACAGCTGATGGTGATTCAAGGTCAAGGCATTTACAACAGTAGTGCTCAAATACGATACCTGTATATCTCATCGTGAAAAAGATCATAGAAAGTTTAATTTATATAATCAGATAACCAATTTGGAACGTTTCAATCTTGCTTATTCTATGAAAATACTGACTAACAGTGTAGTGTAAAGTGAGTGGCATTTCATCAGCTACTAGTGTTGCTTGAGAAAATTTTTATGAACAATTAAAACAATTGGGCAAACGTTAATAGCATCTCTCAAACAAACACAAAAAAGGAGACCTACTTTACACTTCCATTTGAGACCAATACGATAACAAAAATATAGAGTTTCTTTGAAGTATTATCTAGTTTTGGGTAGCAAATTGGAAATTGAAATGTATAAATCTTTTCAACGTGATTTTATTAAAGTCATTGACAAATTTAACAAAATTTATTTCTACTCATGATTTACATTAAATTTTGTTGTAAAAGTAACCTGAAAGAAAAGAAAAGAAAGAAAAAAGGAAACAATCTTCATATTCAGCCATTTGCTAAACTTTATAAACAAGCTGACTGAATGGCGAAGTCCGGTCTTCAGCATCTGCATTAGTGAGGCCAGATGGCCTTCTTCTAACCTCTCTTACCAGGTTTTGTGAGGTCTGCCACAGGTCTTTTTTTAATGGTTTATACCAATACTTATGTACGGTGCAATTGTGTTCAAATTCATATTGCATTATAATTTATGAAGGATACGGCTCCTGCATCCTGAATCTCCTGAACGATGATATCAACAGAAGAACGTGGGAAGAGTGTGGTTAGCAGTACAGTCTCGCATGTATTCCTTATCATCCTTTCAAGGGCTTTCTCTCTCACACCTGATCAATGAAAAACACATCATAATATTGTATAAATAAGCATGTAGCTCTATTTCACTTGATCCAAGTATCAATATTTCTGAAAGCTTTTTCCCACTAACTGCTTTGTGCATGATATACATTTTTATGATACTGGAAATATGACATAGGTCTACATGTAATATTGAATAAAAATCTTCCAATTAGTTGCGACCATTCTAAGTAATCTAATTCTTCATTTCGGAAAATTCAAATTTAGATAGATCTGTAAAACTATCGATAGTTTCACCTGCATCCAGTAATATTGAACAAAAATGTATATACTCATGACAAAGTGAAGGAATACAGAATATGTTTGTACAATAAAAAGAATGTGTGTGTATTATGGAGGTAAAGTAGAGGAAAGGACATCTAGTCTATCTAGTGAGGAATATAGGGAGAAAATTTTAATGTGCCAAGTCTCAAGACTCCCAAATAACTTGTTTTCATAACTTTCTTTAGAATGAATGAAAAACATACGTTATTTACAGTTTACTCTGATGATATATCTGACATTCATCCTTACCTGATATTCCTATCTTTGGTTTGTATGTAACTGTTACTGTTGCCTTATCCATAAGAGCTTTATTTGGTTTGACATCCCCAGGTCCATACACAGCTGCCATCACAGATGTGTCACCTACATGTACAAACATAACAAAGGACAAATTCAATGCAATTTAAATACTTTCAATTTCTTAAACAGACAAAAACCTAATAATAGAGTATGTCGCATTATTATCTTATAAAGTGTGGTGATTGATTCAGATTACTAGTACTCCAATCACAAATTACAACACTCTCTCCTTAAGTTTAGTACTGAGTCATGATTGACACGAAGTTGTGATAGATTCAAGTCAATTTCAAGTATTTAGTCAAACAGGCCCATGTTTTTATACAACTTTATTGAAAGTTGAAAGTATTTTCCTTCTTCTTCTTCCTGTTTGGTTACTTTAGTACAGTCCACCTCCATGCATCAAAGCTGTCAGTGTCAAAACATGACAAAATCTTTTATTTTGCTGGTCTTAATTTGTAAGAAACATTTTACAAACTAAGTTACAAAGTTGTTTGTCAACTGTACAATTACCATCCTGTCCATGACATACACGCTGTATCTTCTATTTTACTGACTAAATTTTAACAAAGTCAGTCAAGTAAGGATGAGTGACATGACACAATTCAAATTACAACATCATCATCATGACCATTTCATGTCATTAGTAAGTTACAATTTTGAATAAAATAAGGAATTAATTGAAGCATATTTAATATAAAAATGACAAAAGAAAAACAGATTAATTCCCCCCCTCCCCCCCCCCCCAAAAAAAATAAATAATGCAAATCCATGAAATTTCATATCCAAGACTAAGAGGGAACGTGGGCTGCTCTGCAGATAGACCGAAAGCTTCAGTCTCTTTACCGTCGGTTGTTCCACTGAGACTACGTCTGGCTCCACTAGACCTCCGGTTATAGAGACTGAACGATCGCCTATGCCAGCCTATGTTGAAGATATCACGGCTAGATTTTAGCCGTTAGGCCCCTCCCACAAACATGAACAAACTTGCCACGGCCGTATTGTTATGCCCCCAAAATCCCCCAAAATGTCATTTTACCTCGTGCATATCCAATTTTACATTAGGCCTAGGCTATAATACATCGGTTCCACTTACTAACTTGATTGAAATAATCCGTTTAATGGTCCCTTTTAAGGAAATTATGGGGTAAAATGACATTTTGGGGGATTTTGGGGGCATAACAATACGGCCGTGGCAAGTTTGTTCATGTTTGTGGGAGGGGCCTAACGGCTAAAATCTAGCCGTGATATCTTCAACATAGGCTGGCATAGGCGATCGTTCAGTCTCTATAACCGGAGGTCTAGTGGAGCCAGACGTAGTCTCAGTGGAACAACCGACAAAAGTGATTATGAAGGAAAAACTGTGATAACGCTATTACGAACGTGTAGATGGCGCACAGTTTTTCCTTCATAATCATTTTGCCTTCGGCGTAGACTAGAAGGGATGAGATTGATGGCAGCGAGAGTTTAACACGGCTTGCAAGATTTTCAACATGGATGTCGATTTTGACCCATAATTTCCTTAAAAGGGACCATTAAACGGATTATTTCAATCAAGTAAGTAAGTGGAACCGATGTATTATAGCCTAGGCCTAATGTAAAATTGGATATGCACGAGGTAAAATGACATTTTGGGGTTTTTTAGGGGCATAACAATACGGCCGTGGCAAGTTTGTTCATGTTTGTGGGAGGGGCCTAACAGCTAATATCTAGCCGTGATATCTTCAACATAGGCTGGCATAGGCGATCGTTCTGTCTCTATAACCGGAGGTCTAGTGGAGCCAGACGTAGTCTCAGTGGAACAACCGACGGTATAGAGACTGAAGCTTTCGGTCTACTCTGCAGACTGACTCAGCCAAGTGCACGCTTTCACACCTGCATACCTCTCCCTATATATACTCGCCTCCGCGCCCGAGCTCAGGGGACGATGAAGGTGAGCACCGCCGATTAGCGAGCAGTGCGACAGGCACAATAAAACTAGATCTTTATATAATATTTCAGTCTATTTACATTAATTTCTTACCCTGAGTGAACACTGCTGATCCATCTGGTTTAGAAATGCAGCTCTGTAACGACCCAATTGGTCGAATTTCGACCGAGGAATTATTTTCTGGATTGGAAGTCATTTTTGCGGATTTTCACGTGCATGCCAACTACAACAAGTATGGAACGCCACCGTGTAAACTAAAGAGCCAATTTAAAAAAAAGTATAATTATACTGAATTTTCATGCGAAGCTGATGAATTTGAAATTTGTCTTTACCTTTTAGTTTTGTCCTTGTAGAAAATACATACTGAATTTTTCCCTGTAACATCACTCAAATTCCTTTAATTAATTTTTTTATCCAGAAATATTTAACCTTAATTTTTCCTTTGTCTTTGCATTGACTTGAGTCATATATAACTTTAAATCTCATCACAAAAAATATTACTTTTTAAATATAGAAGGCATTGATATAGGCGCCGATGATAAAGCACATTTCATAAATTCATGACATCCGTCATATTTATATGGTGATACTTTATTGCTTAAAGCTGATTTTAATATACATTTTATATTCATAATTCACCATTTTTCATGACCCTCTTAAAATCTTCAAGAGATATACATATAGAACTTCAATTCTCTATCTTCACTTTCACTTTCACATTCACTTTCTTGATTTATATTGTATCTATGTAGCAGCACACAAGTCAAGAAAGTTAGGAAGATGGAAGAAAACCCAAAGGTGAATTAATGAAGGAAATCCATTCATTGAACTACGCTTATCCGTTATCATATAAGTATCAATTACAATGAGCACACAGTATGATCATTATTATTTTGAATCTGTCACTTTATTACTCTTCAACACCCCAATCATAATTACAGAAGAAACCCACATTAACTTGTCTAGCTGCTAGACAATTTTCCAAAAATTATACAAAGAAAAACATCAAGGAACAAATATAGTACAATAAAGTGTGAGTGACCATAATACATTATGTACAACTATTTACAATATCTGTGACTTTTTATGCTTGATCTGCTTACAACAGATTTTAGCCACTGAAATGACATTGACAGGATATGTTGCAACATTATTGATGCACTATCAACTGCAAACACGTCGATGCTTTGAATACAGATGTTACATATAATACAATGCAGACACAAGGAGATGTACAATTCAAAGTCAAACATAACATATTTTAACCAAATTAAATAAAGGCCAATTCAATGAGAGTAATTCAAACAAAATTTGGTTCACTCCTCATAAGGTAATAAAATTGAATTTTCCATCAGTGATCTTACCTTTTTGTTCATTGGCGCTCATTTTGATTTTTTTGTTTGTAGGGGGAAAAAAATCAATTACTTCACTTATTAGGGTTTGTGTATTCTATTAGGATTATCTGCCTTTTAAACTATACAGAACATATGTGGATCATGTTTCACAAGTAAATGATGTAAATAAGTAATCAAGTACCTATTTCTGAAAATAAATTTTAATTCACAATCAATTCCATAGAGAGATTATTCATTGGTAGATCTTGTGCCTATCTGCTACATATGGAAATATATATCAGTATAGAGATGGACAGACAATGCTGCTTGGAAAAGAATATTTACCAAACTATTATTACATTCAAAGGAACATTAGTTCTACCAACAAAACAAACAAACCCAATGAATATGAATCATACAAAAAAGAAAGAATACACCTTAAGTCATAAAGGATTTAGAAAAATAGATAGGTATCAACTTGTTCAATGTTATAACTTAAGCAAAAATGAAAATTTGGCATAGATATTTGAGAGAGCAATCTTTAAACAAAATTAAATGGAATCACTGGTATTAATCAATCAACAAATTGACATTTATGATCTACAGACTGGATGAAATAATACATAAAATCCACATACAATATTAATTGATGGGTATAATGGTTATTTCAGGCACAATTCCATTGTATTCAAAGATCTAAGACAATTACTCAAGTCAAAACATTGAAAGACGTAGATAAATAATCAGCAAAACCTTACAGTTGACAATGCTAAATATTAAGGAATGCTCTTATGCTTTGAGAACAAAAAATGGACAAAAGTGTACAAAGAGAAAGATGGTACAAAAAGAGTTTTTAGGAAGTTATCCAAAACCCAACTCATAAACTCATGAATTTTCTTGTCTGGTATGGTTGAAAAATATACACCAACACTACTAACCTAAAGTGACCAAACATATTCTGGAACAAATGCAATGAAAAATATAATTTCAATACCACATTGAAATAATAAAATACAAAAGCAACATGTCACTGTCTTTACCATGCTTGTGCATTGGAGTATGGCATGCAGTCTTGGAATACAGATGTCTTGAAACAGGGTGTATGATTGAAACTAAAAGTGGTGCATCGATGCCATAGGGTAAGGCACCAATTCTCAAGTAAGGCACTAATCATCAACTACACAGTCTGTTGGATATTGATAGGAAAGCGTTTGGAGTTTTCCAAGTTCATTAAATACAACTACACAATCATATTTCTTGCAACCCTGGTTAAATAGATATTCATTATTTAATCATGGTAGATATGTACATATCACACAATGCTTTAAAAAAAAACCACACATAATGAGGTAAATGAGACACACTTGCCCACATAGCATCAAAGGATTTCTAACAATACCTCCTCATAACCTAATCTAAGTCAATGCCTGAGTATGCTGATCAAGGTACTGAAAATTCATTAATTAACAGTAATTTTTAAGAGAGACCTTTAATGCTCCATTTCAAAAGTTAGTTTTTAAGTTTTTACTCCACCATTTTCTCATATACGTCTCTGGTGATGAACATCTATACTAGATAGAATCATAGAAGACAGTCTATTTCTATGTAAAACAAACAAAAACCCAAAACTGAAGGACTGATCAACAAAAGATAGAACTATATGAAACAGAAACAATAGTGAATACAATAAGAATGGAGAAACAAAAAATAGAAAAAGGAAAAATTGATACTTCTTGAGAGAAATTGAAGACGATAAACAAATGGAGAAGAAATAATGGAATGTGACAAACAAGACAACAAGATATAGGAAAAAACTTGTGAAAGAAAACAGCATTTTTGATGATCAAAGCAGAAAGAAAGAACAAGAAATTGTGTTTTGTCAATTTCTAAAAATCCAGGAAATTTGAGTATGTCCAGCTGAACGGGATCAGATCTCCAAAGAAATTGTCCTCGTTATCACCCCCGCCGAAGATAGCAAGAGACTCCGCCATGAGCATGTTCTCCTTGTCTTCTTTGGATGCAGTCTTGATACCATGGTAACTGGTGATAGCATGACCTGCTCTGATACCGATTGGTACACTGGAGTGCAGCTTCACCTCGCTCCAAGTAAAGGTATCTTGAAGGAGAACAAAAAAGCCAGGAAATTTAATCAAACTATCTTGAATTTTATACCATATCTTCTCTATACAATGATTCCCATATAAATGAATTACGTTCATCATGTCTGCTTCAAATGGTTCATCATTTGATGAGCTGTAGTATGTAACTTTGCTTGCATCATGTTAAAACTATTAATGAAATAAACTGATAGATCGAAACTTGAACATCTGTTGGTTGAAATATGCCAATAAATTTATCTTGAAATGATAAGTTCTACTCGAACCAACATACACTTCCATACTCAATTTGAAGAAAAAAAACTGTGAGCATGCAACAATTATGTTGAATTATGGTGAATAAATATTTCCTTATATTTTAAGTATATTAGTTATGTCTGTGAATCAGTATCAAATTTTCCAATCCCTTTTACATCAAAGTTAACACTTCTTTTAAAATGTTGATAACTAACTACGTTTAGAAATCATCATCAATCGGATGTTTAGAGATGGATCACCACCATGCATGTTTAATTGCCATGGTAACAGATGAGACTAGACTTTAATAGATGTGCTACTCACCAAGGTGAAAGATGAATGTATCAGACAGAGCTTCATTTCCATTGTATCCTCCATGGATGAGGACTTTGTTACCAGGTAAAGCAATGGAGGCATGCCAACTGTAAAGAAAGGAGGAAAATAATTGTCCTTTGTCACTTGTCTTTTGATGCTTCGATCTGAAGGAGCTACCTGAAAAATTCACTATACCTTTCATGACTGATTACTACAGTAATTAAAGGAATTAAGATGTCACACTTGCATCCTTCATATGGCATGCCCAATAATGCCTCCATTCCTACACAAGTAATAATTACCTTTAACTTTTATGACTAATAGTGTTCTGTATATTCTAAAGGATACACATACAGTAACAGATCAAAGTAACTATGAATATGGAACTGGTATTTTTTTTAGCATACCCCGGTATTGCATATCAAATATTGCGCCATAGTGTTATACTGCCATCTTGAGGCACAGTTATTATAGTCTATGTTTTTGGCATCGCAATGTAATCAGAGCCTATGCCTGAATAAATTTAGGTAACTTCAGTAACTATTGTGTCTCCTTTAACTGGTGTTAATCAAATATTGGATGATAGTACAAACTGGCACCCTTTTATTACTCATCTGAATGGAGCAGTTATCAAGTATATATACCTTCTTGGAGAGGGTGGTGTCCCCATCATCTTGGGGGAAGTGAATTCCATTAGACCTGCAAGAGGGAATATTCATTTGTGAAATATATATGTATATACTGAAACGTAATGAAATAGGATGTCATATGTCGATGCCATAACACTATACCGAGATGAGAATAAACATGAAGGATTGTTTAATGCAAAACTTGTGAGTTCATAAAATAATTCTTGTTTATACAGTGCAGCTTCTATACAAATATTGTCCATAGCAGTTACACAAAATTACTCCCGACTCAATTAAGCCGGGCAATCATCAAGCATTCGGTGCTATGACAGGGTTTAAAACAAATACCATGAGATCCCCATTTTGCTGATTTATCCACAAGACCTTACTCCTCTATAGATGCCTAGACTTTAAAAATTATGATTTGATTTCATTAATATTGTATTTGTACACAATGAATATTGCCGGACATCCGATGTCTTTGTGGACATCTACATACAATATATTTGGACAGTATAGTTGACGATATGACACATACATGTATATCATATATCACATCATATATCAAAGCTATACTCACATAGATCCAATACATGAAGATCATTGTAGCAAACAGGAGCATCCCAACCTCCAAAGATAACCAATTGATCCCCAAGGAGAGTAGCAGAATGGCTGAAAATAAAATCATAGGCAAATGTAGCTATATCATTACCATACTACTTGGTAGTTAATATGCATCACCTAAATATATTACTAAAGAACCTTGCTATGTTCCAGGTCAACTGGTTAGATTTAAAAAATAAGGGCATATTTCTACAGCAAAAGCACCATAACAATTTAATTTTAATTTAATTTCATATGTAGCAAAGAAGCAAGGAGGTGAATTTCCTTACATTTCTATTTGTTTTTAATAGATTCTGTATCTGTTTCTAATGGATCCATATTTGCTGAATTGCCCATATGCATGAAGACGTTTCACAAAATTAAAGAACAAAATTAAATTTTATTACTTAAAATGGACCTTCTGTCCAAGCGAGTAAAATGAAGAAAAAAACAATCTGAAATTGTTGCAGTATAAAAATGATGAGTGTGGTTCATATATGATTTTGTATGGAATGCCAATTGTGCTAAACTTACCCTGATCTCGCTTTTGGTTTGGTCCCCATGGTTACCGGCTTATACCAACTCTCAGATTCTAGGGGGGGAAAAAAGAGTAGTATACATGAACATTTGGTTTAAATACATCCAACGACCACTCTGCTAGACAAAATTACTAAGGGATTAAACATTCAAGGCACTCACACAGTTAAACTTGTTCATATTATAGGGAGGCGCGATAGCTCAGTCGGTAGAGCAGTGGTCTTGTAATCCGGTGACCTGGGTTCGAAACCAAGGCGATGCACCAGTGCCCTTTGGTAAGGCATTAATCCTCATTACCAGGTCCCTCAGAGAGGACCTAAAGCCGTCGGCCGTCTGGTTGCTTACTTACAAGCATTTATGCTTTCTTAGCAGTCAGGTAAAATAACCACCACCATTCATATTCTTTATCAAATTTTCTTTAAAATTTCAATCAATCAGGTCAGATGCAAAAAAATAAGTCTCTAATATTCTCACAAAAAGCAATAAAGGATGCTGCACTTTGCAGCCAGGCAAAGATGCCTGTTGAGACAGCTCTATCCTACTGATTAAAGAAAAGTGTCCTACATATATTTGCAGAATATAAAATCAACAATCCTTTTATAACATATTGCTAGAATATGGTATAATGTATAATATATTTTACTTTCCAAATCCAAGGTTGTTGTAAATTGGTGCAAGCCCTGCAGTGACATTCTTCTGTCGACTCATGACCCGACAATAATGGCCAAAATGTTTGCAGTTTTACTGGAAGGCATTGCTGAATTACCTGGATTGAAGATGACAACATCGTTACTGCAACCATCAGGCTGGGGGTCGGGGTTAGGGTACACACCACCAAATACATAGAGTTCTTTGCGGAAGAAGGTTGCAGAGTGATACGCTCTGGTAGGGGCTACGCCAGCAGCCTGGCAAGGAGGTAGAGAAGAGGGTATGCAAATCAACAGTTATTTTAGAAAAGCCTGTTGTCAACAAAATATTAGAAATACATGAAGTAGAGAATATTATATTGTTCCAAGCCATGTCTTTCAAAAATAATTTTTATCAGCTAAAACAGATTCACTTTACCTGGCAAAGAATTTTGGATGGTTGTACAGGATTTGCATGTCCTACACAAGGAAACAGAATCAAGTGTACTTTTTCTCTATGTTAAAACAAATTATGTTGAGCTTTCTAAAGTAAACAAGAATGAATAATCAAAAGTAAATATGTATCATTCATGCTTTGATTCTTACCTCAACAAGTGACCACTTCATCGTTCCAAGATCTAAGATGTGCATGTCATTGAACCAACGTAGGTTCTTGGATCCCCCAAAGACAAACACGCTGTTGAGCTCAGGGTCAAAGGTCGCAGTGTGACCCATGCGGGAGGGAAACTTGTCTGAAGAGGTCTCGATTGCTGGCACGCTCCAGTCACCAGTTTCTAAGAGGAAGCAGTTTTTTTTATAAAGAATTCATAATTCACACAGGGCTTGGGGATGCATGAAGCACCATCAAGTTCTCTGAAATGTTGATCTTCTTCAAACTCAGTAATCAGACTAATCACTAGTTCAATTTGACTGGTGATATCGTGAAAAGCACTAAAAAATACCTTTGTGACCCATTGGATTTGCTTTTGGTATCACATCTTCCATGGTCTCCAGCCTCAGAAGTCTTCGGCTAAGAATCCAATGGCTTCATCTTGAAACAACGGCTTAAACTTGAAATATGGTATATTTGTCAAATCTGTGAACACGATCAATTTATTTATTTATTTTTAATCTTTTGTCAGGGTAGCCCATTCACCAATAAGTAGTGGTCTTCCATGGGGCCCTGAATAAACATGAACATATTTACATCAAAAAGCATAACGTTTATACAGAACAGATCAATGATCAGAGCATACTTTTAAAAAAAAAGAATAGTGCATTACCTGTATTAAGCATCCAGATGGCATCCTTGCTGATGGTCTGTCTGTGCCCTTGTCCCCCAATCAACAAGCAATTGCGGTTGCCTACATCACACAGAGTATGGCCCCATCTGGAACTAGGCTCTGAAAAAAAGAAGAAAAGAGAGTAACATGTTATCAATTCACTTCCCAATGGAACTCTCTAAACAGTGCAGCCGACTACAATGGTCATCTAGACCACACCTTATCGAATACTGTTCATGAATCTGTGCTAAGAAAAATTGCAGGAGGCATCTTTGGTAGGTATACAACATTGTGATAGACGATGCCATTGCCTGGCTCTCCAAACTTGATATGTCCCTATTACTGCCAAAACCTCAAACAGAGGAAGCAAAGATGATTAATGCACTACGGTATATAATTTTATAATGGAGACTACCCTTATTGATTCATCTTTTTTAATTGTTTATATCACTCATATAAAATGTTGAAATACATATAATGGATGCTACTGCTGCTTTCTGTGAATCTTGGTAACTTCTGTGCATAACGTTTAAAAAGTGGTGTAATAACACATCTTCCATATGTTTTCTGATTCAAGATATATACCTGAAGTGTTCATTTAATGAAAGATTTGAACTACAGCTTTCTATACCTGCATCATTTTCTTTCTTCCTTCCTGGGGTCTGGGGACGTTTTGAATTTTGCTTGTCCGAGGTGACCACCTTCGATGACAGCGGTGATGACATTAAGGTCGGTGATGGCCTCTGTCTCGATGACTGCCTCTTCCTGGAGCTTGGCGGAGTACCCTCGTTGTTATTCTCTCCATGTTTCATCTTTCTCTTCTTGCTAGCTGAGTGGGAGAGGTGAGGTGGTCGCTGTGGTGTTCCTTGGACTTGAACCTGTGGGGTTTGGTGTTAGGAAGAGTTCCTTTAGAAATGCCAGTCCATTTCAGACAAACAAAATATTTCGAATAATCCTCCCTCCTCCTCCTCCTTTTTTTGCATTTATAACAATTTGTAACTATTATATGTTTAATATGATGCAGCATGCATTGACACATGAACATCTTTTCAAAAGTCAAGAAGACCAATCCATCTTAATAGCCATGTCAGGGCAGCATGAGAAAACAAAGAGTGAAGTTATCCAAGGTTATGTTCGACAACAATGGTGGACAATCTAGTCTTGATGCTCACACCATCTTTCAACTTAATAGATGGAAACTTTGAAGGATTGAATTCCCTACAATATATTATAAGGGTTATAACTGAAACTTTTCTGAAGTTTAATACCTGAGGTGTCTCCTCATTTTGTTTTGCCTCTTTCATTGATCTTTCAACGAATGGACTTGAAAGTGTTGTCATAGAACACAATCTTTCTTGTTCAGGTTGTGAGTCTGTGACTTCTGCTTCAGGTTGTGAGTCTGTGACTTCTGCTTCAGGTTGAGAGTCTGTGACTTCTGCTTCAGGTTGAGAGTCTGTGACTTCTGCTTCTGGTTGTGAGTCTATGACTTCTTGAGGTTCTGTGATATCCTGAGATTCAGTCTGTGAAGATTCCATCATGATTTCCTCCTGTTCGGCTTTCTGGTCGGTTTCCTGTTTGGCGGTATCGATGTGGAGATGGTAGCTATGCTCTTTCAATGGAATGGTGAAGCCTTTGCTTAGGTGTGGCTGCCAGCAAAATGCTCTGAATTGGGAATTGAGATTAGAGAAAATGAGATATCACAATTCTCCTCTCATTAAATATATCTTTATTAAAGGAACAACATCCCTCCTTTAAGTCTAAGATAGATAATATTGTGTTGCATATATAGTCTCCAATGAAAGAGTCTTGAATAAAAACAGAGAATTTGAAGATTATTCAATGTTTTGTTGCATAGTAAGTTGAAGTAGTCTGATGAATTTATCATTATTTGTGCGCATCTTCTCAGACTTTTGCTTATAAATCAATTTCTCTAGATTTGTTTTTCTGCCTTCACTCGGAACAACATATCAGCAAAGTTGGGCTTCACTTTAGCGACAGAATACATCATATCCTTTATATTAAAAAATGCTTACTCCAAAAAAATTGCCCTCCTGATTTTTTCAGTTATTTTACCTGCTATCTTGTGTGATTGATCCAACATCCAAACACTCTTCCTTGTTTTCATGATTCACAAGGGTTGCCTTCAGGGAAATATCCTTGTGTGTTGATTCTGAAGAAACAGCAAACACTGCTACCATTTCAGGAAACGGACAGGGCAGTAGATGTGTTGATCTGTGTTTTTTTTAAAGGGGAGGATAGTTTACGTTCATATTAATTATTACCCATAATAATTAAAGTTTATAATTTAAAAAAAAGAAGACATTTTAAGTTGATGATAAAAGTAAAATTTGACTGATTATAATCTATCCTTTAGAAGAAAAAAAAAGGGATAAATCTACTACTAGATCTAGACTCTAGTAGTTACGTACTACACTGTAGATTAGCCCTTAAATCGTCATGAAACTAGATAATATACATTTTTGTTCTCTTAATGTCCGACTGATAAATGTTAATGTTGCAGATCTGATATCTATTACACCACAAAACAAACCAAACACCAACAGAAGTGAAAATTGTTTACAATTTACATGTTCTGGAACTTCTAGATGTACCACTACCAGATCTACTTCTAGACCACTTGGAAAATGAAAATCATCTTGCAAAAATTGATGATCTTTTACTTAGTCCAAAACCCCTTCATGACAATATTAATGACAATTTCAAAGAGCCCTTTTAGTCTTACTTTGATAAGTCACTCTTAGTCTTAGACTCTGTCTTACTTAGTTAGGCCTAGAAATCTTTATTGCTGAATACAGTAACGTTAATGACACTTTATGTTCTTAGACTTAGTTAAACTCAAACTGCCAGTGCAAAGTTAGCCGAGTTTTGAACTTTGAGATGCCAAGATGGTATACCTTAGATTCACAGTAACTGGCATGCTTGAAGTTGAATACACTGCGAAACACTCAACACCAGTGCTGGTTGTTTTACTTTCAGTTTTAGCCTTAGGCTCCATCATGTCACTTGTTTCTGTTTCAAAAGTCAGAAGACTGATTTGTCAGCAGCTCAACTTGTTCTCACGTTCAGTCTCGATCTCGAGTCAAAGTCAAACTCAGGCCAGGGGTGAGAAGTCGGTCACCCAGTTGCTGGACCAGGCTCACTGGTAGAAATCACTTAATTCTGTAAATGAACCTAACCGGCAATGACCATTCGAAATGGCAAAATAATCACAAACTGTTGTCCTGACTGTCTGCGATTTGTGCACTTGTCATCGCATTCGCAGTCAATCATTCATTTCAATTCAGTCACCACACATCCACTTGCTGGAGCTGGGCGCGGGCCATTTGTTTAGCCTGCATGTAATGTTGATAGATAATTTCACGATGTAACCTCAGAGTCAACTATTCCAACATGCAGTGTGTATATTAATGTTATAAAGCAAGCACTTTCTAGTCAATTGTTGTAGATTCTTCTCTCAGACTCAGGCGCAGCGTCTTTGATCACCATTGCATTGTACATACATGTAGGCCTACACCATTCTAGAGTCGGGTTAACGTTAATTTGTATAGCGCGCGCTTCGTAAAAATTGAAATTTTTCCCTCGGTGAATTTATAGATTTTAAAAATTCATTTTTAAAAACTTCACTATGCAATAAAATTATGAAATATATTTTTATATTTTTTCAGAAGGTAAAAATATAACAAAAATCTAAAATTAGTTTATTATTGTTTATGTACGTCTTCGCACAAAACTGGCAACAGATGATAAAACAGTCCCGTACCTTATATTTCACGTAGGTTCAACGCTAAATTGGTCTGCTCCTTCCTGCGCGTAGTTTAGGGACGCTGAACGGCAGCACGGCCGAAACTCTGGGGATGCAATTGCGCAATTGGGTTCAAACTGCATCCTGTGTGTGTATTGCATTGCATTGCATAGTGAATCACACCAATCACAGTACCGACTACCGGTACATTCACGAAGTGAGTGAAAATTTGTTTTGTGTGCAGGGTCTACACGAAAGCTCACTTAGTCTTTAGGCTAGAGATCTAGTAAACCTCATCATGTATCATCTTGGATGAGAGATCTTATTATTGACACTGTCAGGTTTGTTGTCAAATGAACAATTTTAACATGATTAATTAGATCTATGTGGAGTCTGGCCATGGATGGATGATGGAAATTAGGATAAGATTTTAGAATTAAAAATGATATTGATAAGATTAAGGATTTAGAAAATTTAGAAATTTCAAACTCTATCATAGGAAAAGGACTGAGTAGAGTAAAGTTAGGTAATACTACTACTTATAATAGAGGAAAAATCTAAAGCATGAATCAATTTTCATGTTAAATGTTAATTAATCTAAGATTGTTTTTCCATCTTTTCCAATGTCTTTCATAATCATATAGATGTCTTTGATGTGGTTCATGGATGTTAATTGTTACGTTATTGTTAAAGTTTTTATTATACATGTATTTCAATTTCAACCAATAATAAAGGGGATAGACCTATCACTATAACTGTGTTTGATCTACTAGTAGTGAGCTATCATCAAACAACATAACATGTGCCTTTGATTTTTGTTGTTGTTGTTGTAATGTAATGAACTTCTCCCTATGTTCCTGTAGGATAAGTAAGAACTAAGACGACAATGCATCCTGAACTGTCTGCAGTGCTGTAAGAACATCAGGGGAACATCATGAGCCAACCATCAGGAGGAGCTAGGAGGGGTGGCAAACCCAACAGAGGAGGAGGCCGGGGAAATCGGGGAGGAGGAGGAGGAAGAGGAGGAGGGAGAGGGGGAGGGGGAAGAGGAGGAAGAGGGAGAGGGGGTGGTGGTGGAAGAGGAGGAGGAAGAGGGGGTGGAGGCCAGCAGCAGGGGGCCAATGCAAGGCCCCATGGACCCGCGGCAGACACAGGAGCAAGGAAGGGCAAGAGTTCATCTATGATGTACGACTATGATGATGATGACTTTGTACTCATGCCTAAACAGAACAAGCCAAAGACATCAAGGTATTATTGGCAATTCTGTTCCAACAATGTTTTTCTGTCTCTTTGATGAAAGTTCTGTGTCAAACAATTACATGCATGTCAGTAGTATCAGAAAAGTAGATTAAGAAGAGGAAGAATACTCGCTAGTTTCGTCACTTCACTCACGCCAATAAAAGCTTCTTTTTTGATCATGACTGTTGTTTGGTATGTTATCAAATGTCTAATCACTAATGCTGGCGGTAATAATAGGACAGTGATAAGAAATTTTATTATTAAACACTTTCAAATAGTTATACTATATTTAATTCTCTTACAGGCAAATGATAGTCTTAAAATACTGAGACACACTGGCCCGAATTCACAAAGGAGGTTTGTCGACAAACCTTGGTTTTCGTGCATCATATGACGCGTTTTTACACGTTTTTTACAAACCTGGTTTGTCGACAAACCTCCTTTGTGAATTTGGGCCACTGAGTTAGCACAAGGGTACAAACTTTGAAGGAATACACACATAACATTTCACTCTCTTTGTTTAATTGTCCTCCTTTTTTTAGACCACTTATTAAGCTGTATATTAATACATAAAATCTGATATTGGATTTCAAGAGTTAATTTTTCTGGTTTTGTGCTTGTATTTTGTTTTCATTTTTAGTCTGTAGGTCTGTTCATGAATGCAAGCCATCAGCAACATTTCATTGTGACAAGTCGACACTCAAAATGCCAATTTGATAATGACCATTTGCTCATTGCCTCTATAAATGTGTTTCTCTCACAGCTACCAGGCCCCTAAATCATACCAACCCAAGGCCCCTCCATCCTACCAGCCCAAGGCCTCTTCAGAATCCTACCAGCCCAAGGCTCCTCCTGGACCTGGTCGCCGCAAGACCAATTACCCATCAGCCAAGGTCAAGATGCAGTCCCTTCACATGAGTGATGAGAACCAGGAACTGGTCAAGGATGTTCTGAGGGAACTCAATGGAGTAGACCTGGACCTAGACATGGGGTAAGATCACTTGCATAGTAGCATGGAACCAGACATTGAGGAAACTTCACCATTGGGAGGGGGGGGGGGGTGGTGGGGGTTTAGGCACCAGTCTCACTTGGTGAATAAAATGTGAATTGATTAGGGTGGGAGAGGGGGTTGGGGAGGGGGTCATCATCTTATTTTTTATGTTAATTCCCTTCCCCCCTCATTCTTTTTCCACATGCTTTTCTCATTCTCTCTCTCTCTTTTTTGCCATCGGGGGGGGGGGGGGCACAAACCCCTTAAATCTCCCCGTTGTGACACCACTGGGTGTGATAGATTGAATTTTGTTTTTCAATTATCACCAACCATTATTGCCAAACCTCAAATACAATACCTGACGAATGTCAACACTTTTTGGTATAACAATTTATGAAAATAAACCTTTAGAAATATTGCTGGAAGAAAATCAAGGAATGTAGTTTCTCTAATTTGTTAAAGTCCACCCTTTTGCACTTAGTCATTAGAAGATCTTCTTGGGGAAAACATTGCAGCCTTTCTTCATCTTGTTCTGATTCATCCTTCAGATTGGAAGACTATGAAGAGCTTGATTACGACACTTCTCGTCACTTCTGGACGGATGACAACTCCTTGAAGGTAGAGGCTGCTGGTTCAAGCTTTGCCCCTATGGGTGTCTGGCGTGAGGAAGGAGGGGACGATAGAGAAGACAAAGAGGACAAACAGAAGATCAGTAAATATGCTGTTGAGAAACTTATCAGGTTAGTGTCGATCAGAAAATTGTGATAACCATAGGGCATATACTCCGGTGACAGTAGGCCATTTTCGTAATACAATCAAATTCAATGCAGGAATCTTTTAAAAGTGCCTCATTACAAATTTGTCATTCATCTGTTACAAATAATTGTATTTCAACAGTCAGAATGCCAATTGCATACCTTTATTATTGCTAGGAAGAACAAATATTATGGCTTGTCCTACCTAGCAACACGTAATGTATGTATTTTGCAATCTGACTATTAAAAATTTGAAATACAATTATTCATAAAGGATGAATGAAATAATTTGTTACGAGGCACTTATTAAAGATTTGTGCATTCATTTTGATTAAATTACAAAAATAGCCTATTGCTCTGTAGTTAATCTCCTACTCTAATCAAATTCCTATTACCTGAAGCACACACTACACCTGACCCTATTTTTAATCCTAAACCTAACCCAGAAGCCTTGACCCAAAATTGTTGAAAAATTTAAGCTTGGAGCAAATGTCAACTCACCATGGTGACCCTTCAGCTCAAAACCACTAATGAGTTGCCAGAATTTTTTTTTTGTGTGTGTATTTTCTGAAACCCAGTGGTAGAAATTTTCTAACTAGTTTTAAGTCCATGTTAAAAAATATGATTTGTTTTCTTCTGTAGATGTGGATACCCAAAGAAAGAGAGTCTCCAAGCACTTGAGGATAATGATGGTGATGCAGGGCTAGCTCTTGAACAACTCTACAAGGATTTGTGTAACAATTATGCAATATCTACTGACCAAGGTGAGTTGGGGGACAAACTATTTTTTGGAGCTATGGTTATCTTATAATTTATCCCACAGTCATTCTTATTGTTTTATTATGCTAATACTTGCCAGAAAGTTTTATGTAACTTGTGAACAATTAACAGTGCCTACTCATAAAGGAAAATCTGGATGATAGCATTTTGATTTTCTAAGGTACTAGTAACATCAGGGCTATAATCTAGTTACTCTTTCTGTGTGATGCAATGTGTTAGTGCAATATTTGACCTTCAGATTTTCATGGTGAGATACCTCATGAATATCTTCTATTTTGTATTTAACCAAATGAGCTTTGTCCCTGATTCTAGTCAGGAGGATTCATGTGTTTGTATTTTCATATTTTATTATTTGTGCTTCTGCGTGTTCCATCCAAATTATAAAAATCAGTTGAGTATCAGATGATGTACATAGTTAACAGAATTTCTTTTCATGTCTTTATCATTGTCTTGCTTGCTGATTGCCTTTACCTAATCAGTTTGATAACCTTCACATTTGTATTGTAGAAGCTGTTGATGACAGTATCACCAGCGAGTCACTCATGGAGCAGAGGCAAGAAGAAGCTTTTGCTCTGAGCTCAATATACGAATCAGACTTTTCTGAACGGATCCCTAACCAAGTCTGGACGTTGAGACTAAAGCTCTCTCACATCAACAAATCCCTCAAGGAAGCCCAGAAGAATGAGAAGAAGAAGTCGGCTCTGAAAGCCAGAGACACTCGCCGGAGAAAACAGAACGTCTGCCACTTCTACCAAGAGGGCAACTGCAGGTTTGGATCGAAATGCAAGTTCTTTCACGAGGCTACATGGGATAACGAGGGGGATAACGAGTTTGAAGATATGATGGAAGATGACAACACCAAGTGGTATCAATTGGAGGTGCGGTTCCCAAGCAAAAACATGTATCCATGGCAACCTCCCGTGATTGCCTTTTCATCCACCCATCCTGACTTTCAGGCGGCGAAGTGCCTGAACGTGACAAAGCGGCTGGCGGAAGAGTCGACGGAGCACTCGCCAAGCGGGAGCCCGTCTGTGTTTAGCTTCGTCAGTATCCTGGAAGACGAGGAGGAGATGAAGACATTGCTCGATGGCAAGCCTCTGTCGTTTCAGACCAGGAGATTGCCAGCAAGGACTAAACCTGTTGATGAGATGTCTGATGAAGAAGGAACTCCAGATGAACAGTCCGACTCTGCTGCAGGAGCTACAGCAGAGGAAGTGAAAGAGGCAGAGGTGCCGGCGGGAAGGGAAGGAGCAAAAAACCTTGGCAAGACTTTGTATGTCCCACAAAAGAGGACCAAGCGAGATGAAGAAAGGGATAATAGGAGGCTGAAGGAGCAATTCAAGAAGGCCCAGGTTCATATACAAACAAAATATTCAATAATAGATTTTTTTTTGTAGTTGGAGGGACATATAAGTATATCCTGTAGGATACAATTAGGGACACCTCTATATTGGACATTCATGTATGACCGAGTAGGGTTATAGCTAAGGTTTTCCTTGGGCCATTGAGATGTGGCAATAACGGTACACTTATGAGTATTCTACCATTGACAAAGATGATGGTAAGACCAGTGTGTCGGCTCAGTCAGTAGAGCGTCCGCCTCACAACCGGGAGGTCGTGGATTCGAACCCCGGCCGCGTCATACCAAAAGACGTTAAAAAACGAGAGTTGTTGCTACCTTGTTTGGCGTTCAACAATAAGGGATAGAGCAATGTCGATCTGGTGCTGCTCAGTGGCTGCCGGGCTCACGATCAATTGGGCAAAAAGAATTTCCATTTTGAGTTTAACTTAATAAAATTTGGAGTGGACTTTAAAAGATTATTATTATTATTATTATCAAAGAAAGTTTGTTACCTTGAACTTGATAGCAAGTCACCCATTTACAACCTACATGTATGTAGAGAGCTCCATTAATATTCATTAAAATGCTGGTTTGTCTCCCTCTTCAAGATAAAAGGTAAACTTTGTTGTGCCTCACAGTTTTACCAATTCACCATCCTTAAATATAGTTGCTGATATTTTTCTTATCTTTAACTGAAAGATGAGATCCCAACATGGATATTTTGAAGGCTATTATAAAGTCTGAGAGGGCTTTACAGTAGTAGGAGGGATAAAATGCCCCTATGTGGCTCTTTATTTTGAGCATTGCCCTTCAACCATCATCTCTTTATATCTACAGATGAGCAATTCATACAAGTCTATGCTGGAAAGGAGAGAGGCTCTACCTGCATGGAAAGAACAGGACAATATTCTGGATACCCTGAGCAAGAATCAGGTCCTCGTTGTGAGTGGGTCTACCGGGTAAGATGAGCCAAATAGCCAAAGTTTTAAGTTTTGAAAGAAAATTGCTTTGAAAATTCGGTCATTGAATGCAGATGGTTGCTTTTAATGAGGACCATTTACCAAATTTTCTTGATAGATACGTTTTTGGTTTCCATACAAGTAGGCTACCATATCACATTCAAAATATCGGTTTCAATTATTCCCTCTCTACAGAGGTATAGCAAGATTAATGACAAAGAACGATTCTGTAAGTAATCTTCACTCTTGTATCAGCACGGAAGTTAATTTCTGTGTGCAGCCTTAATCATCTTTCATGTGTCCATGTATGTTATATACTGGATATAGTTACAATCTTTGATTGCATTTTGCAGCTTTCCAGACTCTTGCACACTAAACATTTTTTTTTAGCTCTCTAGCACCCAAAGTTTGCTTTTCTTTTCTGTTGCATATTGATTACCTCCTCACCCCCTCGTATTATTGTTTGTACATTTTTCACTTCAGATGTGGTAAGACGACCCAAGTGCCGCAGTTCATCCTTGATGAATCCATGTATGGTAAAGGTCTGAATGTAAGTAACATCATCTGTACCCAGCCCAGGAGGATCTCAGCCACTGCAGTGGCCGACAGGGTGGCTAAGGAGAGAACTACCAGAGTAGGAGATATCGTGGGTTACCAGATCAGGCTAGAAAATAAACAGGTATGTCTGCAGTGATTGATTTTGATTTTGACTATTAAAGATATGTCTGCAGTGGCACGTTGATCTCTAGCTTGAAATTGTCCTGGTGTTATATTGGTTTCCAAACAGAAAATGTCTACAGGGACATAAACAATAATCCCATTTAGTGGTTTAGAAATCACACTCAGTCTCTGCTCTAAAAAATAAAGGGCCACCCATAAGACACCTCCAGTTCAAATTCCCTGACAGAATATGTAGGAGGACAGCAATCCAAGATCCATATTTTCTATCTGTTTTCTATCCAAGACCCGTGCACTAGTGCTATTGAGCAAGGCATTTAGTCCTCCTTTACTTAGTCCCTTGGATAGGACTTAAAACTCCAGGTCCCCTTGAGAATCCTCGGGATATATTTGCTCTCAAAGCTTTCATATAAATAAACGTGTCCAGATTTAATTTGGATATGATAACTTATATACGAGTGCTTTGTTCCGTTTGCAGTCTGCCTCGACTCGACTGATGTTCTGTACTACGGGGATCTTACTCAGGAGACTGGAGAGTGATCCTGTCTTGAGCGGAGTCTCTCATGTCATAGTGGATGAAGTCCATGAGAGAAGTGAAGAGAGGTGAGAGATGATGTCAAGATGGAGAATGATTGTGAACGAACGAGGAAAGATGAGACGATTGGGAGTTGAGGAGGAGAAGGGAGCAGAGGGGAGGAGGGGGAAAGGAAACAATCAATCAATCATTGTGAATGAAGTTTATGAGAGCATCAGTGAGAGGGGAGATGATATGTGTAGTTTAAAAGGAGAAGGAGAAGAAAGATGAGCAAGCAAGTGCATTGTTCTGTCATTTAATAGAGAGAGAGACATATTGATAGAAACATTGAATATTAAAAACCTACTTTTTTCAGACAGATCAACAGTCGTTGTTAAAGCCATGATGATACTATGATATTAAGGTGAAAAGAAATCCAAGGCGGATATAAAATAAAATAAAGATATCCATAGGGGAAATTTTTTATGATGTAGGTTGATGCTTGAGAAATAAAGTCATTAACACTTTAAATCTTGTCTTTGTGAAATCCAGTGATTTCTTGATGATGGTTCTGCGAGACATGTTGCCACAGCGACCTGACCTACGGGTCATTCTTATGAGTGCTACCCTGAATGCTGATCTCTTCTCCAGCTATTTCTTTAATTGTCCAGTCATCAACATCCCTGGTAAGTCAACAGGCATCATTCTGATTTCATCTAAGTATGCATTTTCCATGCAGTTCTTATGATTTCAAATTTAAAGGGTACCAATCGCCTCAAGATACTCTGCATACAGCTGGGATGTATACAATCAATCTTAAAAATTTCCCTCCCCTTGGTATTCTGTGGGTAAACAGGAGTATGAAGGAAATAAACGAGAACATAATACCTGTGCACAGAACCCAAGTAGGACAAATTGTAACCTTTCATCTTTTTATATTGGTCCAATCCACACCTAGATTATTTACATAACTACATGACCTGTCTAATTAAACAATTTTTATTTTGGATGAAGTCCAGTTAGGACAAAAGCTTAAAAAAGTGATACACTGCATCATCTTTTGCACTACATTATTCACATTTATATACATTTTCTAATCACATTACCTGTTTAAGAATAATTTTTACATGAGAGAGGTTTACATGTTGCCCTGGTGATGTATTTCTTCTTGTTCCTTTATCTAGGTAAAACCTTTCCTGTTGATCAGTACTTTTTGGAAGATGCGATAGAATACACTGGGTAAGGAGGAGTTTTGAATCTGTACAGTTACGAACATGTTTCGTACTTGCAACTGTCTGGATTCGTTTGTCGGGTATTTTATTTCAGTAGTAAATTGTAACTCCAATTTGTTGTGAAGCTTGTATCAAATTATCTATTGATTCCCATTTTATACTGGGTATCAAATGTTTACAAGCATGATTTCATTTGCTACCATTGCCAGCCTTCAGGAAAATCATATTGTGCACATTGGAGGGTCAAAGAAGTAAGAGAATTTGTTTTATTTTCTGATTTCAACTTCTACATTTTCTATCTTCCATAAATTTTAATTAAAGAGTGTATTGCAGCATTTTGATGAAGCACATTTTCCTTATTTGGAATTACCTTTAATATGCAAACCATCCGACTACAGTGATAAAGGATGCTTGAAGTATTAGTTTGGCAGTCATTCTACAACTGACTACTATGTTTCAACCTCCTAATCATTGTGTGTGTGTCTCTCTCCCTCTAGATACATCCTAGACGAGAACTCACCCCTGGCCCGGCCGGTCAAGCGAAGCAACGCCAAGCCCTCTGAAGCGTCTGCCAGGGCCATGGGCAAGGTCAGATATGATAACCTTGACGAGGAAATCTCTGAAGCCTTTGCTTCAACGACCTTCAACCCCGCCAAGGATAATGTGAGAGATGCCAATTTGACGCTGCAGCAGATGGCCCTCAGATATCAAGGTGAGTGTAGAGAATGCAGAAAAGGTTGATCATCTAACATATAAGTATTGGTGTGTACTGCAAGGTTCTGGAATCTTCAAAATGATGAGAAATTTTGCCCAGTCTTGGTTAAGTTACAAGCACTGTACACAAAAAGATCTATATGGGACTACGCGACACGTGTGCGATATCTATCAGGTCCGGATAGATATAAAATTTACCAAATATATCAATTAGTAGGCGGTTTCCTGGCAAAATTTGTATCATCGCATATTAGTCAAAACATTAGTCAAACATTTCATTTTTTGAGAGGGGGGCGTTTCCAAAACTGGTCTATACCTTTAAGTGGATAGGGTACTGCAAATTTGCGATTGATTTGGATCAATTGCAATTCTGTATGAGATGGGGCCCAGGCCAGCCTTTTGTTGCCTTGTTGACTTTGAGTTTGTTGGTTGTTGTGATTTTCTATAGATTATGAGATGTCTACCATCAAAACATTAGCTACAATTGACGCTGAGAAGATCAACAATGACCTGATAGAAGATCTCGTCAAATGGATGGTGGAAGGTGATCATCAGGTCAGTTCAGTTCTAACCAATCAGCTACAGTTAACAACTAAATTATTCATACCCTTACCAATTTTTTTTTAAAGTTTGTGAACAGTATTCAACTAGGCTTTTATTCAACCAATCAACCTTTCATTCTTGAATTACAAAAACAAAAAAAAACAAAAAATCACATTTACAAGGGGAATAAATAATTTTGTTGTTAACTTTATCGCGTTAAAAATTTATGCATATTGTTTGGGTCAAAGGGGTTTATGGATAACCTCAAAACCTTACAGATTTTTTTTTATTTAGATGAATAATGATGTACAGTTGCGATGCAATCACATGTTTATCATGGCTTTTTATGAACTGCTGAATAAGATGACCTGCCTTTGGTTTAGTAGGGAAGAAAAATCTATTAATTTAAGTTTTTTAAAGAAGACATTTGTGAACATGTGCATAGTATGAAGAGATATCGTTGTGAGCTCAACCAAAAAAGTAAGTCCCACATGATGCTTTCTGATTTAAGGGGAAATATGTTTGATGAAATTTGTTCACCATTTTATGCAAAATTTGTATACCCACATTTTGAGTTCTTAAACAAATGCTTATGGTTTTTAGTACTGTTCATACAAGAAAAAGTTGTATTTTCAGGACTACACACATCCCCAAGAAAGATTACTGAGTCAGAATCCTTTCCAGGACTCTTTAACCCTCTCTCTCTCTCACAAAGTTGTATGTTGCATTTCATAATACAATGCTGGGCTTACATGTTAATACTCATTTTTCAATTGTAACCTTTTTGATTTCTTGCAGTACCCCAAGGATGGTGCCATCCTCATCTTTCTACCTGGACTTGGTGAGATCACCGACCTCTACGAGCAGCTTCAAAGCTCTCTCTGTGGACCAAGAAAACCTAAGAAGTAAGCTCCATCTTATTATGATCGACTCATCTGGGCCCTGTTTCATAAAGAGTAGTACAATCACATACCTGCCAACCCTCCCGAATAATCCGGAATATCCTGTTTTTCTGGATTTTTAGGACCCCAAAATTTTTCAATTTTTTGTTTGTTTTGTTTTTTGTGTTGCTTAAGCCAAATAAAACTTGTTTTACCATATGCCGCGATGTGAGAGTTCATGTATTGCGTGCGCTGAAGGGCTGCAAGATTGGGCAGTTTTGCACAGATTTACCGCCTGTTAATGGTACAGATTTCTTATTTTCGAAGACATACCGTGCTAAAAATTCTTAATTCTCATTTTCAAATGTTGGCAGGTATGCAAGCAGTCCTATCTCTTTATAATTATGTGTATTTCCTTCAATCAATGATATCTCAGTGAAGCAGTCATATCTTTGCCATCATCTTATTTTACAGAAAGATACAATTCAATATAAGATACAATCAGTTTTTTGGAAAAATGGAAATACATTTGATTTTTGCATAATTAGATTGTAAGGTAATATATATGTTATTGAGTCTTGATTGTAGATTTCTCGCACAGAAATTAAAAGAACCCACATGCATTTGATGTTCACATTCATATCTTCACAAGATAGACTGATAATAAACTGGTATACGTTTTGGCCTCTGTACTAAACTAATATGTAATAATTTGAATTATTTTCTTTTTTCTGTTTCATTTCATGTCAAAAAGTTTTTCTTCCTTCCTCACTTCCTCACATGAAAACAATATTGCTATTCCTGTACTGTAATTTCTTTGCTAAATTCTAATCACTTTTATGATGTATTTTGTTACTTCAAAATGTAAATTATAAATTTGAATTTGAAATTAAATCACTATATCGCATCCCCCTACTTTATCAGGTACAAGTTGATACCTCTCCACTCATCCCTCTCAAGTGAAGATCAGAATGCTGCCTTCGATAAACCTCAGGAAGGCATCACTAAGATCGTCATAGCAACCAACATAGCAGAGACGTCCATCACCATCGATGACATTGTGTTTGTTATTGATGCTGGCAGGATGAAAGAAAAGAGGTAAGTATTAAAATAAGTATTAAAATAAGCTTGTAGGAAATTACATTACATTTTCTGAAATTATTCTAGAGTTAAGTCACAAGATGAATGATGAACAAGAGTAACGTGATCAGCTCACATAGAAAGTAATTTTAATCACAAATATATTTGTGATTACTCATGTACATGACAAGAGACTAACTGAAGAAAAATGTTCAATAGCATCAATAGAGGACTAGAAATCTTCTTGAGTGACCACCTGTCTTTTAAAGCCCCTCTGCACTACTTATAGCTACTTGCGCCCTCTATACAGCAAACAATGCCTCATCAGTGCCTGTTGGTCCCCCATGATCCCCTTTTTCTTATGTTAATTGAGAGCCGAGTTGATGAGATAACCAACTGTCAGTGACCTTGCAGGGAGGTCTAATTCCTACTGGCCAAACTAGTGCAGACGGGCTTTAACATCACAAAATCTAAAATGAGACTTGTCTAATCGGACATAATATGTTCTTCTTTTATTATTTAAAAAAAAAATCAGATATGACTCTGGTAAGAGGATGGAGTCTTTAGAAACAGTCTGGGTGTCCAAGGCCAACGCCATGCAGCGTAGAGGTCGAGCAGGTCGTGTGACGGCTGGAGTCTGCTTCCATCTCTTCACCAACCACACCTTTGAGTTTGCACTACGGGATCAACAGTTACCAGGTATGGAGGAACAGTTTGGGAAAGCATTATCACCGTGATTGCCACGGCAACCAACTTATCTAAGGAAATCTCTGACATCACTTATATATATCATCTGCTTAGAGCTGGAAGGACATTATTAACGCATGAACTCATACTTCATTTCTACCAGTTTTTGACAAAAATTAGTATTTAATAGGATGATAGGAGTACAGATAATTTTTCCATCCTTTATATGATTCTCTACAAATTTTGATCCCTGTCAGTATATAGCAAATATGAAAGTAAATAATCGGTCCATTGAAGTGTAATATTTCCTTTGCAGCCATGTTTAGTAAATATATTTCTTTTTTATATCATGTGCAGAGATTCAGCGTATACCCCTGGAGCAGCTGCTACTGAGAATCAAAATCCTGGACGTCTTCCAGGGATACCATGTCAAGGTATTCAGTCGTGTCCATACACATTCTCACTCTGAGATTTACTGATTATCCTTGAAATCAAGGAAAACCCTTTTATTTCCACAGTGAAATTGAGAAAAATCTCTTTAGTAAGGACAAAAAATCAGGAAAGTGTGGGAATTTTATTGGCCCCCAAAGAGAGTAGTAAGTCTGTTACTTTTTGTGTTGTGTCCAAACTGCATGTCCAGTGGATGGTTTTCTATCAAGACATTTCATACAGGAATAAATTAATGATCCTGTAATTTCTGAAATTCAATCAGGGGGAAAAAATCAGGGGATTTTGTTAACATGAAATGAACCCTGATTTAGATGTAACATTAGACAAGATACAGTGGACTGATGGATTAGGCTCCACCCCATGTATTCATAGGGATATCAGTCAAAGTCCATCATGTATAGGGCTCTGGTGGAGCGATCTTGTACCTTGATAGATAACTCCAAAACATATTGGAAACATACATGTACATGTAAGTAAATAATCTTTGTTTTGTTTGTTTTTTCAGGAAGTCTTAAACAAGTTGCTGGAGCCTCCCAAGAATGAGAACATTGATGATGCCATTCAGAGACTACAAGACTTAGGAGCTGTCACTTTAGATCAGGTTTTTTAATTACTTCTTGGATTATTTTGAGGGACCTCCTCTTGGAAACATCACATTTTCCATCACAGTTGGAATATCTCATATTGGTTGTCAGGCAAAATGTGGAATAGCAGTCTGTCATGACCATTGATTCTACATCAGTATAATAATCAGATCATTTGAAGTGTATGTTCCCTTTCTGGTATCAAGATTAGGGAGTGCACATCAACATGATTATATCTGGTCATAAAGTACTCTCAAGATCATCTGATCTGCTGGCAGTAGTGTTAACAGCCCCTCTCTTCCCCAGCAAGTCCACCCAGTATACCGCAGTAGAGAGAAATGGTCTATAACATTCTCAAGAAAGAAATATTAACGAGAGTCCTTTTCAGGACTCCCCAATCCTCTCCTTCTCTCACATGGTGCAACTGCAAGCCTACTGTATATCACCATGCAAACCAATACTTATAAGCAGCATCTAACATTCTTGTTGTTGCTAATTGTGTCTGTCTTTGGTGTTGTAGGATCTAACACCTCTGGGCTACCATCTTGCCTCTCTACCTGTGGATGTGAGGATTGGTAAGCTGATGCTCTTTGGAGCCATCTTCCAGTGCCTGGATCCAGTCCTGACCATTGCAGCCAGCCTCAGCTTCAGATCACCATTTGTAAGTCAGAGTATTTTATCAATCCAAAGTCATCGTTAATTAGATACTCAAACTCAATTAAGTGAGGTAAATGGAAAGCATACTTTCAATAAATGGTTTTTAAGATGTGTACATTGGGTTTAATAAGCTTCATAGCATTAACATATATTGCCATATTCTGCTAACATCTTAAAAATAACCCTGCGCCTAAAGTCATGTTTTAACAAAGCATGTTTTATCAAAGCCAAAGTCCATCTTTTCCTTTAGTTTATAGACATGACTTTAAATCAAGCGTTGGGTTGAACAGAATTCATAGAACATTGACCACAGTGTGTGATAACTGTTCTTGTATTAGCTCTTCACATTGTATTTGTTTCTTCAACTTGAATTTCTCCATATGTAGATGGCGCCCTTCGACAAGCGAGACCAGGCCGACAAAAAGCGACAGGAGTTTGCCGTTGGTAACAGTGATCACCTGACCCTATTGAGAGCATACACGGTAAGTAGGAACAGACCCTCTGCTGTTCCATCACATCGCTTGACAATTGGAAGCTAATTGTAACCTCAGGAATAACTCTTTTGTTTGAATCGCTCCCTGTAATAAAGTTGTTTGTAAGCAGCATGAATTTGAAACTATCCATCATTTATTGTACAATCGCACAAGCAAAATTTCACATACCTGCTTCTAAAAAGTGAATGAAAGATTGTTATTTTCATCCATCATGTTGACTGTGATTGGAGCTGAAAATGATTTCATTTAATTGGCATGTTCTTTTTCAATTTTCTCTTTTTTGTAGGGTTGGACCACAGCTATTGAACGAAGCAACTACTTCAGCTACAGATTCTGTCATGAGAACTTTCTTTCAGTCAAAACACTCCAGGTATGTAAGGAGGCGATTTGTGTGTTGCCCCTCCCCTGTTTCATAGACGCAGGCTATGTTACAGTGGAAAACCCTCTGTCCGTCAGATAGGACATTAAATGGAAGTCCCATTTAGGAGGGTCACCACCTTTGCACATTACTAACCCACTGCAATATTTGTGTAAGAGAAAGGAGAAACCCCAGAGGTCCACCTATCTGCACAGCCCCAATCAGTTATACCGGGAGGAGAGATTCAAGGGTTACAGTGATTCATTTGGCTTTTTGCCCCCCAGGCATAGGTGAAGCCAAATACGTGATAATAATAATAATAGAAGTATACAGCGATTGTATCTTATTAGGGTTCTTAAGTTTGGGTACAACTGCCTCCCTCAGTCCTAAAGATTCTTGTAGTGTACTCAAAGGTACTGATCATGGATAGCTATTCTAATGTTGCCGGATGTGTGGTAGAATCAACAAAACACCTAAAGTTTTTGGAACACAACCCTTAATTCAAGCAAGCTTCAAGCTTCAGAAAGATAAATCAGACAGATAATACTCACCAGGGAGTGGAAAATGTGCATACATTGTGTTGCAGGTAAGCCTGAATCCGATGACCGGGGTAATAATATGTGCTGCGCCTAGAAACAAAGTATTAGGCGCATTATAAATGTGAGCTATTATCATTATTATAAAGAGGAATAATAGTTCTGAAATGTCTTCTCCTGTTCCTCTTTGTTTGTGTGTCCAGATGATAGCTAGTATGAAGCATCAGTTTGCAGAGCTACTCAGCAGCATCGGCTTTGTCAGCCTGAACCTTACCGGTCGTCAGATGGACAGGAGGTCCAACGGTTACGGAGACATGATCATCAAATCCTGTGACAATCAGGTGAGACAGGAAAAATAGCGATAGAAGAGAAGTGGGAAGAGCAGCGGTCTTTGGTTTGGAAGATCCAGGGTTCAAATCGAATAGACCATTTTAATGAATATGAATAATTATATTTCAATGGTAAGAATTGCATACATTAATTGTTGCTAGGTAGGACAAACATGGCTTGTCCTAACTAGCAACATCTAATGTATGCAATTCGTATTCTGAATATTGAAAAACAATTATTATTCATAACAGCTGAATGAAATACTTTGTCACATGGCACTTATCAAAGATTTTTGCATTATATTATAGTGCTCTAGCATTTCAAGGAATTAATTCCTGCCAGGTACCCATTTACCTCACCTGGGTTGAGTATGGCAAATGTAGATTAATGCTTTGCCAAAGGACATTAGAGCTGTGTCACGGATCGAACCACGACCTTCAAATTTCAAAGTCAAGTGCTTAAACCACTTGACTAGGACACTTCTACAGCTTTCATTGTCACCCCCTTTTCTTCCATTTTCATACATGTCACAATCTCTCTCTCTTCCAACAGATCAATGTAAATGCCAGCAACGACAAACTGGTGGTAGCGGTGCTCTGCGCTGCCCTCTATCCTAACGTAGTCCAGGTCTTGACCCCAGAGGCCAAGTACACCCAGTCTAGTGCAGGAGCAGTCCCCATGAACCCCAAGGCCCAGGAAATCAAATTCAAGACCAAAGATGATGGATATGTAAGATATGATAATAGTCAGTTTTTCATTTTCCCCCAAGACATAGCTTTCTTGCCCCCATGATTATCACTATGTCTATGATCAAACTAGGTCTGTTGATTATCAGTTTCACCAAAATTCAGACAAGATTTGTACTCTAACTATTAAGTGTTGTGCCTGAAAAAGTCCTATAGTATTGGAAAATTCAATGTTTTCTTAAGAATCACACTCTTTATCACAACATCAGTATAAGAATAGAGCAGTGATTATAGTGTTATTTATGAATTATTATACTGGAATGGTTTGGTTATCTTAGATATTCATAGGCAAATTAGGTATGAAACAAAACATTTTGTTGTTGTTTCATAAATAAATGTATACCAGAGTGATATTTTATGTGTCCAGATACATTTGTTCCCTCCAAAAAATATATATATCATTTGACCCCTGCTTCTTGTGGACACATGGTATTGGTAACTATAAAAACAGTGGTTTGATAATTGTCTCTTTTACAGGTGAGTGTCCATCCAAAGTCAGTCAACTTTGGAGTGAGGCACTTTGAGAGCCCATACCTTGTCTTCTTGGAGAAAGTCAAAACATCAAAGGTATGATTGTTTTAAAGTAATTTGTAACAAGGCACTTAACAAAGACTTATGCATTAAATTGGATTACATTACGAAAATGGTCTTTTGGTTGAGTATAAAGTGGATTAGTAAAGAGCTATTGCTGTGCTTTGTAAATAATTCTCATGTTATTTGGTCATTGCGATAGAAATTTGTTTTCCTTGATTATTGGGGAGTCCCCCGTTCAATGTAGATTAACAAGATCTGTTTTTCCAAGAGTAAAATTCTCTACCCTGTATGTTTCGGACTATTAGCCAAAAGTATAGACTTTAATTTTTGTTGTCTCAGGACACATCTTTTCTTAAGGCTTCGTACTATATGTCTCTAGATCTATTTACATGCATTTGTACTAAGCTTTCCATGTTTGAGCTTATGATATGTTTTTAATACAATCTCACACAATTTTATGTGTGATGTAAACTGTAGCTTTTTATCTACAATAATTGTTAAATTGCATTGAATGTTTTTTCACCAGGTGTACATCCGTGATTGTAGCATGGTGTCCGTCTACCCTTTGCTCCTCTTTGGAGGATGTGAACTCAAGATTGACCTCAAGGCTGGAGAGTTCATCATCTCCCTTGACAACGGATGGATTCAGTTCCGGGTCAAGTCTATTGAGGTAGATATTGCTCTACTTCAATCATCTGGTATTATTCATTTACGTAAAATTCATGTTAACAAGACAGAAATATTTTGTTGATGTTAAAGTACTTTAAAAAAATCTTTCGTGGACAAAGTTGATACATTTTAGTTAAGGAACCTCTTTGTCTAGAAGCCAAGTTCAGTTGCAGATGTCTGTCTTGACAGTGGGGGGATGGCACAAGTCAGAGAAATTTACAAGCAACTATTTACAATTTACAAGCAACTGGGAGAGGGGGGAGGGGGAGGGGAGTTCACAGTTAGGGGGAACTGCCACTGCCGGTTAGTGTGTATCTCGTTTTGATCTTCTTCTTTTTATGCCTCCGTTACGAAGTAGCCGGAGGCATTATGTTTTCGGGTTGTCCGTCCGTCCGTCCGTCTGTACGTACGTACGTCTGTACGTACGTACGTACGTCCCGTTCTCGTGATCGCGTTATCTGAAGAACCGATTGATGGATTCCTGCCAAACTTTGGTCATGTATGTATCTTGCAGAGCCGATGAACTGATTAGATTTTGGGGTTACGAGGTCAAAGGTCAAAGGTCACAGGGCTCATTATGTATGCAAAAACAGCTCGTGATCACGTTATCTGAAGAACCGATTGATGGATTCCTGCCAAACTTTGGTCATGTATGTATCTTGCAGAGTCAAAGAACTGATTAGATTTTGGGGTCATGAGGTTAAAGGTCAAAGGTCACAGGGCTCATTATGTATGCAAAAACAGCTTGTGATCGCGTTATCTCAAGAACCGAGTGATGGATTGCTGCCAAACTTAGGTCATGTATGTTACTTGCAGAACCGATGAAGTGATTAGATTTTGGGGTCACGAGGTCAAAGGTCTAAGGCCACAGCGCACATTATGTATGCAAAAACAGCTTGTGATTGCGTTATCTCAAGAACCGATTGATCGATTGCTGCTAAACTTAGGTCATGTATGTTACTTGCAGAGCAGATGAACTGATTAGATTTTTGGTTCATAAGGTCAAAGGTCATGGGCTCATTATGTATGCAGAAATAGCTTGTGAACACATTCTCATTAGAACTGACAGATGGATTACTATTTAACTCAGGACATCTTGCAGAGCCAATGAACTGAGTAGATTTTAGGGTCATGAGGTCAAAGATCAAAGGGTCATATATGTATATGAGAAATTGCTTGTAATCACAATATTCTGAGAACCTGTTAATGGATTACAATTGAACTTGAATTTTAAAATGTGTTCTGTTTTGGTTTGTAAAATTGCTCTATGACGGAGGCATCATTTTCGACTGCGCGCAGTCGAATTCCATCTAGTTTTTTTGTGATCCATAATAGGTTGGTGAGCTGATGAGGACGCTGAGAAAAGAGCTGGATCAACTCCTGGCTGATAAGATCAATCAACCTGACATGGATCTAGGGACCTGCCCCAGAGGGAGCCGCATCATAGCGGCCATCGTACAACTCATCAGTACACAGTGAGGGTATGGTGGCTACTCTCTGGACACAGACTCTGATAGGAGGGAGTCCTATCATAGCAGCTATCATACAACTCATCAGTACACAGTGATTGGGTCGGGATGTTTGGATGATAGCCTGCAATCACAAACTAGACATATCTTAGGAGCCAGGGTACAGCTCATTAATACCCAGTATTAAGGGTATGGCGGCCAGTGTTCAGATACAGTCTTGTATTTGAGGGAGCCGTATCATAATAGCCATCGTACAGCTCATCAGTACACAGTGATTGGGTTGGGAAGTTTGGAGAATAGTCTGCAATTACAAACTAGTCATGGCCTAGGAGCCACGGTACAGCTCATTAATACCCAGTAAAGGGTATGGCGGCCAGTGTGTAGATGCAGTCTCTAATTTATGGGAGTCATATCATAGCAGCTCATCAGTACACAGTGAGGGTATACAGTGGTACCCCATTCACATTAATGACACTGACAGCAGACAGACAACAAACCAACCCCCCCCCCCCCCAAAAAAAAAAAAAAAAAATTAAAAAAATGAACATAGCGACTAATGAAAGAGAATCGGTCAGTATGGAGTCAGTTTGGCGGTGTGACCAAGGTATCAGCCAGAAACTTTCACATGGGGGAAATGTTTGCAAGTTTTACAAGTGGTTAAGATTCATGAAAGTTTCATGCCGCAAACTGAATCACAATTTAGACGAGACTAAACTTTCTCAAATTGAGAAATTTTCGTAGAATGGCCGTCCTTCACAATGCATGAAAGTTTCTGGTTTTACAATAGTGGATAGTCTGCAAACATTGACTCTAATTTGACATATACAAAAAATACCTTGAAAATTGAATGAAGCCTAAGCCAGCTTCATTGTTGTTGTGTCGAGATAGTATGTAAAGCTCTAGCCTATAATATGACTGATCAATATGAATGAAATAATCATGAAAGTAATCTGGTGTTTTATATAGAGTTTTACATGCACTAAAAATTACCAAAGCGCTTGACAGTTCTATTACTACGCTGTTAATCTGATTAAGACTTGCCTGCATGGGTCATGCTTGCAAAATATATAAGTTTGTATTGCATTTTTTATTACAAACCTAGTTATACTGTGTTTACACCTAGTAAAATGCTCAGGAAACTTCTGCTAAAGGATTAATGTGCCCCTTCAGAAATTTTGTACTTAAGCACCCTTTCCTGTGATGGTTAGTTGGGTCATTAGGTCAGTGTTAAAAGCCCTATATAAAATTTGTATTACCCAGCATTGCACAAACCCAGAGGGTCATAGCAGAATATTTATTGTGTGACATATTTATGCCCATTATACTTCAAAATGCATTGTACTTATTTGAATCTGAATATAAATCTGAAAATGGTATGGCTCAACACTCCTGGTGGCCGAGTAAAAACAAGTCGGACTGGATGTGCAAATGAAATAATGACATAATACTATTGAAAATGCTTTGGCGGGCTGAATATATTACATGCATGTACATGCGAACAAATTCTTTATCTTGAAAATGAACTTGAACAAAATGTTTGTGACATGTATGGTGGTGACATCTCCCAGAAATGATAATAATGATAATGATGATAATGTTGAATTTGCACAGCACATAATAAAGACGATGTAATTGTCTATGTGCTATACATTATAAACTTAGAACACATAAACATGAAACAGAAATATAACACGACTGCAAGAAATGATAACTTAGGAGAAATAAAGAGTACCAAATGCTGTAATAGTGTTACAAAAAATTGTAATGGTGCTTGCTTTATCTCATGTGATATTATTTTCACAGATACTGCTTGTTAATGATTTATTTGGCTTTTCCCACTTATGCATGTGTTCTCAATCATGTTCAATCATTTGCTTGTAACTTTTGGTTTAAAAAAAAAAAAAATTCCTCATGGTAAATGAACTTTAGGGAAAATATGGCATACTAATTGTTCTAATTTTGTTTTGCTTTCTTATTCTACTTTATTTACATTGCTAGAGTACTAATTGCAAAAATATGGGACACATTTTGACATGAGCAACATATGTACATGTGTACTGGTAATGTCATATGTTGCCATATCTATTCTTTTGTTACTGCTGAATTGCAATACATGTGTATGCTTTAAGGTAGTCATGCCCAATATCTGTGTAAGTGCAATATTCAATATTTGTACCTGCCAAATTTGTAGTAAAATGTCAGATCTCATGTTGAGTATCCACTCAGAATTCATGTATTTAATCCTACATTCAAAATGAAAACCTGGCATTAGTTTTACTGGGAAGTATTTGGGGCATTGAATAACAATAGGAATGATAAGTGTAAAGGGAATTTGATTGTTTGTGCACAAAGTTGTCATTTTGAGAAGGAGTTTGCTATGTGGACATACACAATTCAAGGTGTTATTATTTCATCTTTGTGGCAAGAATTTGTTTAATAAATAGCTCATTGACCGGGGAGGGGGGAACTGGGATTTGGATTGGATAGGGACATGTGGCTTAAGCCTCCAAACCAATCCCATTTTAAAATGTAATTTCTCCAGAAAAGAGTGCCCATCGGATGCAAAAGCAAAAAGACTTCAAATATATTTCATTTTGCATCTGGGAATTCCAATTTCATTTCAGGGAGAATGTGGGTGAGGTGTTGGTCGAAAGAAAGTTGTAAGCCATGATTAAGGGGTAGATCTAAAAGTGGAGCATTTTGGGAGGATTTTCCAGGACAAAATCATAATCAGACCTCATGTTTTGGGATTTTTTTGCCAAAAAGTGATCCATTTAGAGATGCACATCCATATATACCTTGTTAGGTGGGTATCTGCCCCAAAGTTTTGAATAACAACAACAAAAAACATTACTCATTGCATGAATTATCCTCTACTTGTGTGCAAACTAGAATTGAAAGATCCATCGTAAACTATATTAAAATCAGTGGCACATGGCATGAGGGAAGGCTTGGCGATACATGTATGGGTTTTCAAGAGTCTACATCATATGTATGTGTTAAATATGCCTTGTGTCTTCCTAGATGTAACAGTAACTACTGATGCCAATGTGCCTTTAAAATTCATGTGCTTATGTGAAGTATGGATGAACTGTATCAATGTTATTATGGTGCAATATAGGCTGTAATTCGATTGATTAAATTATTATTTTTGAATGAAACATCAACTTCGAGAATGTATTGATTTAATATATCGCATGAAATAAAGTAGAAGGCAAAAATAGAATGTATGTTTTCTTGTATTTTGTGTGTTAGACCATGAAAATCTCAGAATATGTAGTTGTGATTAATAATTTCCAAACGGAAAAAGCTAATCGATCTATTTTAGTCAGGAAACATTGTTTTATAGCTTAATTAAGATCTTGACCTTGACCTTGACCAACGATCACTGAATATTGTAAGATCGCATATGCTTCCGATATCTTCATTAGAACCGAATTCATGACCCCATACCAAACGTTGTATTACCTTTAATTGATTGTGAATAATGAAATATTGGGTATATGTAACAAATAATTAATTCCCAATTATTTCCCAAGGTTCAGCCCTGCTCTCTTGGCACCCCACTTTGAAGTCATGAAAAGCAAAATACAAATAAATAGGGCTAGACCTAGCTGCAAAGGCAATGCCATCCCCAAGTGAAGCATTGAAGAACGAGCCTCAAAGCTGTTTTTAGGCATTGACCTACTGATTTAGGGGTCATATAACCTTAATCTATGTACATTTCTGATGTATATTGGACACCTACCTTCCTGTTAAAGGCTAAGTCCACTTTAAAAATAATTTGCTTTGAATAGATGCAGAAAAACTAGAGAAACAGCAAACAAAAAAGAGTAAAATCGGATAACTAATAAGGAAGTTATAAAAACACTACACAAATTGCCAATTTGGTTATCAGTTTGTGACGTCATTGCCTCACAGGGCATGTTGGGACTGCCATGATGAAAAGACGGAGAGAATTGGAAACGTTCATTTTCACTAACCCCTTGCCATTTAGCCCAAAAAGTGGCAATTTGCGAATTTTCCCCAAATTTTGTCTGAACTCCCGTTTTGGGAACAAGCGGGGATCAATATAATTCTGAGGAAAATTTAGGACTTTTATGATGAGGAAAGTGAGAGGATTGAAATTTTTCGCGCAAAAATGATGAATTAGACCTTTGTCAATTTTGCAAAAAAGTGGCGATTTTCGAATTTATCCAAAATTTGCCCTTACGAGCTTTTAGGGAAACAAATGGGGATCAACATAATTAAGAGGACAATTTGGGACTTTCATGATGAGGAAACAAAGAAGATTGAAATTTTTCATTTTTTGGCCCCAAATTTAGTGGCAATTTTCGAACTAATCCCAAATTTGCCCCAACGCCCTTTTTGGGAATAAGCGGTAGTCATAATCATTCTTAGGGAATTTTGGGACATTCAGGATGAAAAAGCGGAGAGGTTTGAAAATGATCAACTAAACCCTTGCTATCTTTGCCAAAAAGTGGCGATTTTCGAATATTCCCCAAATTTGCCTTAACGCTCCTTTTGGGGACAAACGGGGATCAATATACATCTGAGAGCAATTTTGGGACTTTCTTGATGAGGAAACAAAGAAGAAATTTTCGCTAATTTGCTTTAACGCCCTTTTGGGGAATAAAAGGGAGTCTTAATAATTCTGAGGGCATAATGGAACGTTCATGCTTTTCCGGGAACGTATTCGTCGAAAAGTCCAATACTACGATCATTGTACCTCTTATTTTATAAGAACTTAGTCTGAACTGAAACAGAATAGTGTTTCAAGCGCGTAGCCAGGATTTCATTTTAGGGGGGGCGGTAGTAAGCACGCGAAGCGTGCGAATCACTTAAAGAGCGCGCAAAGCGCGCTCCCTAGGGGAGTGGGTGCAGGGAGGCAAAGAGATTCGATCATACACGTATGTCCTCCGTTTCCCCCCCTCCCGCGCGAAGCGCGAAAGCTTTGAAAGAAGACGATTCGTTGTACCTTTCTCGACTCATAATCCTTGTCTGAATTCAGTCCCTCCACTCTCTCGCGCGAAGCTTTGACGTTTCATTAAATTATTAGAGAAAGAAGACGATTCGTTGTACCTCTCTCGACTCTTAATCCTTATCTGTATTCAGTCCCTCCCCTCTCTCACGCGGAGCTTTGACGTTTCATTTAATTATTAGAGAAAGAAGACGATTCGTTGTACCTTTCTCGACTCTTAATCCTTGTCTGAATTCTGTTCCCCCCCCCCCCCCCCCCCTCTCGCGCGAAGCTTTGACGTTTCATTGTACCGTTCTCGACTCCTTTTCCCTTTTTCTTCCTACCTCCTCTTTCTTTTTTTTTCTTCTCTTTCTCTCTCTTTTTTTTTTTGGCCGGCGTTTTTTTTTTTTTTGGGGGGGGGGGCGACCGCCCCCACCGCCCCCCCCTGGCTACGCGCCTGTAGTGTTTGACAACATGAGACGAAAGCCAAGGATAATAAGTTATTAGACTGCAAAGCTGAATAACATCGAAGAAAAAACATGCGTATGAACAGATAAACTAAAACCCTCATGGACAAATACTGTATTTATTCTCAAGAAAGTTATGTCATTACTATTTCTTTGATAACAAAGTCCATTCATTGAAGGATTTTTCGCAAAGTGGAAATAAAAGTGTTAATAAACCATTTGTATCAGTTTCTTTTGAACAAATTTGTTGAAAGATTAACGTTAATTCTATTCAACTCGGCTGACGCCTCGTTGAATAGAATGTTAATCTTTCAACTCATGAAAATATTCGCACTATTGAACTCATAACCATTCATTATTTGTATAATACATAAAGTAAGTTCAGCAGCTCAAGGTCGCAATATCATTCTTTTATGGCATCTATTGATGTTTATATCCCATCACCCAATACCTTGCTTTGCATAGATCTGTTTACTAATGTATTTTAACTTTTGCAAGTTTCCCTCCAAACCTTTATACCAATTAACTATGTGTGTGTGTGTGTGTGTGTGTGTGTGTGTGTGTGTGTGTGTGTGTATGGGTGCTCTCACCTCAGCATTCTTGTGGGGTTTTATGTGCGCTTCACATACCCCTTGTGAGGCATTTTTACTTTGTGGGGTATTTTTTCAGGACCCCACAGAGTAAAGTCTTTCAAATGACTGTATATTCGGTGTCCTATGCCCTGCGGGGCATTAGAAGTGGTACCCCATAAATGACTTTTTGTGAGCGTGTGCTAAAACTTGCACACTTTTGTATGGTAACATCGTAAGCACACCGCCGGGTTGTTATCGCCAGGTTGTACATACCCCACTAGTAGGGGACCACAAGGTATATCTGGAACGCACAGAAATACCCCACAATCAGGTGCCCCACAAAGGCCCTGATGTGAGAATGTGCGTGGGTGTGTGTGCGTGTGTGTGTGTGTGTGTATTGGGTTTTTACAGACGTGTATCAATCAGATATGATTATTTACGTCTGGGGACCGACCTTTAAACGTCACCATCCGTGAGTTTTGAACCTGCGTCCTCGGCTGAATCAGTTTGTAACTTCCACTTTTTAGCTGGATTACAGGCGCACGCCACAACGCCTAGTTATTTGATTCACCTGCTATGCAAAATGGCAGATCTATATGGATGGGATTCACTTTGCACTGTTCACTTTGTTCCTATGCCTGGTAAGCCTCTCACAAGCTTTGCAGGCGTCAAGAGATACTTTTGTTAAAAAAATGCATACAAGTATTTCGCTCAACCCTCAATACAATAGACTTAATCTTATGAACCATATGAGTACGTCGTCCTCATCAAACGCGACATCAATTATAGAAATATAATATAAGGGAACAAAAAAGTAGTCCAAAATGGCTTTCGTAATAACATTTCATAATACCACCAAGTCCAAATGCAATAAATAACTCGCTGATTGAAATAACAATGTTATTAACGTAACATTTTAATTTATCATCAAATTTGTCTAACTGTCATATGCACACTATGACCATCACCATTTATGTATGACACTTCACTTCAATTCCAATTATTAAACAATAAACCATCAGTGAGAATCACTCATTCAGACAGATGAATACAACATAATATTATTTACCTTTTTATATCTATCTTACTTGTCTGTACATATTCGGATCGCATTTTGCACTTCTCCAGATGTCATGCTGCTTCACTAATGGCAAAACTTCTCTGTGTACCGGTAATTTTCTGCTTTCTCTATATCTTCGATCCAATTTCAACTAGCCTGCTCTTATATCCTCGTGTATTTCCAGCGATTTATGTCCGCATGGTGGAGTCTTGTAAGATATTTGTGATATTATCTTGGCTTCCTGAGCACGGCAGATAGACGTTGATCTATACGGAACAGCTTGGACGACGCGTCCAAGGCCGCAGAAGAATCGAACTGAGTCAATGACAATATAATAATTATATGCATGCTTTTCGAAAAAGACTTTCTCTTGACAACTCATATGCTTGTCAGAGGCTTGCCCGACATAGCAAGAACTCGTGTACAAAAAGTGGATTCCATCTATAGAGATGCCATTATTCAAAGCAGGTGAATGAAATGGCTGGTTACTAGGGTTTATAGGGAGAGAAACATGCACGGGCGGATCCAGCCGATGGCAAGAGGGGGGGGGGGGGGGGGGGTGGGGGGAGGCTATTCGTGAGGAAATATTTATAGCGGCGACTTAGCCAGCCGGGGAATAAGCGGGAGGGGGGGGGGGTAGGAACACTTTTTTGTGTCCAATTTGTGAGGAAATATTTAGCGGCGACTCGAGTATCTTCTGAATAATACGTTATATCTAACATAACGATTCCACAAAATTTAGAAATGGCACCGCGTCAGGATGGGGTGAACTGAAGGACTCATGGCAGCCCGCTGCTAAATAAAATCTTTGCCTAATCTTTTATTTACCAATCTTACAGAAGACGATTTCTCGAAAGTAGGCCACAAGTCCAACAGGTCCAAGGGTAGGTTTATTGTAACCCGAGATGAGTTCAAAGTCCTATCCCATCCAGATTTGCTATACACGAACGGACGATAATAAAAAGTGTGCAGAAATTGAATATTAACATGCTTGTCGCGTTCTCGCAATATAAAAACGAGGTCCAACTCTCAAAGATTACTTTTTCGGTTCAGCAATGGCTTTCAAAAATGGCTCTGTGTTTTCCGCCATGTGTGTATTGGCTCTCCGTTTCGCATTTTCTGACAGTGCCAATGTTTTAATCGTAGGCGTCTTTGGAGGAGGAAGTCACATGATGGCACTGGTTCCTATAGGAAGAAGTCTTGTCAATCGGGGCCATGAAGTAACTTTTTTAATTGATGACATGTTTACACATAACTACGCTAAACCGAAGTACACGGACTACTTCAAGTTCGAGCACTACAGCTTTCCAAATCTAGACAAGGAGCTTGCTCACCTCAATGACCAGATGAGTGACTTTGCTTTTACCGAGAACCAAGTTAGTCAAATGCTTTTCATGGTATCGTTGTTTGCAGATCTAAACCGTCGGGTTTGCGAGGAAATATTTAGCGACGAGGAGCTTCTGAAACGATTAGAAGGGGTGGATGTTGTTCTGGTTGATGTTGTTTGGCCATGTGGGATCTATATGAAGTCGTTCCTTTCAAAGCAGAAAAACACCAAAGTTCGTGGAGTCGTCGTTGCTACGTTGGCATCATACCCCTACATGCAACAGCTTGCTGGGTCACCAGTACATCCATCCTATCAACCCATGCCTATAACAGGGCTGTCCTTTAACATGTCGTTCCTGCAACGCGTCAGCAATACCATATCCTACCTGATTGGCAACATCTTCAATTATTTCATGTGTTCAAGACCCTATCACGAGATTGTAGACAGATACGGTTTGGATCCGTATATGAAAAGTTCTATCCATGAAGATGTTGATCTTTATCTAATCAACACCGAATTCGCCGTCGAGTTCCCGTATTCCTTGATGCCGAATATTATCCCTGTCGGTGGTCTAACGGCAAGACCAGCTGAACCTTTAGAAGATGACTTGGAAAGCTTCATGCAAGGTTCTGGAGAATATGGGGTCGTTGTCTTCTCTCTTGGCTCGAACTTCACACGGATAACTAATTCAAGACCCGAGCTCGTCCAAGTTTTCATTGCTGCACTCGGTCGTTTGCCTCACAAGGTGCTGTTTCACCTGCAGGCAGATCCGCCAGAGAACCTTCCTGGAAACATCAAGGCGTTGCCTTGGCTTCCTCTCCAAGACGTCCTTGGTCATCCGAAGACACGTCTCTTAATCTATCACGGTGGCAACAACGGCTTCCTGGAGGCGGTCTATCACGGCGTGCCCCTCGTCATCATGCCCTTGGCCGGTGACCAGATCGACGTCTCTGTCAGGGTCGAGTCGATGGGCCTCGGTACGACCATCGACAAGACGCGGTTGAGCGCCGACTACATCTACCAAAGAGTGGCGGAAACTCTTCAGAATCCAGAGTACAGTGAGAGGATGAAGCGTGCATCTGCCATCTTTAAAGACCGGCCAATGACAGCCCCTGATCGGGCAGCATTCTGGATTGAACACGTGATCAAGCATGGCGGAAGCTACATGCGATCACCCGTCCATGATTTATCATTTGTTCAGTATCATTTGTTAGATGTGATATTGATGCTAACTTTAATATTTTTGACAGTAATGTACCTCTCTTATAAAATTCTTAGATTATGCATGTGCATTTGTTTTCGTGTAAACAAAAACGAAAAACATAAGCATGACTGAACTGTATATGAACATAGCACGTTTATTGTGCAAACGGTAATCATGTATTCATTAAACGTTTGTATAGACCATGATAATACATTCATTTCAATTTTCAAGTACTCTTTTCACAATTTCTACATATTTGTATTTTGTAGGCCTATTTGTATTTGATTTTTGTTTTCATTTAACTTTATTGACATATATATTAATATTTTGTTCGAAAATCACACCAATAAATGAACTACGATAAACTAACGCTGAAAACAGAACAATGTGTATTAAAAAAGCTGTAACAAGCAAACGTAATTATCTTATAATTCATCAAGTAGAGTACGTTTAATATAGGAATATAAGAAATACTTAAGTACAAATGGTTTTTTGACAATATGAGCCTGTAGCTCACCCTGAAGTAGATTATATGTATTTGTACAAAACACTCCTCTGTTGGATAAACCGATAAAAATACATTTAAACTTGAAAAACTAATTCAAAGGTTATCACGTCCATCAATAATAGTGTATCTCAAAAATGTGGCAAATTCTTAGATGAGAGCGTTTTCTTTGTGTGACATTACACAGTTCACAACTAAATAATTCATACCCGACGCATAATGCTATCGAAATTGTTAGGTTCATTTCTTTTAAAGAAGTTGCTATCACGTTCCAAGTTATTTTTTTTTTTCTTCTCATGTTCATCCAAAAGTCTTCCTGTATTACGTTTTTTGAATTACTTATTAAACATCTTGATTTTAGTTTGAGAATAATTATGTTGTGTTTCCATTAATTGCTTGCAATACATGTACTTATCTAAAGGCAATGTTCAATTTAGTCTTTAGATTTTGAAAACGAGGACTTCGTTGATGAAAAGAAATGTTTGGCATGCACCCAGTATAATTATAAAGATCGCATGCTTGATCTTGTAATTGAAAACAAGTCAGAAACAAATCTTGGAACCATTAGTTATAATGCGATTTGTATTCATTAATTGTTGCTAGGTAGGATGCATATTATGGATTGTCCTACCTAACATCAAGGAATGTATGCAATTCGCATTCTGACCATTGAAACACAATGAATTGATCCTAAGTATGTATAATAGTTGGATGAAATAATTTATAGCGAGGCAACAACAAAGATTTGTGCATAAAATTTGATTACGTTACGAAAATGGCCTATTGAATAAATGAATGAAAACTATTTGTAAGCGAGGTTTGGAAAAAACTTAAACGCAAGAATGCCGACTATCCAAATCTATGACGGCATTTAAAGGGGAACTAACCCCAAAGAATAAGTGTAAATATTCTGTAAAACGAGATGAATTCCTGCCTTTTGAAGTACAATAAATATTACAAACGTGTACAAGAGATATTTCTTTTACGATTATAACATCTTTCTTCTTCTCCTTGTTTATATTCTATTGTATAATTATTATACAATAGAATATAAACATAGGAGAAACTGAATGTATTATACATTTAGTTTCTCCCATGTACTATGTGGAAATGTCGTCGTTTTTCGCCAATGTTGTCAATTTGTATTTGTGTTATACAGGTTTCAGGGAAGACCAGATTTTATGAATGAATTGCCCTGATTTATAACATGTGAAATATATATGTAAAGAAATAAACATATATATAATATATGTGTCAATAAATAAACTAAACTCCCTGTTAAAACACAACTCCCTGTTAGAACTGAACAGGATAAGTTTGAAAATACAAATCACAAGACCTTCTCTCAACCGAGTCTCAACACAATACATACATCAAAGCCTTTTTGTTATCGTTCTGGTATATATTTATCATTGTTTTCAGATGTGATTCGATGTTCTAAAGCCACTCCGAAAAAAGATTTGGTTTAGTTTGTATATCTGGTTTATCTTCTGATTTAGAAGTGAACAGGATCATTTATCTAAGGGTCTAGATGTAGTTGTAATAGATGCTCTACAAACAGCAGTTCAAATGGATAAACACGACATGATACCATTATATACTTAAAATATGTAGTTTATTGAAATAGCAATGCTTGAAGAAATACAAATGTATAAGGCCTTATTTTGGATGAGGTGATAATAACTACATTGGGGAATCACCCAGAGTATCAATAGTGCATTCAACAAAATATACACATACATGTACTAGCAGAGTGTGTTTCATTTGAGATCAGAAAAAGAAGAAGTGCATAAAAAGGTGATCTTGAGACTTTGATTTAATACAAATCCATTAACCATACCAAGCAAGTAGTCACTGGCTCTTTGCGATGTCAATTATTGTACATATTGTATTGGCAACTTGGTACTGAAAGTGGAGAGAGAGAAACACAAAGGGTTATATTTCATACAGCATTCATGTTAATATCCCTTCCAGGCCCCTCCTACACCGAGCACTCGCAAAACGCATGCCGTTTGCGATTTATTTGGCGCAAAATGTTGTCAGTTCTCATCTGGTCGTGCGACACGTTTATACTCCCTTGGCAATGGGCCCGACTTCTACATGAGCATGTATAATGCTTATGTAATGAAAAGGCATTCTTTTTGCCCTTCCATAAGATTATTAACATTTCCATTTTTTTTTAATTCAGCAACATTTTAGTAAGCATTGTTAGGTCAGACCAGGGACAAATCTTGTTTTTTATGTCTAGGGCAAACTTTTTTTCTGGAAAAGTATGTTTACATTTTGAATACAGTTTATGGCCTCATTTAATAAACTTTCTATCATAATCCGAAAGCAGTTACAATGAAAGTTCGCTAGCTTTTACTTCATCTAATCGCAGACTACCTCTTTTTGAAACCTGTTATGGAAGATAGTCAACTGGATTTCCAATCTTGAATAGAGAAGAGTATTATTTAAATTTTAAAACTAAAACTTTAGAGGGTGAATAAGTAAATGTACTGATCAACAATATTGTAAACTTCAGTTCAGTTTAATACATGTAAGGCAATTTAACAATATAAAGTCAATGTTTTCAGTCACCTGATCAACCATAAAGACTTCCAAAGAGGAATTTTTTTAAGTCAATGTAACGTTGCATCTGCAATGCTTCTTATGAACGCCTGCACACATGCTTTGATGATCCCATTCATGCAGTTTTTGTCCAAATCATTGATCACCTCATAAAATATACAAATATACATGTGTACTTGGAATTCTTCAAGTCAATGTCATGTTGCATGCGTCATGTTCCTTTATACAGTACACATAATATTCTTGCAAATGCAGTTTTCTGTCCAAAAAATGCCATTAAGACCTAAGACGCACCAGGACATCCTTCAGTCCAATGTCACGTTGCATCTGCCATGTTCCTTATGAGAGCCTGCACACGAGCCAAGATGATCTCGTTCTTGCACAGGCAGTTGTCGGGTTCATACGGAGGCTCAATCACCAGTACATCCGATATACTCAAGGAGTCATTGTCTTCTCCACATTCTTTGACTGGTACCCTGTGAAGTTTCAGCCATTCCTTCAGTTTCTCTTTTTGGCTCGCTAGTTCACCCGCAGACAGGGACTGAGTCTGGGTGTCACCTTTGAAGAGTCCATCCAGTAAAGCTTTGTGTTTGGTTGTATCATTGTCTAGAACGGTGATGTCGGTAATGCTGTGTCCCATAATGACAGATAGAGGGAGCTGTCCATCTGGTGAGTGGCTTTCGCATTGAGCCAAGATGATGCTGTGATGCAGATCAGATTCAAGAGGGATTGAGAAAAGAATTTGTGTAAATTTATAAAAAAGAGTGGAAATCATACCCATAAAGCGCATTATACGGTAGCAGCGTATTTATGGAAGTTCCAGTCAGAGGTCAACACCATTGTACCGAGATTGTAAAGTCACACGCTACACGTGAAGAGGGAGCTGAGCTGTATCGCTCTGGTAAGATATTCACCAATATTTTGTTATTTTTACCTTCAATTTTTAATGTTTGTAGGCAATTAGGAGTATAAGTGGCATAAATTTCATTGAGGCCACTGTCCAATATTCGTCGGGTGCAGGAAGGTGTGATTTCGGACACATTTTAGGGTTTGTTTACATGCCTCTCCGTAGGCATTGAATTACATTTTTGGCTTAACTTTACTCTTTACGACTTTAGATACGATGTACCCTATGAACGTCTGGTCAATTTTGGTGGTGGGGAATACTTAAGTAAAGTTGCTCCACGATTTTTTACATACAATTTCATACATCAACTGAACTCTCTGGCAAATGACTAACCTATCATGAAAGTCGACACAAAAGTCACTCCAGCAAAGCATAGAGAGTCAATGCTAATGCGTATTGACAATGCACAAAAGTGACAGAACTGACAAATCCTTTTTCCCATCTCCCATCATTGAATGGAACCATTTGGATGAAAACACCATAAACTCCACATCAACCAGCACATTCAGGAAGGCCATTGACAGAGCCTTCTAAGTACCCCCGCGCCCTCTCTCTCAACCGATGCGTTTATGCCCAGAAGGGCCCTGCATCGTACACATCCAGATCCAGATCTAATTTCAATAGGCCAGTTTCGGCGGTTACGTAATGCGCGGTTACTGTAACCAAGCCCGACAAGCTTTGTCAAATCGCCATTTTGAATCTGTGCATTGTGTATTAGAATGTCGGTTCTTGCCGTTAAATTGCATTCATATCTTTCTATCAAAACTGCGTGTATATATATGAATTTCTGTTTTGGCCGGAAATATCTTCCGACTTGCCATTCATCAAGCTGAGTTTCAGGCAGCTGCAATATTTTCTAAGAAAAAGAGGAGTTTCGACTAAGGTATACACCCGAGAAAAGACTCGTTAAATTAGCGTCCGCAGTAGCGGACTAGCCTGCCCGTAGCCCCTGACCTACGGGGTCCGTGTCGCTCGGTAGACATGACTGTATGGGGAAATTACAACGGGCAGGATTTTCGTTAAGTGAACTAGTTACATACCTCCCTTAAGTTTGACGATATTCCTGACTTTGGACCTATGACGTATTCAATTATCTAGTAGAGAATATGGCGGACCATGCATTTATGATCGTCGAAAACTGAAGGCTTTTAAGAGTTTTGAAGACTTTCGATTGATATTTCCCGATGGCCATAGATAATAGATTATGTGGCCTGGAGAAGCTCGAGTACAATCCCCCCTCTAGTTAGCTCTCGGCAGCTCATGATAGCGACTTGTGACTAGATTATACAGGTCAAACCGACGCAAAAAGACAGAACATACCAACTTGAACAAAAAGAAAAAATATATAAATAATAAACAAATAAAAAGTAGAAGTCTAGACTAGATCTAATAAATATAATAACAATTTTATTTTTAAATGTTTTTTTTTTTAAATAACAATAATTTCTTCTTGAAGGTCCGGTATAATTGCAGTTAAATACTATTAACTTTTATTTTATGAAAATCAAACTTAATTCCTAATCTTATTCTAAACAATAAAATTATTCATCATCCTGATTCTTCTTCCTTGCCATCATAAGGTTTTTTTATTATTACTTTTATTATTCCCTTTTTCCATTGCTCTATCGTTCTTTTTCCTTGTTCATTGTTTTTCTTCATTTTTTCCGTTCAAAATTATTTGTTTATCATTATTCATCATTCTTATTCTAGCTCTCTGTCATCGGACGATATTATTTTATAAATATTATTTTAATAATTATTACCTTTATTGTCATTATTTCTCGTTGCTTTTGTTAATAATATTGATTCTGCGGTCAGTGCTTGCTTCTCGTTAGCCGTTTCTTGTCCGCCTTGAAATAGTCCGAATCGAGGCGTTTCACAAACATTTTTTAATCCGTAAAATTGCATTTCATTTTGAAAATGTGAATCGCGCCTACACGAACACGAACACGTGGTACGCGCGCACGCTTCTGCAAGCAGAGGTGACTGTGTGTGCGAACGCCGAGTGGAAAATAGTTCATCACTTCTTTCATTTCTACGTCCAAATTTGTACTCAGATTCAAGCTAAGGTAAATGCAAAATTGAATGGAAATTACCGATATCGGCTAGCTAACTTATATTTTGGTGCTTCGCTTTCTGTTTCATCACTGGCTTTCAAGCCAATGTCGCTTGTATCATCGACCTCGTTTTTCTTCTTTTTGAGGGGGTATCGTGCGCTGCCTGTACCGGGGACTTGGCCGAACAGGTTTAGCTGCAAGATGTGAATCGCTAGTTCTGTACCAGCAATGCTTTTCTATTATTCTTGCCTAAGACTCAGCGATTTTAAAGATCAAATGTATGAAGAACAAAATCACATCTCAAAGATATTTAGTATTCAAGTTTGAAACTGCCTCCTTTTTCTTCTCTCTCTCTCTCAAAATAGCGAAAACAAACGATACAATCACACCTATAGCGAACACAGTCATGTATGGTATGCATGCAAAGTGTAGTCTGCTACGCACCGCGAGTTCTGCTTGTCCGACCCTCCGATTACGTAATGCGATTTAAAGGTCTCTGAATACATTACGAAACTGGCCTATTCCAATCCAACTCATATTTCGGTATATGGGACTGTTATCAACATTGGGTTTCACGTGTGTACTAGTACTGCTTAATCAAGATCAATGCTTACCTTTGTGAAACTGGATCTATAGTATAAATCCATCCCTCATATTGATATTCCGTGACCGCACATATTCTAACACGTTTGTAGATAATACTTTTGAAATGAATTGGGTCCATCTGTCTGAATTCATCACCTGTTATCACGCTCACATTTTCCTCCATGGGCGCCGCCATGTTTGATTTGATTATTTTAACAAAGTTGTTTTACGCCATCTATGGTTCAGAACAATATAATGAAGAAAAGCGAAAAGGGTGTTCACAAATAAATGGAGACTTTATTGATGAACCTTTCAGAAGTTCAATACTTATCTCATACTATCAGTCAAAGTGCCTAGTCATAAAAACACAGAATTCCCATGTCTCATTGTAGTTTATCATTGTCATACATCTACAGATTAACTTTTTGTTATCCGTCTCTGTCTCTCCAATCTCCCCGGCCCGCCCCCCCCCCCCCCCTCTATCATTTTCTTTCCAATCATTATTGTTATCATTGTTATTCGGCCCTATTATTATTATTATTATTATTATTATTATTATTATTATTATTATTATTATTATTATTATTATCATCATCATCATCAGGGGCAGATCCAGGGTTTTTTCCCCGAAAAAAACAGGATATACAAAATTTAGAGCTAGAGGGAGAACCTCAAAAAGCTGAGAAGAAAATTCCTTAAATGTTCAGTCTACGCGTTCAGAAATGCCTCATCATGTACCTTAGACCGGCATCTTACGGTCTTAAGTGGGCCTTAAAGATTTCGCGCTCGCAATTTCGTATATTTCACCCCCCCCCCCCCCTTGAAAAAAAAACCTGGATCTGCCCCTGACCACCATCACTACTATTAGTATTACAGTATTTCCCCCTTCTTTTAAAAGGCTTTTGCTGGGGGAGGGGCACTTAGTTTAAATGAATATTGGGGATTCGTCGGTAGGTTTAGTGTGAAAAAAAAAAAACAATCATCATAATCATTCATAATCGTCATTGTCATCATCAATATCATAAATCTGCAACTTTTGAGACACAGCACACAAGAAAACACACAGGATTGTCCGAAAATGAAACAACAATTAAACAAATTACTCATTAACAGATCATAATCTATCAAATTTATGATATTATGAGGAAGAATTTACAAACAATGCGAAACAATTAACACAATGCAACATGTATTACAAGTTTGAATTTGAGCACATTTATCATCATAATTATCTCCCGAAATACCTAACAATTGTTTTTATGTCTTAGCTATTTCCTATATTGCATTTCTCTTTAAGTTATAAAACATGCTTTTCGAAGTATGTGTCGCATGAACTGTATCGTATCTATTGAAACATTAAATAATTTTAAATTATATAAGAACACTAATTTGAGAAGTAATACATTATACAAAAGGATTGTTGGTCACAAAACATATAAATAGACAATCTTCAATCAAAATTTAGAGTTAGTCAACTCCCAACATGTCTCCAGGCAAGTTTCTTCCTTAAATGACTTTAAGTCAAAGTACCGATAATCTATCACAATGAAAGTACTATAAGCAGTAATAAATAAAGTCTCCGTTTGTATTAATTTCTTCATATCAGGGCAACCCAATGGAAATTGGCGATAACAAAATGACATGAATTGTATTTATTATTATTTTTAGTATGGATTAAATGTTCAAATGTTCTTAATTGCTATTTCAAATTTAATATATTAAACATTTTGTTTCAGCTCTTTGCGTCGAAGAGAGTGTTGAAATTCATGTACAGATTAAAAGAGTGTACAATTTTCCCCCATGTTGGATTGCCCATTAATCATTAGCCTCATACGTTGAAATATAATTGCTCTAAAAATCAATTAAATTTCTTTGAATACACATTATCTAAACAAAACATTATTTTTAATAGTCGGTAAACGAAAAGACCTGTAACCACTAGTTTTATCAAACATAATAAATCAAGAACTTCAAAACTTTCACAGACAAAAAAAGGCAAGGTTAGTGCAATCTAATGCAAATAACTTCGGATAATTCGAACACAAGTCATAATTATCTATGAAAACACTAACAAACAAAAATGTAAATATGCTTTCTTTCAAAATATTTACGTCACTAGAAAATTCGAATCACAGTCCTTAAGGTGTGTATATCACATTACTATATAGCAAAAGGTTTACAATAATTTAGACCGGCTAAATATATTTTTTCAGAGGAGAACAAATATTTCAATATTCCTCATGATTATCAAACTCCGGGATATGATAAATAGAGCCTTCTTGCGGGTAATAAAATGCATCAATAATGGGCAAGAAAAGTTCTAAAAAATAACAGTAAAACTACCAGCTATACGAGATGTTTTCGTTTATCAAATTGGTATTGATTAAAATGATTTGCATGAACATCACAAATAAACAAAATATTACATTTCTTTAATTCGATATTAAAAAATGATTTAAAGCGATTAGTACTAAAATATCACATGGTAGGCCAATACAGAATTTCTCCATACAAATCTATCATCAAATCATCATCCGGAGAAACAATTATTTAGATAAATGATATAAAAGCAGAATTTGAGATTCCACATGGATTATTAATCTAAAAAAGTTTCCTGAAGGAGTAGACGTTGATATAGATAGATAGAGAGAGAGAGAGAGAAAGAGAGAGAAAGAGAGAGAGAGAGAGAGAAAGAGAGAGAGAGAGAGGGAGAGAGCACACACATAAAGAAAAAAAGAACCCTCTGTGCTTTGTTCAGCTGAATTTCCACATGATCAACAATGAAACTGAATCAAAACCTCTTTGCCTGAAAACCTCTGATCAGTTCATTTTGAGTGCTATAAAAATGCGTTAGAGTTGCACTTACACAAACTTATACATGAGACTCGGATCTATTTCATTTATTACTCTATCAAACTGATGTTCTGCTGCATGCCTCACTCGTCGACATTACTGTCATTTTAGTTTACCGGTAGCCTTCATAAATATAACAAATCAAACCGCAAAAATCTTCTGAAGATACGTCGGGTTGGATTTAAATAAATAAATATCAGTAATGTTCGTCTTTGACGAATCGGAAACTTGGTGTCAAATATTGAAACCTTTAGAAAATGGAAATCTCTATTTATGGCCTTCTGTTTTGGCATTTGGCAACGCCATTATCTGCTGCTGCAATTAATTCGCATCAAACATTGCTTCATTCAAATGTCCAAGAGTTCAGCCTCGCTATCTCTTCTTCCGCTTTCCAGCAGACCAGCGTCACTAAACCGTCTTTCGTTAGGCTGTTCCTGAATATGTGTAGACAAAAAGGAGAAGAAAAAAAAAGACATAGAAAATTTGAGTAAGATAAATCAACCTCAAGGCACGGATCCCCGAATTTTCTCCTGTTGGTGAGAACTACTTTTGTATTGTTATTCATTACATACTATTGAACAGAAAAAAAGATGTGTGATTTCGACTGGCAAGTGACATTCGTCCATTAAATCTACGAAATCGTCAGAACATAGTCATGATGAATATTCTTTAACTTGAACTCAGCTAAGTGGCATCCATTTTTCATAACATGTCAATATGTTACGATCGAACCTTTATTCAACACAGAAAATACCCATACATTTATAATAATAAATTATGACACAAAAGACTTCAGTCCATATCTAAATATGAGCGATCGCTGCTATGTTTGATACCCAAAATTACTATGGACGAAAATGGCATATCTCTAACTCTCTACACAGTTTACAAAATTAACTATCTCAATGGATGAATTATATTTTCACCCAATAACGTAAGAAACGACAGTGAATGCATCACGAATAATAAGACAAAAGCCCAGAAGACGAGTTGGAGGAACTAGGCAAGTCGCCTTCTTTAGGACATCTTTTACAATGTGTTCTTGTCTTCTTATCCTATTTTATCTCGATCTCTCATTGGCAGTTTTAAGCTTCCGTTGTAAAGACATCACGACTTACATCGTTTTCATGCGTTCCTTCGTAGACGTGTTCGTAGTTCGATGGTCTGAAGTTGACCGTTGCGTTCCTCCCGTAGACGTCGTACCTCTCTGAATGCCTCTTCTTAATTCTCACGTAGATAAAAGCGATGACGACCACGAGGAAGACACACAGGGCGATGATCGTACCGACAATCGCCGACATGGGTGACGAAAGGCCTCTTTTGCGCTGAACTGTAGGAAGATAATTATGAAAGGGAAGGACAAATGAAACGTATATTTTACTAAACAAGACTTGACGACTTTATAACCAGACACTGTTGCCTGTATGCAACTTACTTCCGTCGAGTTTCGCTTCGCGTGTTCCAGAAGAAAATATATATTTTACTTGAGACTGCGAACTTGAATCATCTTAATAAATAACAGTATTTTTAGTTTCTTATAAGTTTTGCATTTAACCAAAGAAACACAAGAACGGTATTTCAAGATGTGTCCCTCCATGGAATTACAGATATCGGCAACTTCGAAATTTTATGCAGACCATGGTCAAAATAGAGAGAAGAAAATTGATGACCTATTTTCGCTTGTTGGCTTGTTGGGAGAAAGATGTAAACATCTATGAAATCCGACCTGTTGTCGGTAAATTTGGAAATCTGACAAGCCTCTTTTTCTAGTCTGCAAATTTGAAAATCGTCTTTTTGTCCTTTCTTTTTTGGAAGATTTCGAACCAACCCTTGTCGGCTTATTCGCTCCAACACCTTTATTCTAAATTGTCTAGCGATACCCCTATACATTTCTCTCTCACTACTAGTACTACTACAAATAAAAAGTATCGAATGGACTTACGATCAAATAGTTTTTGGGTGGTAATAGGTACGGTCTTGGATCGTACTTCTCGAGTGACGGTGTCGTTGTCCCATAAACCGAGGAGCTGAATGTGGTACGTCTGTCCCTCCGTCAGGTTACGAATCGTGTACGATAGAGCCGAACGCTCTACGATCTCTGACTCTAACACTCTGCTCTCGTCCTGATGGGAGATAAGTCAAATAAGTTGATAAAAAGATGGGGGTAGTTAAAGAAGTATATAAAACATAAACAGAGAATTTAAAAAAGATAGAATAAACAAGTAAATGATCGTGGTACATCTATTCTTCAGTCACGTTACGACTCATGTACGATATAGTGCCGAACGCTCTACGATCTCCAATTCATATTTAAAGGCTCTCATCCTGCTGGCAGAGGATGAAATAAAGATGATGGAAGATGGGAGGATAGGGAAAGGAGATTATAAAACATAAAATGGGGGAAAAACAAGAGGGAATAAACGAAGTAACGATGGTGGAACGTCTATCCTTCTGCCATTTTACGAATCATGTACGATAGAGCCGAACGCTCTACGAACTTCGAATATAATACTCGGCTCTCATCCTGCTGGGAGAAGATAATGTAAAGATGACAAAAGATTGGGGGATATTATGATAGAAAAGATTAAAAAACATAAAAATGGTAGATATAATTTATGAAGGACGGAATAAGGAGAAGTCGCGGGACATCAGTTTTTCCGTCAGTTTTCGATTTATAATAAGGTGTAATAGAACCGAACTCTATAGGATCTCGGATTCCCAAATAAGCTCTCATCCGTTTGGGGGGGGGGGGGGGTAGACAAATGAAGTTGATGAAAGGAATCCATGACACATGCTCCGACGAGAGTTACTCAGCAAAAAGCGACAATTGCTCCGCGACATTGCTCCGACGTCAAATGCTCCGCAGACAATGGCTCCGCCGGCATTTGCTACGCCAACATTTTGCTTCGCCGACAATGGCTACGCGACAGTTGCTCCGCCGACATTTGCTCCGCCGATATTTGCGTCGACATTGGCTACGCCGACATTGGCTTCGCCAACAATCGCTACGCCGACAGATGCTCCGCCGACATTTGCTACGCCGACATTTGCTTCGCCGACAATGGCTACGCAGACAGTTGCTCCGCCGACATTTGCTCCGCCGATATTTGCGTCGACATTGGCTACGCCGACATTGGCTTCGCTGACAATCGCTACGCCGACAGTTGCTCCGCCAACATTTGCTACGCCGACATTTGCTACGCCGACACATGCTCCGCCGACAGTTACTCCGCAAAAAGTGACAATTGCTCCCCGACATTTTGCTCCGACGTCAAATTCTCCGCCGACATTTGCTACGCCGACATTTGCTACGCCGACATTTGCTTCGCCAACATTTGCTTTGCCGACAATGGCTACGCCGACATTTGCTCCGCCGATATTTGCGTCGACATTGGCTACGCCGACATTGGCTTCGCCGACAATCGCTACGCCTACAGTTGCTCCGCCGACATTCGTTCCGCCGACATTTGCTCCGCCGACATTTGCTTCACCGACAATGGCTACGCCGACAGCTGCTCCGCCGTAAGTTGCTCTACCGACGTTTGCTCCGCGGATAATTGCCCCGCCCAAAAAGTGCCCCGTAAAATACAAATGCTCCGCCGACAATACAATTGCTATTTCTGATCCAAAATTGCCCCGTTGAAGACATGAATGCTCCTCTGGCAATAACTAGTGACAAATGCTCAGCCGATTATTGCTCTTCCCCATAATGTTTGATTTAAAAATTAAAATCAAGTTTTATAGCTCCTTATGCAAGTTCTCCACCGAAAGATAATTACTCCGCTCAAAATCTGTTTAAATGTATTGCTCATTGGCTGATTTAAAGCTTAAAACTCTCTCTCTCTCGCTATATACAATCGCTTACCGAAAGGGAATAAATATTACCTTGAATATTGTGCCCAAGAAAAAAAAATCACTATTTGGTGAAACAAAGTCTATTACTTAAAAGCTTTATGTACCGAAAAAAGGATTGCGTCTTTCCCAAGGTTTATCCCTTTTTTCCATCATGATCGGGGAATTAAAACGCACCCCCTTCTCAAAATGCTGGCTACGGCCCGGAATAACAACAACAAAACAAGTCAAAAGAAAAAAGAAAATAACCCATGGAAGAAGTATTGTCGGCGAAGCATTTGTTGTCGTAGGTGGCATTATTTTATCTTCTACGGGGCAATTTTTAGGAGGAGCAATTGTCGGCGGGGCAATTGGCAGTAGAACAGATGTCCGACTCAACTCTCATTTGGACGGGGGATGAAAACTAGGTAGTAAATGGTGACGAAACAGGCGAGAATGGAATATTGGACAGGAGAAGAACCAAACAAGGATAAGATTAGAAATACGGATTGAAAACGACGAAAGTAAGACAACTAATGCAATATATCAAGACAAGATGAAGAATGGGTAGTGAAGATGAAGAACGAGTAGCGACATCAAAGAGGAAGAAGAAGAGAATTACAAAAAGGAAAATGTGTCTCGGACAGAAATACAGAACAAAACGAAAAGGGAAGGGAAACAAATAAACAAACAAAAAGAAAAGAGGCAGAAGAAATTATAAATAACACAATATCACGACTAGGATGTAATATTAATGTAAATAGCTCAAATGTAAAGTACAAACTACACCAAAACTCGGGCAAACCTACAGACAATTTGCAAAACTATGGTCTTACTCACAAACATTCCAATTTTCTAATCACCTTTGACACCACCATGAGCCGCCAGCCGACAATATGAGAAACGATTTCTCGCGGTAACGCCGACCACCTGATGGACGCCGTGGTCGTAGTGACTTCATAGATCTCGATGTCGAACGCGTTTCCGGGGTATGGTATAGCTGCGGACAAAACAGTGATGAATTTAAACAGTAACAAGGGTTGGAGAAGAAAATTTACGACATTGACAACAAACTTAAGATAAAAGTAATTGTCATATAACCTATTACGCAAATTTTGTTATTTGTTATATTTTCTGACATTATAAAAAGAGGTGCATTTAGGATTAGATAATTATCATCATAGATTTGAAATAAATAATCTTCCGAATAGTTGTTCAGAAAAGTAATCTAAATAGCAAAACTTACGTTGCCTTGTGTTTTGTACCTTAAGACCTGATAAACTCTCGGGCCAACAAACTGGGACAAAAGTGTCAAGAAACGTTCTGACAGCTTCGGTTATGAAATTAAAGAGCGAGTACGAGTTATCTTTTCGTTCTACAGCCCCTGAAAGAGAAATGCTTACTTTGTTAAGTCGGAGTATTTTGGAGAAGTTAAAACTTACATGGTAACCAGAGTGTGTCAACCTCAATTTTACTGGTCTGTAGATGGATGCCGACCTGGGCTTTTGAAGAACCAATCAAGACAACAAGCTGTACGACGTAGCTCCGAGCTGGGCGCAGGTCCAGGATCGTATATTTTCGCAGCTCAGGCCTAAAAATGAATGAAGCGGAGAAGTTTTTTCTTATCCATTCAATTTAAGAGTATACATTATATCATTCTAAAAAATCACAGGCATAAACTGGGGCGAAATAAGACTAAAACTTGGCATAAGAAATTTAATTCGACCGGCTGGTTCTACTGAAAGGTTTTCTTCAGTTTTCGCCATCTTTTTATATATTTAAAACCAACCGATTTGCATATCGAGTGACCCTCAAGCCAATATACAGTTTCTAGGGCCTTTCGAGAAAACTCACAAACTCCCGGATCCGTTTACGGGCGAACCCCCCCCCCCCCCCCCCCACGATATTCTAGCCATGCAGATCAGACACTAAAACTTTCAAGATCCTTTTGCAAATTTATGGTTGTTTCCATTTATATCTTGACAGGAAAGCTTCACTTCATGAAAACAAAGTAAAATAATTGAAACGCCACCGCTGGCATTAAGGGCTGTTTCATTAATCCTTGATACAAATTAAATATTGGTGAACTGTGCTCTTATATTACCTGAAGGACACTGTACTATTCCATGGTGTACCACCGTACGTAAGTTCCCTGTATTTGAGACGGAACTGTCTGATATACTGTCTCTGTAAGTCCGTCAGAGCGGGCCATCTAATGGTCGCACTCCTGGCCGATGTGTTGGTTGCCGAGATGTTGATTAGAAAGAAGGACAGGGGCAATGGAAGAGGCTTGCTGGCTAAGTTGGTACTTGGTGGAACTACAGCAAAAAGGAAAACAAAAAAGAAAATCGGGAATCACGAATTGAAAGTCTTCTTTCTCTTTTCTTACGACCTTTTATTAAACACATTTGTTGAGGCAGTTTCTACAACCCTTTTTTCAGACATAATATGAAGGAAATATTTCGATAAAGTCGACCATACCAGGAGTGACGAAAACGAGCAGATGGTATCATTGCTGTACAACATTAAGTAATTTTGTTCTTCATTTCCCGAATGTATCATCAATATCTGAAGATGAAACAGAGAAAACCTGCGCTTCACAGTCTGTACATAAACACAGTAAATACTAAAACTGGCCTCAACTCTAATTTCAAACATACTCAATCACGCGATATGGTCATAATTTATTTATTAATCAGAGGAATAATAATCTTAACAGTAACTAAAAAAATAATATTCTTGAGAATTACTCACATTCGTAGCAGACCCATTCCAAACAGCAAGTATCAGCGACGCGGACCTGTACGGGGTAGGGACACTCTAGCTGTCGGGGCGTGGCCGTCGTGCTGTTACATACATTACGGCATGACACTGTCCCGTCGTCACAGCGGCAACGCAGGTCACATCCTTCCCGCCATTCCATTCCGTTCTGGTAAATCTTGTTGCTATGGCTGCAGTCACCGTCTGTAAAATGGAAATGGAATGTGATATCAAATACATCAACAGCTTCGTCCCAGGACCCACATTATCAAAGAGTATCAAGTTACTGGAAGTTCGTTTGGGTATCTCAGATTCTTATTTGTTTGTTATTCATCAGTTTCAATCAACAAAGTGGTAGGTTACTAGAATTCACAGACCAGGATTATAATACCCATTACAAAAGAGGTGTCACTTTGATTGCGTTATTTCTGTATCTAACTAGATGGAACTTCGACTGCGCGCAGTCGAAAATGATGCCTCCGTCATAGAGCAATTTTACAAACCAAAACAGAAGAAATTTTTCAAATTCAAGTTCAATTGTAATCCATTAAGAGGTTCTCAGAATATCGTGATTACAAGCAATTTCTCATATACATATATGACCCTTTGATCTTTGACCTGATGACCCTAAAATCTACTCAGTTCATTGGCTCTGCAAGATGTCCTGAGTTAAATAGTAATCCATCTGTCAGTTCTAATGAGAATGCGTTCACAAGTTATTTTTGGATACATAATGAGCCCATGACCTTTGACCTCATGACCCATGAATCTACTCAGTTCATTGGCTCTGCAAGATACATACATGATCGAAATTTGGCAGGAATCCATCAATCTGTTCTAATGAGAATGCGATCACAAGCTATTTTTGCATACATAATGAGCCCTGTGACCTTTGACCTTTGACCTCGTGACCCCAACATCTATTCAGTTCATCGGCTCTGCAAGATACATACATGACCAAAGTTTGGCAGGAATCCATCGATCGGTTCTTGAGATAATGCGATCACGAGCTCTTTTCGCATACCTAATGAGCCCTGTGACCTGTGACCTTTGACCTTGTGACCCCAAAATCTAATCAGTTCATCGGCTCTGCAAGATACATACAAGACCAAAGTTTGGCAGGAATCCATCAATCGGTTCTTCAGATAACGCGATCACGAGCTGTTTTTGCATACATAATGAGCCCTGTGACCTTTGACCTTTGACCTTGTGACCCCAAAATCTAATCAGTTCATCGGCTCTGCAAGTAACATACATGACCAAAGTTTGGCAGGAATCCATCAATCGGTTCTTCAGATAACGCGATCACGAGAACGGGACGTACGGACGGACGGACGGACGTACGGACGTACGGACGGACGGACGGACAACCCGAAAACATAATGCCTCCGGCTACTTCGTAACGGAGGCATAATAAAACTTTACTTGCATAGTTTTCTTCTGCGTTCATTGTGATTACGATGTTACTCTACAATGGCACATAGATAAGTTTAAATATACGTAATGTTTCCACTGAATTATTACAAATTATTACAACTGATAGAAAGGTACGCGTTTATAAAACGAATACTATTTGCCTACCGTTTGGAAAACATCGCCACTCCGGACAACATTCGCCCTTGATGATGACCTGTCGAGGATTGGGACAAAGGTCAGATGCAATCACTTCCGTCTTGGGGCAAAGTTCGCGACAGATGGTTCTACCGGCTCGACACTCACACGCTGACTCGCAGCCATCATTGAAACGCTCGCCATGTTTGTAAACGGCATCTTTGTAAGTACATGGTTGTGCTGTAAAGAGCAGAAGTGAACGAGCAAAATTCTAATCATTGAACATTTCAGCATATTTTGACGACAAATATTGTTAGTTGGATAAAATAGAAGTGATTCAGTTTCCCGAAATGACTGCCGCCTCTTGCAATTTGGCACGCCAACGTATATTATACATCACATCGTTACTATTGCAAGTGTCAGGGACTAAAATAGAATCTTGCAATTTGGCACGCCAACGTATATTATACATCACATCGTTACTATTGCAAGTGTCAGGGACTAAAAGAGAATCAATATATAAACCATCTTGAAAAGAATATAAAAATAAATGTCCGCATCCGACAAATTTTTACGGACTCCAAAGTGTCATCGTAAAATCAATGACATTTTGCTTCATTATACAGGGCTACCTACCATTACGAACGAATGGAACAATCGCAGTGCGGTAACGTCGTTACGACATAATTTGGACACTACAATAATATTGACTGTCAGAAGGATCAGTGCGGATAAACTTACGTTCATTTTCTGATGTAGTAACAAGGAAGATATCCGTACTGGGTAGAGTGTTTGGCCATCGAGGGGCCGGCTGAGAGTCCCCATCGTCTGGGATACTGACCCTGATCTTCAGGTAATATGTCGTCTCTTGCATCAGGTTATTAATCTCCATCATGATGTGGCCGCGAATCTCCACGCCAATAGGGAAATCCTACAAAATCAAAATCACATGAATGGTGTGATTCAAGTAAAAAGCTTTCCCGTTAAATTTGTTGAGAGGCACTTAAAAGTTGTTGAAAAGGCATTTTTAAACATTATTAGATAAATTTATTATGTACTCTTAGCCCTTAACTTCAATGATCATTTGCGGCAGAAATTCCTTCTTTCCCGCATTCAACCATTGTTGACACTGTTAGAGTGCATTGGACCAAATTTTATGGGGGAGGAGGGCGCACAAAGTTTGCTGACCAGTTTCCCGAAACAAAAACATCTTCAGCTTTTTCCCAATTTAAAGACATAGGTTGCTTTATTTGCCGGCAACTATATTCAGATGTAACTCAGATGCCTCTTGATAGAGACCGGGTAGTTAATCGAGCCACTAACAACATTTCCTTATCAGATACAGAGACGATTCCTTCAAGTTTTTGCCCACCTTTCGTAGTACTCGCCAGTCATCAAGCGTGACGTTTTCAGACCTATTGGTGTAGTAAATGATGTAGCCATCGGTCATTGCTCTCAGGTCCGTGTTGGCAGGCGGCGTGAACCCGACAGTAACGGCCGTCATGTTGAAGGCGAGGACCGATACATCCTGGACAACGTTAGGACTGTCTGCAAGGGGGTGGGGGCAATATTTGAAAAACATATTAGCTCCATCAGGAGTTAAAAGACAATCTAATTGGTTATAAAGCTATAGAACAAATCTCGGGAATGCGGTGCGAGCGCTAGCTACCGCATGCCCTTCTCATAGTTGGCCAAGTTGGGTGCCGAGAAACTCGGCAAAAGACATTTTGGGTATTTTGAATGTGTTTTCAAAGTTAGTGGGTCATTAAATTTACTGCTACCAAAGCTATAAACAATCCGAAAGTTTGTGTTAAAACAATCCACGACTTACTAGAAGAAGAAGCTGGCACCACACTTGAAAGGGACCTTAGTGTCAGAATCGCATTATTACTGCTCTACTTCCGAATTTTTACATTACAAAAGCTTTAAAGAATTATCAAAAAATTGGACAACCGATAGAATACGTGAGAAAGAGTAACATCTGACGAACAGTCGTTACGCGAGTAAGGAGAGTCATGGATGGACAGTTGTTACAAGAGTGTTATGAAATGAACAATAGAGCTGTACAGTCCAGCTACCTCTTGGTGCCATACTTGTATATTTGGGGCACCGTTTGGTCCAGATGTGGCAAACATAAAAGTGAGAAAACCACTGCAGAGTTCGGAGCCTAAAACCTACCTGCTTTCGGATCGTGACACGCAATGACCCGGCAGCAGTCGGTCTCCCTCAGCTTGGTAACAACAGGACGGGGACAGAGTGGGGTCGGTGATGGCGGCGATGGTTCGGCACACATGGGCATGCACATCAGGGTACCCCGGTCACAGAGGCAGCGGTTTTTACAGCCTTCATCTATCCAGTCACCGTCAGCCATGCTGATGTTCCCTGAGGCACCGCGGTACATGCATCCGGGAGCCGCTGGTTTCGAATAGGAACAGATAGAAATGGAGAGAATTGTAAAAAGAAACCTCCTTTAATGTCTTGGAAATTCTCCGTTGTGGATACAAACCTGCTCAGCTGTTCATAGACGCATACAATGCGATATGCACTTACAACGGGATTGTATTTGTAAATCAATGATTGACTTTTCATGACAAAAATGAGAAATCCAGTAGAAATATGGTTTCCTGATATAACAAAGAATAAATTAGTAGAGACTTTTCGCTCTTCTGTCCTTGTTAAAGGTGGTCAGTAACTCACAGAAGGAAACATTTCACTGTTCTGAGCGCACTTTATTTCCTGGACGGGCTCTCCTATATTTAATCCTGCGTTCCATCAATTAACTCATTTCGATATGATCGGAGGACCTCCGCTAGAAAAAAGACTTTTCTTACCGGGCTGTTCACACTCCCACTGCAGACAGCACTCGCCTGGTAGCTGAACGCGCGTGGGGTTAGGACAGTTCACAGTGGACACGGCAAAGCTGACCGGACATCTAGGGACGCAGCGCACACTCCCGCCAAGGCACTGACACCGCATGCTGCAATCCACGTCGAAATACTCCCCGTCTTCGTAGGTGTTGCCATTCAGCTCACATGAGTTGGCTATTATTTTGTAAGGAAGAAATAGGTTTGCTTTTTTAATTCAGAATTATTCAACTTATCATATGCATCGACATCACAAACGTCCATGGACCAGTTCTAAACAAGGTGTTGTCAGTTTTCCGACGAGCAAGAAACAAGTTCCCAGATCTTCTTTTTCCATCAGCCTTAGGGGAAAAAAGAAACGTCCTGACATTCACAAGTTATATTGTTGGTTTGTTGGCAGAAGATTTGAAGGAGATCGATAACGTCGAGCTCATTAAACATGTCACAGATTGCTCAGCTTTTTTGGACTCGGCAAATTTTTTGTTCGATCCACGGTTTTTAAAATAATCATTATGACATAAATCTTCCAAACCATTAGCAATCCAACAATTGGTGAACTGGTGACGAAGTAAGACAAAACCCATCCAGTATTTAATACAGTATTTTAAAAATCTCTTCTACACTTTAACCTGAGTAAAATTGACAGGAATTGAATCAAATACCCGGTACAGAACATGTGAGTAGATTTTCGACGTTTTACAGTTTTTAGACAAAAAGAATATCTTCAACTCGGAACGTTCAGTCGAGTAATTTAATCTTTACTTTCTACTTACGCGGAGGAGGGCACGACCAATGGGGGCAGCATTCCCCTTCTGGCGGCTCAAGGAGCGTGGGATGGGGGCACGTCTGGAGGTCTGGTATCATCTGGCCCGCATCAGGACACCTACGGGTGCAGTCTGATACCCCGTTGTCGCAGAAGCATACTTCATCACATTCGTGGTAGTAGGTCTCCCCGTGGACTCGGAGCACACCACCATCGTTGCAATCGGCTGGTAAAATGAACAATAATTGTAGGAAACTAATATAAAAGTCATGCGGGTTGAATATTGATTGTTTGTAACCTGACAACATTGTCTCACCAGAACATCAGTGTCACACACATTATCTAAAAGCTATTATCGTGTAGTATTCGTCTTTCGTAACTTCTGTGAGATGGAATTCTGAAAATTCTTAACTTGATTACAAAGGGGTTGGCAGAAAATGAGATATTGATATAATGTTAATATTTTATAAGGTATTTATAATATTTTATGAATTTTACTGATGTAAGGGAGGTAATCCATGAATTTCTTCTCTTCCTCTGTTCATCTTCAAAGGCGACATTAATATTTTTGCATCTTTGTCTGCTAAGCGCGGGACTCGAATCTACGGGTGTGACAAAGGTCATGAAAGTCAGACCGACGACCCGATTGCACCACACCGCCTCTTGAACAACTCAAAACTTAGTCAATTAATTTATTCTACTTTACCACTTTTATTCTGGTGGCCAACGTAAGGAAACATACATCTATGAAAGCTTTCTGCCAAGGAAAGAGAATGACATTCGAAAACTATGCAGTGACAGCGAGATAGTTTCGGTGCAGAAATATTTATTTACAAAAAGCACATTACAAAAACGTCCTATACCTGGTTGAATGGAATCGTTGGAACCCTCTTCGCACTTGATCATGGTACAGCACTCCGGGTCATCCGGGTGGGGTTCCTCTCGGCAGTTCACGGGGTTGATACGGACATCGGGTTTAGGTGGACAACCCCTTGGCCTACAGATCCAGGAACCCAGGAGACAGTCACAGACCGAGTCACAGGACTGGTGGATTGTCATGCCTTCGTCATAATGCCTGCTGTCGTGTTCGCAGCCACCTAGTGGAGCTGTAAACGGATTGCAAAAGATGGCGAGTGGAGGTTGATATAAAGGTTAAGAAATGTCGGTTTAATGATGGTAAACCTTTGGGAACGTAATCATGATCATAAAGACTTTCGAAAAATAAAATCAAACAATCTTACTAGCCTTGTCCTGAACATGATTTTGTTTGCCTTGAGTCGATTTTTCGAGGGACTTCGCAATCGTATTACTATTAGTGATAGCGGTGTACCGAAAAAAACGTTTTTAGTGTTATCAATGTCTGCAATCGAATTTGGATTGTTCTTGTCTTGTATAAAAAGGCTACCATGCTTGATAAAGAAGCTGTCCGTTAGGTTCACCTTCTTGATTGTCTGAATAAATGGGATCAACCAGTGACATGGTTAGAGGTGTAGTAGGGATTTTTTTATGGGGGGGGGGGGGGGGGAGGTAGTACTCCCAATACTTTACATTTTGAAATTTTTTGGTGACTATCAAAATTTGTCGGTACAATACAATACGTACATGTCTTTTTGCTGGTCCAAGTGATTGTTCATGAACATTCCCATAATCCAACCCAAACATGAATAAAATCACTCTCATAAGAAATCCAGAAACGAGTTTTTCGTAAATCTCAAATGAAATAATATGTACTCTAACCAAAAATATCGTAAATAATTAAAGTTCAAAATATTTGTGGCAATATTATCCTAAGTCATATCATATCGCGGTTGGGTCACAAGGCATAACTGCGGGATAAAACTGAGGTGCCAAAATCAGGGCCAGTCCTGAAAATAATCCTTGTTTTCATCAAACCAATGACCAGTAGCCGTCATTGCATCAGCCAGTCGTTAAGCGGACCCACATGCCAGGCCAGCCCCACTGACCGATCACCAGAGGCAATCACAGCGGGAAGACTTGACCCAAACGTTTCAAATTTTTAGCCCTGGACTTGAGGTCAGAGAGACCAATCACTGACCATGATCCCACAGCCTCTAGACACGACACAAACTGACCGGCACGTTTATGGCAGGCACTCAATGCCATAACGAAATATGTATCTTTTTGTCAGATTCATTAATCTGATCAGTCTTTGATAACAATTACACATAATAGCTCCATATTTTGAGTATTGATCAAACAAAAATCTGCTGTTTAAGAAAAAACATCAGACAGCGTGCTGACAAAATAAAATAAAACAAGTCAGCCGTCCCTATGTAACCAAAACATCTATTGAAGATCCTTAAAAAAAACATTTGATAGAAGTTTAAAGTCTTCTCCTTCTACAGCATATCACGAAGATGAACTAAAGATTGCAAGCGGTGTGAATGGGATACTAGTAGTGGGACAAGGGCATTACATGCCTCAGGAGTAGTTCCTGGAAGTTCTCTGGATTGCCATATAGACCACGAAATACAGTTGCTGGATTGCAGGGTTTGATCGCCTTCTTTTTGGTCAAAACTGTCTTCAATACAAATGAAATATTCATATTTCCCCTTTATTTCTTTGTTCCATTGTTTTTCCTTTCCTTTCCTTTCTTTCTTTCTTTCTTATTTTTATTCCTTTTTTTATAGACCGATTTTAACACAATTCTTTATGGCATTAAATGCTTGTCATATACGCGCCAGGGACACGCATTACGTATCAAGAGCTTTTGATCCTGAACGCGAGTCTGGAGACCCTAAGGCCTAAGAGAGTATAACTTGACCGATGTAGGTCACGACTTTTCCTGTCATAACTTTTTAATGAACCTGTCTCGGTTATTGACAGGATCTTGACCAAGCAGTGGCGTAGCGAGGGTCAAGACAAGGGGGGAGGGGGGGGGGGGCACTGGTATAATAAGTTAATCGAATATGGGTTCCTACTACGCCTAAATCAGGTACCGCTAAGATAATTGATATTCCTAGATTCTTCCCGCGTTCGTTCTTTCCCTTTCCCTTTCTTTGTCATTTTCTAAGAAGGGCAGGGGGGTTCCCCCAAAGACTCACGGTGCTACGACAATATGACCGACTATACACGACCAGAACACCCCTGATCGTTTGGTATGCCTTGATACTTGAGTCTACTAATTCCCCCGTTTATACCACATCTGGCTCGTGACGTCTGCACTCATCATAACTTGGGGTTGACTTATTGTAAAGAAAACAAAAATAATCGAAACTTTGAGGGGATGAAATGCACCTGCCGGTCTGTATCGGTGTTGGTCCTACTCTCCTTCGGAAAGATTAAGTTTAGCGCCCATCAAGCAATAAATGTCTTTAGGGTATTATGAGGATTTGGGGATGGAAAAAACACCGTTAAGGCTACGCATTCTGGGTCAAGAACTACTCAATCCAAAGTTGACCCGCTTAAGAAATAACTTTTCAATTGAGTTACTGTACAATGAAATTTAGATTACTTTAAATGCTGCACACTTAAAAATATTGAAAAATCAAGAAGGTCACTTTCCTTAAGTTTTTGTTTTGGGAATCGTAATGGGAATAATGTTAATGAATATAGCAGCATAAAGTCTTTGACCTCTTTCCAAGTTTAATTTTGTCTCGTCAACTACAAAATAATCTACAACTGTTACATCACAACGAAGTAAAGTAAAGTTTACATGGAATTTAAACAACGGTTTAAAACGATTAGTTCAACCAACATGATCCCTATATAGTCAGGGGGTATACAAATTAATTGATATGCAGAAGTCATCCCGTTTTGCAAGTTCTACATCCCCTTGGATGTGGAGCGGCAAATCTGTATCATGCCGCAGCAGGAATTCGGACAAGGATACATCATCTAGCGCTCGCATGCATCAATTCACTCAACCACGAGACCCTTATATTATGATGTCATCATCCTGATAAATAATCAAATTACAAAAGAAACACGGGTGACATTGGACAAGAATTAAAGGAATAGCATATTTGCAATTTCTAGGAAAATAGTAATAGTAACAAAAAAATAGCAATGGTAAAAAAAAAAGAAGAGGGTCACCAAATGACCTGGAATCTTATTCTCGTACTATTTTGCAATACAGGGACAGCATATTTTCAATTTCTACGGAAATAGTTAAGGTCAAAAGCATGAAAAGTGACCTAAAATCTCACCTGGCGTTCCTGTCCGATGTAAGGCTACTTCTGAAAGGTGCCCTTCTAAATGTACGCCACGCCCTGGAATGCGATAGCTCACCCGGAAGTAATAATCGGTTCCGTCTTTCAAATTTCTAATGGATGTGTGTGTTTCGTTTCCCGCCTAAAAGGAAAGACAAAGAGTAAGAAAGAATGTAAATGAAAATGATCATCATTAAGATAATTGAACAATTTTATATATTTCTGGAATTCCCTCTATTCTATTGAATAATGTGGGTACATAATCCATACACGAGCTCTGTAAGTCTGTATCACCGTGATTCAAACCAAAGCTAGATCGTAATACATGTACCATGTGTGTGTTGGGGGAGGGGGACTGAGGCGGGGGGGGGGGGCAGTGGGCTCAGGTATTCCCCATTTACCACAAAGAGTGATGCCCGTATATGATTCTCTTTCTACGGGCACTTTGCTGCATGCATTGCACTTTGAGCATTAATACCACTTATATCTCTATCCCAACATAACAGTTGCGATGAGTCTACCCCACCCCTTCCCCCGTTGTTCATGTCTGCATTTAAAGTTTGTTAACAAATGCCATAAATGACGTCACCACCATTTGTTATGAAAAAAGAGCCATGCTATAAGGGATTCGGAAGGAAACAATTTGAGCTAACAAATAACTAGATAAATCATCCAAAAACCGCAAACATTTCTGATGTCACCTGTTGACTTTGGAAATATACGTTTCCGAGCGGGAGGGAGGGTAGACAGAAACCAATGACCATAACACGCTTATCATTCGCGCGCTTTCTTCTCGTCCATCACTGTCAAATTCGTATCGTCTGCGCGCTCAAGAGACCTACAATGCGATATGATATACTTGCAGAAAAGTGGAGAAAATAATGTTTTTTATTTTTTAGCGTTGGAAGGGCTCGTATATCCCGACACCTTAGGGAGGAAAATTAACGCAGAACGCATGGACCGGGGCGCGGCGGATGAAATCAGAGTACCAACAGGGTGTTTGCACGATGATTGAGAAATTAACTCTCTCGTCGTTGATTCTCCATTTTGTCGCGACCCCTACATGCTCTCAGTGACCCTTGCTTCAAGTGAAACCGAGATCGGGTGCTTGGTATGCGGCTCAATCTTGTTGCCAATCGCTGATGGCTCGCTCTTTTGATTGAAATCGATGGCATGTAGTCATTGTTTGAAGGATTGGAGTGGACGATTTATCCTTGGTACATTATTTTCAAATTATTGTTTGGGTGTCATCGTTATAATAATTCATAAATAAGCTAAAAATCAAGATTCGTAGATAATCCTTTGATCGTAATTATCATGCCAACTTCTATAACTAATTCTTAACTTTTACTACCACTACTACTACTACTAATATGATGACGGCGACGACTACTTGCAATGGCGTACCGTGGTTCCTATTGAGGGGTACTGGCGTCAGGAGGGGGGAGGAGGGCACCGGTAATTTTTAGGTGGATGAAATGCAAGAGAATAAGGTCATATTGAATAAGGGGAGGGTGCTGGAGTGGTCGTATCACCACATTTCCACATTACCTTTTTTCTCGTCCTTTCGTCACCCTCTCCCTCTCTTTCTTTTACCCCCCCCCCCTTTCCCGCCTCTTTCCCCACTTTTTTTCTTCTTCAGAAAATGGTGGTAAGGTGCCCCCGCGTACAACCCGTAACTAAGCCACACTCTGCTCGATTGTAATTTCATCTTTTCATCTTGAATAATCGGGCAGCCTTCATAAAGAATATCAAAGTTCGACAAACCTCAATTTGGCCCAGCCAACTCTGGATATGATTAGAGAATGTTGTCGTATAATAGACCACATAATGCCCTTGTGTGGATGTACCATCGATCGGGAGAAATGAGTTCCAGCTCAGATTGATGGAATTGGCCGTTGAACTCCGCACTTGAAGATTCATTTTACCTGCATAGATGGACAGACCAATGGTTAAAGGTGGAAAGAGAGAAAGGGAAAGAGAGAGAGAGAGAGGAAAGAAATAAATGATAGAGAGGAGAGAAAAAAGGGGGTATTGAAGAAACGTAAGAGAAAAATTAAATGACTCTGGAAACTAAGAACGTTAGCTTTAATGACTTCACTATCATTATAATTATATTGAGCAAAATATCATCAACAGTATAAATTATTTTGATTAGTCCTCTTTATAAATCAGAATAAAAATTTCTTTTGATTAATCTATTTTCCCAGCGAAACTAATACGATCGGATGTTGTAACAGTGTTGGTTATGGCGGGTGGTGGTTGAGGTGGAGAAAGGGGAGGGGTGCAGGACCGGGAGAGAAGGGCATAAACCAATAACGCCTTTGTAAGGCGTTTGAAGGCCATGCTTTTCATGGAACATTTTTTCTCTGATGTTTTTCCACACTTGCATAATTACAATGATAACGCTCAAAAATTATTTTTCACCTCTCCCTAGCACTCATCCTTCTCTTTAAGTTTAAGTGGCGTTATTAATACGCATCTTTATTATCATGAGGGTAATGCTAACCCTCCTCTATACTTCCTCCATCGCGAACGCATCCGCAAGACCAAGTGAATCAGAATGATGTGATTGACTTTCTGCCATCGACCACGTCATGGTTGGCCAGCTCGAGCAGCCTTGAACGCTGTCTTCAAACCTCACATTCCCGCGTTCCGCCTCGCCGACGGCAGACGGCAATGCCATTATGCGCTATCGATAATGCAATGTTTAAGGAGCTAATAATCTGGGCGCGAAAAGTCAGTGAGCGCGAGCTCGAGTCATAAATTCATGCAAAATGCTCATTCAATAATTTCGATTTTTGTTCGGTGGCTTTCTGCGGTCTGTAGGCCTATTAGTTAATTCCAAACACTCTGCAAGATCACAACTCACTTAAAATTCGCATTCAATTAAGTTTGCATTGCAATGTGGTTTCATCCTAATTATAATGGTAAAATAATGGTATCAACCGTTGCCTATTTGAACTACTTTAGGCCTATATCAGCGGGTTCTAGAAAAGGCAAAGTAAAGTTATCCATCTGACTTAATTAGATGAATCATGAACGTTTCTACTAATACGTTATTCATTATTAGTTTTTAAAGTTAACGTATTCACAATTAAGTAAAATTGCCTAAATTAATTGTATTCAAAACAATACAAAGAAGGAAGGAAGGAAGAAAGAAAGAAAGCCTCGTCTATTATGGTCTTATAAGTTACGTGGTGAAAAAAAAAACCAAACCACTTGAAGATGTACTTAGTCATACTGCTAATAGTAAACACATATTACTGAATCTGATCGGTCAATATCTTTATTTGTTACAACATTTCTAATCCTGCTCTTCCGAAAACAAGATATCTTGTGTAAAAAACGAATATGCTTTTTATATCATCATAACAATAATAATTTACTGTATCTATTTCAAAATACGGGAATGATCTATTACTTAGAATTAGAAAGTCTTCATCAGTTATTACCTTCAGAAAGGCCTAGAAAACACTCTTCTTCTTTTTTGCAGATTGTAGTTTTAAGATTTTTTTCCTTCTTACTATATGTATTTTTGTTTAAAGAATTTATTGTCAGCGTTTTGGGCCTCATGGGAAAAGCGCGGTATAAGTAATAATAATAATAATAACGGAAATTGATTATAGCGCATAATAACTAGCTTAATTTTCTTTACATTAAAAAACAAAAACAATAATGCATTAACATCCATCGTATCAGAACATAGAGAATACACGGGTATATAATTCAATCAGAAATAGTAACATAATAAGATCATGTTCTTAAAGAGTCCTCGCTTTCGTCATGAATTAGGCCATGAATCTGGGCTCTTTACTCTTCGCCATCCATCCATGTGCGAGGTTGTCAACAACATCAAGAGAAGATGCTGGGTCAAGGAATACTATGAATCCTTGGTCTGAAGTAATCCCTTGATTCAGGGTACATCCGTCCATGTCTCAAGGACCCAGTCAAGCATGGCGGGCCCCTGTCATCACGTCAAGCTTCTTGGGTTTGGGATGTAAACACCATTACTGTATACATCCGGGAACCATGGGTTCAGCCAGGGCACAGGCGTATGGGCACTTGTTCATAATTGGGGAGGGGGGCGGCGGCCATACGCCCGTGCCCTGAACACAGGTTCTCGACCGGGGGCGGGTGGGGGCTATTGTTTCTTATACACAGTTTGTATTTTTCCTGTTTCTATACTTGATTTAAAAAAAAAAAAAACTTTGTAATAGTGACATTGTAATAATGTCTTTAAAATGCAATAGATAATAATCAAATGAAAACAATGGATCATCTCTCTACTCGAATATGAGGTAATAGTGAAATATGTCTTCAAAATACCGTAGATAATAATCATATAAGAACAATAGATCATCTCGCGGCCCGAATATGAGGTGATTATTTATGGTAATTTCAAAATTTTCGGGGCTGCGGTCCCAACCTCCACCACCTCATATATTTTATGATCAAAGGATTTGGCTGGAAGTTGTAGCCCCTGCAGATTTTGATTTCATTTTAATCTACAGAAACTTCAATTGGACCAGTTTCCCGCCCAGCAGTCAGACCTGTTAACTAAAGGCATGGGCATGGAATAGGTTTTAAAATCTAAATGGAATGATGACTGTGCAAGAAATTACAGGTCTATGTATTTAAGAGAAATTTCTAATTTTTTTCTGAACAACTTGACTCTCGATATCATAACAACATAAAGCTGCAGTTGTGGTTGTTGCTCAATGGACATAACCATTGCTGTCTGGTTTCGACATTTTCCCTTCATTATAATATTAGAACGCCTTCTCCAAACATTTGGTCAATTCAATACACACACATGCAACCATTCTCCCTCGGTCTAGAATCCGATCCGTATTTTCACTTGGCCGCATTATCCAGGTGATTCGAATTAGACAGTCCCGCGGTCGGTGACGAACATGTTCCAAACTTGAGTTCGCGGGGCATGCATCTGTGGAAGAGTTTGGCTGAAGACCAGGGATCGCGACCCCCCTTGTGATGCGGATTACACCCAAATTGATTCGATTAGCTTTGTTGAAGTCTAGATGCTTTTGTTGGCATTTACAGGGCCAATCAGGGCTAATTTAGGGGTACATGCCGAGGGGGCCAGGGTTAAGGCGTGGGCGTGGCACACTGGCACTACCCCATGAACTTGACGCGGAGAAAAGTTCACAGCTTTGGGCGGCAGAAGAAGAAGAAAAAAAACTTCATAATTTGTCAACGACGCAAAACGACGAACCAGGCAGTGAAAATACACTACTCCTAACCTTGAAAGACAGCGCAATCTTCATTAAAATACAGAGTATATTATATTGGAATTTTGCCATGATACGTATTTGTCAAGATATAGCTATTATTCAGATTAACCACCGGATCAGCGTAAGATATGAAACTACACCAGTCAAAGGTATAGTTGTGAATTTTGAGGGAAAGCAACTTTTAAAAAAAAGGGATAAACTGCAAAATGTGCAAAAGAATGAAGTCATTAGACTAGCATATATACGTTACATCATGGCCTCAATATCATAATGATATTATTATGTTTATTACACATTCTAATAGTATGACTATAGTGTTTGAATATAAAGCATTTTACTTTATTCCAGTTATGTTTCCAATATTATTCCCGACTATAAATAAATATGATTCCATGTACCTTTGTGATCAATATCATGTTATCATTCCAGTAAAAGAAAGAAAAATTTGCAAATTTGGCCAACACGCCGAGAAGGATTTTCTTATCAATTAATAAACCGTGTTGAATAATCAAGAAAGCCTTGCACATTATTCGGATAGTCACGAATAACGTTCGTGATTTCGCATTTTTGTTGTTGTTGATTGATTTATTTATTCATCAGGCATGGGTTGGATTGCCCGTGTAATTGTAAATAAATAAGTTTCTCTAAAAAAATGAGAGTCACTGGCGTGTCGAAGAAGCCAAGACTGATGGCCTTTCAAGTACCAACACAGACATCTTGTTGTATCCATACCTTGGTTCAACGTGCCAGGATCATCTCTAGCTTATACTGTATCCAGGCCTGCGGGTATCCGACGCCGCAGACAAGGGCAGATGGGACAGCTATTTACCGACATTATTTATTTCTTTGTGGGGTCATTTATCTGATTTTGGGATATTAATCAATACCGAGCTTTATTGGTACCAATCAGCTCTTACACGAAAATGATGTGAAAAAAGAACAAATTGATGTAAAATAATAGGCCTACTTGTAGTATTTAAAAAAAAAATGGATTGCAATCAAAGAACATATCGTGCAAATGACTGACCCAATTATAATTACATAATTATAAGAACGGCTACCCGTATAGTTTTCATCTTTTTTAATTTACGCAACTCAATTCAATTTCCATGGAAATCATACATAAGTACAAACATGAAAGTAGCCCACACATGAAGAAAGCTAATACTCCATGTATTGACCATGGCACGTCAATTTACTTTTTCCTCATTTTTTGAAATATAATATAAATCAGAAAACTATTCTAATCAAGACTTATAATATTATGACTCCAGTTGACGCCTACCATTTTTTCTTTATCATTTTTATTTCGTAAAGGAATCTTATTTATCAAAGACGCAAGCCCACAGAGAAAGAGTGACCACGGCATGCCCCATTTCTGGCATACCAGTAAACGACGGGACAGTGCGACATCATTGCACCCGACAGAGACCGTAGACGGATATTTATAGTTCCTGGTAATTTGTATGGATGGCTGGGGTTGAACCGAAAATAGAAATGATTAACCTCGTTAACTTCGACGAATAGTTCGTGCTTGATACAAATGTGTGGCGAGAGCCGATAAATCCAACATGCTCAAGCCGATTTTCCAAGATCGGAACAGATTGTCATAACACATAGATATATTATAAGGTGTAATGAACCCTAGAGTGATGTCCTTCTATTTATGACTGTTTTTATTTGGTATAATTTAGATAACCTCGTCATACGGGCCCCTTGGACCAACAGAGCTGTTTCAGAGAAAAGCCATCCAGCCGATATGATATTAATAGTAGGCTCATGAAATTTTGTTTTCTGCGAATAAGAACAAAACAGTTTGTGAAGGTGTCGTTTCTTTTCTAGTCCATTTTTCAATCCATTCATTTCTCATTTTCCTTGGTTGGCAAGCCGATGATAGGTTGTTTGCTGCCTTTCTTTAATTTTCAATTATCAAAGTATTAAAATATTTGATAAAAAATGGTGACAAGATATACAACTTGACGTGTTATCTTGAGAAAGCTGTCCTATTCTTTCCACTGATCAAATGGGTTTCTATCTAGACGTAGTGCGCTCCTTTCCCATTGTGATCAACGCAATGCTGATAAAGTAATTCGAGATTACCTTGGTCGTGAATTACATTTGCAGTTCTTTAGCGAACCACATCAATCGGCTAAATTGTTTTTACACACCTTCTTTCCTTATTGCGGTCGGTTCATAAGCTACAGTATTTTTCTCGTTCCATTTATATGATGCATGATATGATGGTAATCAAGTAAAAACTCAGCTGTAAAAAAAAAAAATTCCGAACGTAATATATAACCACAAACTGGCGGTAACCTCTGAAAACTATTATTAAACATTCACACCAATATCTTAACAAGTTTCCCGCCACGGAATTGCAAGCGATCATTTTATTTTTCCTTTCTCGACAATCGTTTGCAGGGCTGTATTT